GCCGATTACACTTTTTCTTGGTCATCCGCTCCACGTCAGTGTAGATTAACTTTAACCTCTTACTCGTTGACACCGATTGGTTATATGCATGTGGAGTATGATTTGACCGAGATGAGGAACCGCGGTTGGCGAAACCACTGACGAACTTACCAAGGTCGCCGGTTCGGATGATCTACGTGAGTCATGTGGCGTACCCGGAAGCGGCGACAGTCATCAGAACCCTAAATCTGAAATCAATCTCAGGTATGAAAGAGGCTAATCGCGCAATAATTCTCTAGTCACCCCTTAACCCATAGAATTACCATACTCAGATACACAGAAGTCAGCGCGGCGACGGTGTTGTCCACGTTTCCCTTGGCGGCCGTTCATGCCTTTCGTGTCGCAAACACCCCCATGCTATTTCAAACCTTAGTCACATGATACGCCACACCTGGTATGAATGGCGTCAAAATGACATGTAAATATGTGGTAATAATACTAGATTTCACATGGTACCAATATGAAAGCTGTGGATGATGACTTCATGTTGCCCGGGATCGAGGTCTCGTGCCATTTTGCGGCGGGTTGGGATGTTGTTGATTGAGCGTGTCAAGTGTAAATAAACCCCGCTAATCTGGCTGGATAGCCGCTAGATATTGCTTAGAAGAGTGTTGGATTTAGAAATCGCGACAAAAAGCGATTGAAGAAATGAAAGCTTATGTTAATTTGAATTGTGAGTTGCTTAACACTCGTGTCAGGCAGAACACGAACTTCCTCTCGGCCATTCCAGTACCATATCTTCAATCTATGAAAATCTCTTTTGCGTCAAATTAAGCACTGTAATCAGCACACAATATACAGGTAATCACTTGCGTCAGTTGGTTCTTTATGTGCATGCCAAATGAATCAATTATTTTATTCTCATGTCCGGTGCAAACGATAATAGAACTTGCATTGTCGCCACTCTAAGGAAAGCGTAATTTTTCACTTTCATACTCACCAATTAATTTCTTTTACGGGAGTGTTAGAGATCGGTAAAGCTTAACCGGACTCTGGCATAAGTCGGGTGATATCAAATTGTTCGGGAAGGAAGTCTAGTAATGCCTATGGCACCTGATAGTCGGCTCTTTGGTGGTTTTCTCCAACAGAAATGTTATTATTCTCAAATTCAATGCCAGTGGCTTCGTCACAGATGCTCTTCTATGTTGTTATTTGGTTGAAGAGCGAATCGCATGTCTCATTGGCGATCAATAATGACCCACAATTCTTGCTCAGGCTGGTCTGGACGATGCCTCTACCACGAATCATAATCACGAATCATTGGTCCTCCTTGAAGTCCCACTGCGCACCTCCAGGAAGGTTAGCTACATCCTATACACCGAGTTGCTTTCTAACTGGCACGAACGAATATACTGGACTCACCCAAGTTCCCCTCTCAACCGACCAGATGACCCAGCGTAGACATCTTCAAAAGCCCCTCTCTACATCTGTGACTGTTCCTCACTTCATTGTGTTTATTCTTTAGAAGACTGACTACACTCTAACCAGTAATCCTTTGCAGTAAAGAAGGCGTAAGACGAGCTCCACTGCATGTGTGGGTTAGCATAACAGCGAAACTTTGGAGATTCCAACATTTGGAAGAATTGGCCAAATGTCCCCCAGACTCCTGGCACGCAGGTGTAGCTCAAGAAAGCGTTAACGATTCATGCTCAAATATTCACACCGGCTCAAGTCGTTGATGTGCAATTACCTGGCGCATGAAGCGCTCTTAAATATCAAATCAATGTTAATTTTACGATATTTAACGGAGTCTCGCATACAGTACGTCTCGAAACTGGTCACCACTTACACTCTTCGACTCTTTCTCGACTCTCAACTGTTAATCGCCAAGACGCACTAGTCTATATGGAGAGTTTATCTGGAGTGTCCTTGTTAGTTGGGCCTATACCTATATTGTTTTTTATTACATAGATACCACTTGTAATTTTGATACAACTGACACTTCGAGAATCCCCACTTTCAAAACCATCGACTCTCACTGGGTATGGGTAGATCTTCCAAGGTTGCTGGAAGCCTTGTGACGAAAGCATCCGAGGCCTCGAGCGCACTCTCTTCTGCAGTCTGCATTGATCAGAATTTTCTAGAGAAAGCAGAAGACAATTGAAGAATTTTATGGCCTCATTACATTGCTATCAGATACCAAATAATAACCTTGCGCGGAAAGGTGTATATTTTCTATTGATCCAGATATTTGCGCACCTTTCAAATATAACTAAATACTTTCTAGTTGCGAGGACATGACATCCAAATTATAATTCGCTTGCATTGCTTGTATCCTAAAATACTTACTAATCACACTAACCTACTGCTGGCTCCTGGTTCATCTTTCATTTATGGCCTTCGGACTGGCTAGAAGAGAATTGCCACAAAATCCCTATTTTACATGACATCAGGCTATGCTTTAATCCATGGCTGTCTGTAAACCAGTGTGGGTCACTAATACTTATTTATACAACTGGTACTCCCAACTACTTTAATTCATTACCCTACCCAGATATACTTCAACACCCAATTTCTTTTATTCTTAGTAAGTACAGCTACACAAAATTGTATGCCGATGGCTAACGAAGATGTTTTGTCACGCTCAGTTTCACAAGAACTTCTCAGGTCAGTCCAGAAAATTTCTCTTATAAAGTCACCATATTTTAATGCCGAATTTCAGTTTAAATTGCTCGGCTTGAGAAGATGAAGCTTCAATATATTCTCCTGGGCATGTTTTTTACAACCATCATGTCTTTCCCAGTGGGGGAAAATGGGGAAGCAGTGCTTACCATCTATCCAGACGACAATATCTTTCCGCTGGAGTGGTGCTGCACTGGTTGCAAAAAGTATGGTGGGGCAAATAAGTGCCAGAAATGCAGCAAATGCCGAACCGCTTGGGAGTAACTATTGCTGCCCAAACCCGAGAGGTGTAAAAGTCTTACTTTGAGTTATAGTCTGCGCCATTCATTTTCAACAATTTGGGGTTGCCTAAGTGGAAACTGATATCAATTGTAATTTGTTTTAATTGACTTTTTGACATCAATGTTTGTTGCGCTGATCTCTGCCTGCTGTTCTTGTTCGCTATAATAAAAAACTATTGCTGGATTCAAATGAGCGGCTTCTTTTCTTGTACATTTCTACCCTTTCTAAATAACTTGAGACTCGCTCTATCGAAATCGATGTTCATTACCTATTCTCGAGCTCATTATAGACAATTCCAGTGTCTCCGGTATGGAAAAGCGGACAGGATGTTGCCTATAAAATTAGACTTTGGCACAACCCAACCCAACCCAACCCAAAATGGGTTTTGTTGTTGAATATCACGGTCACTGATGTAGTCACGGGAACGGGAGCACGTGCATGTATATATGTCTACCTGGCTACCAGCCTCTTGTACCTAGAACAACACAACAATACAATCAATTCCTATCAACTATACAAACATTGAAGCGTCACTTATAACTCAACAGGTTATGAGCCCGAGACTGCGCACATCAAACTGGAAAATCCCCCCTACTAGGTTTCCCCTACAAGTGATGGCTTCATCTATTGACCGAACTGGAACAGCTTGCTTCGAACTTCAGAGAAAACACGGTTCTCACGTCCAAGAGGAAAATGAATTGTGCGGATCATCGCAATAACCTCAGAAACAACTACCACACCGCTACGGGCATTCGTCAGATTAATCCTGGGATACACCTCTGTGTTACAAATACGCGACAGCCATCACACCGCTCCAGATGATTGTCAGACCAACGATATCCCACGGTCATGTTGCACAACAAACAAAGTCCGGCCCACCGCCGCAGACACATCACACCGCCAGATACACACGCAATAACCTATCCCAAGGAACCTAGGGCTTTGGGCCTCAAAGCTCAGCGGTGTACGGAGTATTAATTTATTAATTAGCCATAGTGGATTTATCGTTGGAAACTTTTTATCGTTGGAAGCTGGACCACCCAAGAGCGGTAGCGGCTGGGTGGTCCTTGCCACGGGTACTCTAGTGTGCAATATGACAGTAGGCGGAGTGGCTCCGGTGGAAGGTTAAAATTTCAGTGCCGGACTTGAATGGCGCACAGCGTAGACGACAGGCATTTCGTGTACGCGAGTGATGCTGATGTTCCTTCGTCGCTTGCAGTTCTACTATCCTACTGGTTTGACCCAACGTGTTGGAGGAGGTTGGAACCCATGGAATTTGCAGCCCATTCCAACGGGGTAATGGCCTTCAGCGGTGTTGGAGAGGAGAGTGGGGTTTCGACACACGATGCAGCAATATATGTACACATGTTTCCTGGAAAAAGTTGACTGGAGCACTCTTATCTTTCCGTCAACCATCCGCGCTCAATAGATTTTCAAACAGCCTGCGATGCAAGCAATGCATATGCCTGGTATCTGCAGATCCGCGCTGTGCAACTAGCTCAACGTCATTCGTTGGATCACAGGCGCCAGTGAATGGTCGAATTTACCTCCATTCCCGCTTGTCAGAAATAACACAAGAAAAAGTCCAAATCCCAAAAATTAATCCAAGGATATAATACGTAATGCGAAGAACGCTAAAACTGCAAACAAGTATCAAAACCCAAATCAGAGAGCACCGTAAATATGCAGCCGCTCAGGGTTCCTACTTCAGTTCGATGACCTTCACGTAGAAAGAGTCTGGTGGGTTTCTTCATCTGCGATGTTAACATGGCGGATGGCATGCTGTGCTGTGTACAAGGGTACCGAACAGGCTAAAAGAACGCGGCCATTCACCTCCGAAGAAACGCCATGCCTTTGGAGATGTGTATACCCTTGAATATAGCCAATCAAATAATGTGAAAATGTCCTCTGTACGAACATAAAACCGAACCGAAGGGCGACGTATGGAGTAGATTGTCAATCAGAAGCAATGTGCATGTGACAGCAATCGAGTTGTTGCGCTATCCGAATTGAAACTGCTTGCAGTCTCAGGACCGGGCTTAGCCTTGCGGAGACGTTCATGAAATAGGCTGGGTAGGAGTTTTTGGCTCGGTAGGCACGTCGGACTTTTCAAGTGACTTGGCCAGTCGTCCATGGCTGACCTTGGACTCCTTGGACTCAGCGGGAGACATGCCCGCCTTCTCGGAATCACTGGGCTTCAATTTGAGACGACCTTGTTCCAAAGCACGAAGGACAGCTCCAATGTCTTGCGGGTCAATTGATCGCAGCTTGCTCATCGCGTCCTCGGAGACATCTGAAAATGGATTCCATCCCAACTCGTCAAATTCCTCGGAACCGGATGACCGAGACTCGGCCACAGAGGGACCATTGATCAACCGTTGCAAGTAAGTGTCCGATACACTGAGTTTACGTGGCATCTTCACCTGCTTAGACTTGGAGCCTGGGCTTGCGGAAGCATTTTTTTCTTGCTGACGCTTCAGCGGACGAGAAGGAATGGCATCAGGGTCTTCGCCCACCTCATTGCGAATCTTGTAGTACACAAGACCTAGAGTGGCCGCGAGTACTCGATGTGCAGTTTCGGGAAAGCGACGGACGGCTTCTTCTCGAGTGATAACGGATGATTCATCACTGGAGTCACTTGAGTCGCTGTTGGCAAACATGTCGGTCTGCTGCATCCGCGACCAATCCTTGTAACCACCCAGTTGATAAAATTCCGCGAGTTCAACCAAACGATGGACTAAATATATGTTAAAAAGGGGAAAGAGGATGTGATTTCATTGATCAACGCGTACCTCGACTTCTGTTCTTGAGACACCAGAACTTCCAAACCGTACGCGGAAAGTATCCGGGCCATTTAAGAGCACCGGTAGCAGTGATGACAGGAACAGAGCTGATGGGCGCGGAAATGGTGTGGGCGAGAGAGTTGAAACGGACACGGTCAGAGAGTCTCATGTGCGATGCCATAGAGTCCAAGCGCGAGTCCACTGAGTCCAAACGCGAGTCCACTGAATCCAAACGCGAGTCCACTGAATCCAAACGCGAGTTTATCTGGGCGACATCCGAGCGCAGTGCCACGACGTTGAAGTCAAGACGGTGGGAGGTAGCACGTTGGGTCTCCATTTCACGACGGATGTGGTCATCCTCGCGGTTCCGGCGATCGACATAGCCATCTTTGGTAAGGACGGTAGATTGGAGCTCGAGTACACGTGAGTCGAGTTGGTTTATGCGGTCATGAAGATCAGCGTTGCGTCCAGACGGTCGCGCGCTGGACATGGAGGGGGAGTACTGGAGTTACACGGGTAACTCCTTACGGTGGTCGTTGGGGGCATGATAACAATGATTATAATAGTTGTATAGATGGCTAGATCATATCTAGAGTCGCAGGTCGTCCAGTTTGTCGGTGGGGATCGTTAATGATGTTGCTTGAGAGGCGAGGATGAAGGAAGAGGGGGTCGCACTGCTGACCGCCTTTGTGTCCTATCCCATGGGGTGCGTAGCTTGTCGACACGCACCATACGGCGCGGGAGGACGCACCACGAACCAATCATGACACAGAGAATTGGAATCAGCCCCTGAGTTGATTTAACAATAGGGAGTAGGCCGGGGACAAATCCCTCCGGGTAGGGCACGGAGTTGTAGGCGACGGTCGCGGGTCTCCCGTATATGATGCGTTTCCCGGAGATGGCGCTGCGCCATACGGCCCGGGACTGCTACCTCACACGCCTGGCAGAGGATTGCATTATACTCGGGATGGTAGTAGTATAGCGGTGGTGCTGTCATCGTCTTAACGATTTCGATGCGAAACGGCTTTCGATTCAGAGGATCAGGGGTCTAACCCCCTGAGATAAGAGCTCCCGGCCGTATAATGTTGTTCCCTATTCTTTGCTTTTTCCCGCCTTTACGATCGTGCTACCGTTCCCGCCCACGTATCCAGCACAGTCGGATCATTTATGAGTTAGCCATTGTTCTTGCACTAAGGCCCTAAGCCCTAGGCATGGCCGAATCTGGCCTATATGTATATGAAGATACCGCAGATTTCGATTGGAAACCTGCGGCCAGAAATATCTCTACTAGCGTTGAAAGCCCTCCGGATCTAGAGATAAGAGGCCGCCGAGGATAGGTAACAGGCACTCTAAGCCCTGGTTGGCTCGGGCTGTCGCCGGCCGCTGCCGCCGGCGACGGCAAGGGCGGGCGCCCGTAGGGATCACGTGGTTTATCGAGATCCCTAAATCAGTGGGGGGTGCCCGTCTCCGCCTACACTGCACGGCGAGGACCTTGCCAGTATTATGTCCCCGCCTCGGTCCCGGAGATAGAATATTTTAGGCTCGTGGCCGTAGGTGGCTCTCTAGGAGGCCTGATCACCTACGATCGCCCCGAATCTAGCCTTAGGAAGGGGTCAACCCGCGCTTGGTAGGGAGATTCACCGGTGGGAATGTGGAGATATATATCACTACGACCGGTCGAGAAACATGCTGGAATCCGACCCGCCGGCGGGGGCCGCGGCAGCCATCTTATAGGGGAAGATATAGAAATATGGTTAAACTAAAAACGTACGAAATTTGAACTTGAAAAACGGATGGGAACCTTAAAGCATTCAATTCTGAATTATACTGCAGTCAATTGTTTTGGCTAAACCTAACTCCATACTGATTATCTAAACCCTAACTGCAGTCAATTTGACTGCAGTACCCCCCATGGGTTAGGGAATAGGAATAATCGTCCGAATTCGCTATCTCTGGTTCACGTCATCCAAGAAAATTTGGAGTCATGTGATCAAGGATATCAATGCACCAGGAGCCATTTATGTAGCTTCTGGTGGTGACAGAAACAACCCTTGAAGTTGAGGGGAGGCTGTCAAAGATAGACTGTCTATCCTCTATCCTAGTCGATGACAAGCCAATCGGTGTCTGATCTTTCCGTGTCTGCTGTACCCATGATTTGAACGCACAAAAAATGCCTAATTCAAACACAACAGACGGCACGACGCTGATGCCAGTGGACAAAGTTTTCGAATCCTTTCGTTCGCAGCTGGCACATACTGTTATGCTGAAAAGGTAGTCTCTTTCGTCGTTTTTCGCCGACCTGTTCAAGCTGGTGCAGAAGCAAGCATTTCCGCAAGATATACAGAAAATGAGTCTGTAGATATCTCGTGCCTCGGTTGTAATCATCTTCTCGAAACTCGACGTAAATATTGGTCGATGGGGGCTCTGTCTTGTCATTAAACCCTGCATCAGCAATGTGTAACTGGAAAGTATGGTAATACTTACTTGGCCTTGCTTCACCGAAATGTAGATGGTGATGAATCCTAGTGCATGAAATCACATATAAGGATAATTCTTTGTTGCTGTCATTCCTGGTCAGACAGGGGAATGTTACAAAGTCTGGAATTTGTTAAAGTCGTTATGCAGTAACTGGTTCGCCGCAATCCCTCAATAGCACCCAGCGTTGGAATGTGGTTCTTTACTTTCTGATTAGTGGAAGATTGCCGTTACGGACCTCAAGGAATGCGCGGGCCGCGGCTACTTGCTCGTTTAACACAACAATTCAGGAGATAGATACGCATTGACCCTAATCCATAATGCCTTAAAGACCCTGCTGCCCTGGGTCCGACTTCTCTCTGCTTTCATTGGTTTTAGACTACAGTAACACTGGCCCCACATTCTGGCGCTTGGACGGAGCCATGGTTCAATAACGCGACCGCGACGCGTCTGTTTTTTCCTATGATCATTTTGCAATTGCACGATTTGAAAGAAACAACGTCGCTTTGATATCTTTCGAATTCGATCACTTGTATTACATCGCCTTATTCAGTCTGGATCAGTTAGTTGCTAGCGGAACAGCCCCCCAGTCTAAAAAAGGGGCAGGCATGGAGCGATTTTTTATCTCCCAGAATATAAGGTGCTGATTTGCAAGCCATGTGGGCATGCTGTGCTTATCTTAAATAGCCTTAAGAACTTATTCCTAAGAGGCCTAAAAATCAACCTTGTCCCGAATCTGACGCCAAGGTTCCTTCCTTAGTGTTGTCTGCTTCTCGCTTAGTTCTGCTAGTATCTCTCCTTCCTTCCATCTTCTATGCTTACGCCCCTCATTGTACGCTACCCCATTATCTTTTCTTAGCCTTCATTGTCTGGCTCTAATAGCATTGTCGACGGCCCCATCGCGAAAGTCGATGTTAACGTACTCGTGGCCGCGTTTCTCCCGGTGGTCCCCTTTGACACCGCCTCCAAGCTGGATATACCGCCGTTTACGTGTGTAAGGGTATTATCTACTTGCAGGGTAGAAGGCCTGTCAATCAGGTAGAAGAAAAGCACCAAGTCAAATTGCTTCAGGGAGGTCAAAGACTGTTTCTTGAGGAACGTAAATCCTCTTCAACATGGATCAATTTATATACAGTCTCATCGTTCAAAACAGGAAGGAGATTCATCCCTGATCATGGAGGGGAAGTGGGATACGACACGAGGTTCGGTGTAACCTCTACAGGGACCTTCCCTGTACAAGGTCGCTGGGTACTGATAACGAGGTGCCAGCGGTTGACTGCCGGAAGGCCGCCGATCTGTCAGCGAGGAGCCTGAGGCACCAATATGGGAATAACCTCATGTTAGGAATATCGTGACAACGTGTCAGAGGCGCCGGGAAACCAAGGAATTTATGCCATCCCAAGCCAATCGCCCGATACCGATTCCGCTTGCTCTCGATAACATCAGGAGCCTCTTTCAAGCTACGAATGTAAAAAGTACCAGCGACCCATGATCTATGCGCGACCTGTTCATCCACAATCGGGTCATCTGAGCCATAGTCACACTTGAACCCTCCGTCCCTCACAATGTTAGAAAACAACGTCCTATCCTGCAATTGAACATTATGAAATCGAGGGCGGGTATTGAGGCCCTCATCAACGATCATCAAGCCCAACCCTGGACGTTCTACTCGTCCAAGAACCAGCAATTACCGTATACCGAAAGCATGTGAACCACAGCATGGCGATTATACAAACCAACGGTGGAGAACGACTCAGCTCGATTTCAAAGCCTCATCTATGTCCACCGTAAGCTTTCAACACCCTCTCACCGACAAATGCGATGCGACCACCCAGACCTAACAGCAATCACGATCTGGGCGGCCGGCTTCCAGATCCTTGTCTTCTCTGTCTATATCCCACCCGAACCGATGCACATACCCGGTGAGGGTAGCTGGCCGAGGAATGAGCCCCAAATAATGCTAGCTACTTTAGTGGTTGGCGTTTCATGATAGGAATGACGGAGTGGCGGCTCGGCTAAATACCCTTTTCACAGAGGTCACCCATTAGGAACGGGTTCGCACAAGTGCCCTCAGTTTTCTCTCTCCGTGAAATTCTGTGGCAAGAACTTGCGAATTCGCACGCCAGACTCGCAACGAGGGGACGGGACCGACGAGACGGTCTAGACCATGGGTGCACTGTCGTTTTCCTTTAGCGGTGATCCCGAGGTTTTTGACTATGGACGACAACACGATTCTTCATTCGCGGCTTGCGACGGGGATGATCTAGGAAGGGATGTGATACTCCCGCGCTACTAGCGACTCCTAGGTACAAAAGTAGTATTGAAGAATGGCAGGTACAGCGGTGACTTCTTGAACGCTTTTGAATTCCAGAGCAGCTTAACAACATTCCATAAGGGGTCAGCACTGTGAAGAATGTGGCTGGTGCTGTCTAGTATAGGAGCTGATATTTATTCTTTCCGTACCCAAATTGATGCAAAATCAACCGCTAACATTCGAAGAATCAATTTGACGAGCCTATTGCTAGCACCGCCCAAAAACATCTTTCAGTCTTGAAGACATGAAAAATTATCTATCTGCGATGGCATATATTGATACCCAGCCCCTTGAAACTTTCATTTTTGAAGGTCTTCGGCAATTTGTGGGTGAGCATGCAGGATCACGCCAATCAGTGGACACAGCCTCCGAGGTTGTTCACTCCCTGTCGTTGGCGCTCAAGAACACCGTGCTATTTTCCCAGGACTTGCATCCTTCCGACTTCTCAAGTCAATTAGAAGATTCTCTTGACTGGGTGAAACGTCTGAAACCTATTTTGAAGCTTGTTTTCAAGGCTGACGGGTAATTCTAGTACATAAATTTATGGAAGTACAACGGGCTCAGAATCCATACCCTTTATTCTTGCAAAGGGCTCATATGCATGGTGAACTGTTTCCTCGCTTCGTTGATTACATGACGGAACAACCTTGTGATTCGTTTGCGTCAGACGGTCATGCCGTGGAAGAATGGCAATGCGAAAGTGAACTCAGCGAGGCTATCATGGGAATAGAAGAAAGCCTTCCCACAGTATCGGACTTGGCGGAAGAAATCGCAACACACCTCTTTAAAACGCAAATAAACAGAGCGAAGTCCGCCATGGACGGATGCTATTGTTTTTCTCGCTTTATATCTCTGAGCGGAGACATGAGGTGGACGCTACACACATCATTCATAAAACACAGCCGCCAAAAAGCTGGGCAAGAGAGCGGCCTGGCGATCTTTGACACGACGATACTTATGGACCATGGAGCCGTTGTATTCAGGGTCAGCGACTTGGTCCTTTTTCTCGACAAAGAACCCCGATACCGCGGCTCTGCTATTAACGCACTGGCGAGATACTGGGCGAAAAATGCCGACGAATACATATGTTGGGACATGATCCCAAAACAGGCGCTTGTCAAATTCATTCCGTGCGACACCTTAATTGATGTCCTTGCACCCGAAAAAATGTTTCTCATGCCTGAATTTATGGAAGCTAGGTCACTGGCTTGTTTTCGGCAAAAGGCTCAGGTTCCAATTTCGGTCGACTGCTATGCTCGGCGAATATCCCTTTTTTTATGTGATCTTATGCATGAAATATCTCCGAACACCAAAGCTGACCGCTTGATTGAATACTTATTTGCGAATCTCAGGGATCCTCAACATTGGGGTTATCACATTGATGGACACAAACATTACCTGGAGAGAAAAGTTTTGGCTGTGATTGTCGCAGAGTATGCATGCGCAATTGGATCATGGACGCTCAACGACAAATTTTCTGTTGATCTGCAGCATTGCGCTGATTTGCAAAGTGAATATCGCTTGAAGGCGGAAGAATTGCTGTTGAACGGCTGAATAACCCATGTATGTGGGAATTTTGGTTCTCAATGCAGGTTCACCAGGTGAGCAGGTTTATTCCAATAAATGTGATATATATCGAGTGGAAGGTAAAGGGTAGAAGAGCAGGCGTATTTGATACAGAAAAAACATGTATTTATATTCCTCTATAACTAGGCTTCCGCACCAAAGCCGGTTTGATGCTATAAAATACAGCTTAATGAGAAATCAGCGGTTTCCGAGCTGCTGGAATTTCTGAAAGATGTTTGTAGCCATGTCCATTTTTTTTGTCGAAACAAGTCTCGCAAGATTGTCGACGTTGAGAGCGATGATAAATAGATCTCGCCAGTGGGCGGAGCCGTTCCCGGGAGTTGAAACCGAAGCAGGGCAGTGGTCTAATTACGGGCTAGCGTGGAGCGGCTTCCAGATCGTTATGATGCCTAACATTAGGGGCTCTGAGCGTGAGTGTTGAGACATCGTAGTGGACGTAGGTGCACCTGGGTTTTCACGAACTGTCCGCTGTCGACAGAGGGACTTCCTTCTCGTATACGCAGCTAGGGATGTTACGAATTTTCGTTATCCGCAATTTACTTTCGGTATCCGGTAATGAATCAGATATATCGCCCTCCGGGGATATCTTTTTCTTGGGCTCCCCACCAATCGCGTGAATAGTTCGAATCTTCCATATCACTTGCATCAATCCGAGCATTATATCTGTGGGAAATACCGCTTTGAAGAGCTAAATTTAACAGCTGTAAGTAGAATGGCCTAGCATCTTTTTCAAGCCCCCTGTCTGATTCCGTCGGGAATGCCCAACCATTCCACGCTTTCCGTTCGTTCGTTCCATAGTAAAGAGTTCGGTCGACTGCAACGACCTGTCATACCATTACAGTCTATCTCTATGCCGGGAATTGGTAAGGACACCCCAACTTTTTAGTAACGGCACCCCAAATGATTACTTAATAACAGTTATTATGTAATGTCACCACACCCCAATTGAATTCTATACTATTCGTTGAATCCATTATACTTTACATGACCTGATTGTATGCCCAATTTCACCGCAATTTGAGCACTTAGAAGGCGCTTTTTTTCTCCCTGTTGAATTTCTACCTTGATCTCCACCTCTTGATTTGATATTTTTTGCCTTTGGTATAGGTAAACGAGGCTCTAGTAGTGGTAGATAATCAGATTGATCCTCCGATGCTAGATTTTGCCTCCAGAAAGGGTGAATCGCGGATAATGGAATAGGCTGCTTTATATCTAGTAACCGCACGATTCGGTGGGCGCATGGAAGGCCCATTGTCCTAGTAAAACCGTTAGAACATTCTTGTAAAGGGGTATGGGGTGTAGCTCTCTTCGCAATATCGACTTGATTATGAATAAGATTAAGTGAATAGCGTGAGGTTTTCCTATTAATACTTGAATATAGGAAGGACGGGCAGAAAATTAGCTGTTGTACTTGATCCTCTTTAACCTCACGTATTAGTGTATCAACCTGATAATTTAGTGCATGGCTAATTCGGTTCCAAACAGTTAGGATATCACCTGTTGAAGATTGAATATACCTCTTAATAAATGCATGTGAGCCTTCAACTCGTGAGGTTGCTGAATTCCCTAGATGGAAGTGTTGATTTGTCCAACAGCGAATAATCTTTTCCTTATAAATTAGCCACGTTTCCTTAATATACCGAATTGCGCTAGGGGTTGATTGATATCTCTTAGTAAAATCAGATAACCTTATATTATACTCATCCTCGGTAGGTGAATTAACAAGATTCTGCCAGCCCTGGTTAAATTGATCCCACGCATCATTTGTAGGAAAGAATTGCTTCACTTTTGCGGCAATATTCTTGTTAATATGCCAAATGCAAAGTAAATGCGGCCAGGTTGGGTAATTATCGCGTAATGCACCTAATAGAGCAAGATCTCGATCAGTACAAAGCACTGGTGGTTGAGGTATTAGGGGATTAAGCCATGAAAAGAAGGTTTTTAATGCCCATTTATAAGATTCTTCCTGTTCATTTTCCATAAAGCATAAAGCAATACTAAACGTCGTATTTGATGGTGATACCCCGATAATATGTAGTAACGGCATTCCATATCGGTTTGTCTTGTATGTACAGTCAAGTACGAATACCCTATTATATTGATTAGCATATCGAATTGATTGGGGAGAAGCGAACATAAAAAAAGTAATACAGCCCTCGATATCTTGTTTAAATGCAAACTTCCATTGATGAGTAATAAGTTGATCTTGAACATATTGAATTGGCGTACGGCCGGCAAGTTGTTCGCGTAGAAACGATTTTCTAAGGTTATACACGTCCATTGGTGTTATCAAAATAGTAGGATCACTCTTTTTAATCAAGCTAATGATCTGCCGCGGAGGGATATTCTCATCAAAATAATGATAGATAGCATCCCGCTGCTCCTGAGTAATCGTGCGTGCTACTGGATGTGCTATCATATTATCCTCAAGCTCATGGTTATGGTCAGAATTACTTACTTTGATATGCCATTTTCCATCTGAACTTTTACTAGTAGACTTACTAGCGTATAGACGAAAACTACATCCAATTCGCCTTGTGCTAGTCTTGCGACGCTTTGCGCCATCTGGTGCATTAATTCGGTCGGTATACTGGCCACCACGATCGCAACCAATACAGACATTCCTATCCGGGTTTGACCTGATCGTAGTAATAGCGTAACCTTGCGAAATTGCACAGTCGTGGAGAGCTTTAAGCATCTCCTCGCGGGAATCGTAGGCTTGATCAAATGGGGTTGCCATAGCTGGTAACTTGACAGTGAACAGGAAGCAGGAAGATAAGTGAGCAGGAAGATAAGTGAGCAGGAAGATAAGTGAGCAGGAAGATAAGTGAGCAGGAAGATAAGTGAGCAGGAAGATTGAATGATGAATCATTGATCGATGTAAGATGGAAGCATTATTATAATAAAATTAGGCGTATACTGGTTACTATAGTAATAGAGGTGTATGCAGCATACTAGTTGCTACAGTAATAATATGGAATTCAATTGGGGTGTGGTGACATTACATAATAACTGTTATTAAGTAATCATTTGGGGTGCCGTTACTAAAAAGTTGGGGTGTCCTTACCAATTCCCACGATCCTCTCATTAGCTGCACACATTGGGTGTGTGCAAGATAAAATCCAAGCCCCAGAGGGTGTGCAGCCCACGAGAGTTGACTGTAATGGGCAATGTTGCAGACGATTTAATACTGTTCTTGATGAGTTTCTAGTTAACCCCCCGCATATGGCACGCCTAGAACTATTACACAGTCATGGCCCTGAATTTTCATCAACGGACCCACTTTCCTCTTTTCTAGCGATATAATGCTATCTGCAGCTTGATTTACGAGGAAAGTGCATACAAATACGGCATTTTCTATCATCGTTACGTTAAGGTCATCGAGGCCCGACCGTGTAGTAAAGCCCTAATCCATAATGCCATAAAAAAGGCAGGGCCTTCTTGATTTATCTGCCCCCTTATTGGCCCATACATCTCCACACTTTGTAGGGACGCGTTCCCGCACCATCAGGGGACACACGCGAGAGCTAGAGGCGTGGCTTTTATTATCATCATTGGACGGACCGGCACGATGTTTGTAGGCTATCCCATATACCGGACTACACACCATGTGTATAGACCCGAAAGTAACAAATAAGGTCTTATGGATAACTGAGTTTTCGGCAACCTTTCATCAGTCTACCTCATATACGAAGCTATTATCGTTCTTTCCTCACTCGATGCCAGTTCGCTGAAGTGGAGAAATCGCGTGGGCATATATAAACTAGACATAGCAGAAAGGCCTTTCGGATGTACTGATGTTGGTGAATGCACGCCGGGTTCCAGATCATTCAACTTCAACTCGGATTCTAGGGCCATCCGGAGTTGCTGGATCTCAGCATCGTCCGCTGCTGCGACCGACCAGAAAGTTATCGAGATAGACGCAGACGACACTGTTGGGCTTATAGAAGACACAATCCTCGAACTGCGCCATGGTATAGCCGTGGCCCAACTAGGACAAAGTGGACGCACTGGTACCAGATCCGCGGTGCTTGTTTCATTCCGTACAGAGAGCGTCGAAGATGGCAAACGTATCCTTAAGCCACTGTAATCTTTCCATGCGCCCAGAGCGAGGGTCCGTATAAAAGGTAAGTTTTGTAAGGGGCCGGTTAGGTTGCATTGCAGAATTGCTGCTGAGCATCATGTAAGGGGTTCTCTTTTCTTCAAACAGATACTTATAAAAGCAAGGTAACATTATCCCCAAGTTTAAGATTTCTTATTTCACGCCGAAACTTTCGAACGCTTTAGTAATGGAGCACAAGCGTCACGTCTATTTGGCCTGCAAAGCTATTTTTTCTGCCCAGAATGCCTCAATCCGTAAGAGAAAGACCGTTCAAAAGCGTCTCGAAGATCACCGGTCGTCGCTCCAGTCTCTCATACCGGATTTCGATCTCAAGAAAGTGGCGGTTATATGCCAAACTCCCCTTGAGAAGCAAATTTTTCAGTCTGAGATAAAGGCGAAACTCGAATTTCCTGAATTATTCGCGCCTGCATTGGAAAAAGATTCCTACCCTTTGGCATCTGAAGAGGAGGCAGCAAGGTCAGAAGCCGAAATAATTGAAGGAATTACCCTGAACTATGAAAGGGAGGAATCAGGAGTGGACACGGTGATTCCTTTTGATTGTCGCAAAGATTGTCTCAATAAACAACCGCTCTATTGCGACCAGGGCAGGGTTTCCCGGCCTGTCTCAGCGCGAAAGCCATCACTGCCATCATTCTATCCATCATATTTCCCCTATCACGCTCAACACGCCATTCTTTCGACAGTGCAGCGGGTTTTAGAGGAGTCTTGCTTTGATTTTGCACAGAAGTGGTTTCCTCTGGATATCAAGGATCACGGCTGGGACTGCGCCGAGGCAGTCGAACTTACCAAATGGACAAGGTTGATTCAGGAACAGAGCTCAAACCTGCCTTGCGGTAGTTTACTATTAAATGGCTCAGAGCTTAGTACCGCATTATCGGCCGTGCATAAGATTCGCCACACTGCTGTCCATCGACTATTGACTACCGCCCGAGGAATAGATATTCTTGTCGTCTCTGCTATGCGTTTGACTGAGGTCCTACAGGATACATTACGCACTTCTCAGTTGGAAGATCTTCACGTGGATCTAGCAAGTAAAATCGAAACAATGGACCTTCAAAAAAAAGCACTTGATAGCTGTCTTGCACAAGATCTCGAAAACATACAGTTACAGAGAGAGCAGCTGGACCAAAAAGAGGAGGATCTCAAGAAGAGGGCTATGGGCAATGACCAGGATATGAAATCCTTGATGGGCCTCCTGATAGCGGAAACAGTGGAGAAGGTGTTTAGTCACGACTATAGGGACCAATGGGAAGCAGAGATGTCATGCTTTGCTACTGCTGACGAGGGCGACTAATTTCATTTTAGTTCGCGACAACAATATATTACAAGACGAGAGAAGGCGGGCATCTCCTTCAATGTACCACAGCATAGGCGAGAACTAAGCCTCTTGGGATAAGGTTTTTGATCTGCCTTTGCTTGCACTGTTCCGGAAAACCGATTTAATGTATTGTAGCATCACTCCTACTCCCACCCACGGTAATGCGGGACCTTCATCACCGCAAGGTTTAGACATTTGCACTTCAAGCGATGCAAAATTTGAAAGATCGAAACGCACGATGCAAGAATTCGCTAGCATATATACTTGTCGACCATAGCGACGCACTTGTTACATGCTTTTTCGCTTCATAAGATAAAGATCGGTACCTGCGCTCAGCTCCGAATTTTACTTCGACATCATTTCTTATCCGATGTGACCCTCGGTGCGTAGACGTCGAATCTAAGCGTGAGGTAGCTTCCGTAATCATGGCACAGGATCGCCACGTAAAGCAAACAGTGGAACCACTACAACAATCAACCCCACCAACGGCGAATGCGGGCAACATGAAACACAGATGCTCTTGCCGTCATCCGGGGGCATTGTGGCCACCATCGGACCACCATGAGGGAGAAGCCGACCTAACTTTACCGGACCACTACATCCTGCGAGAATAATTATTTGGACTTTAGCATAATTAGTGCTGAAATTTCGATTGTCTAATCAGAATTCTGATTATTTGTGTGGTTCATGTAGTATAATGCGTTGGAGTTCGGCAGTCCCCGGGATACGCACAAGATCTACGAGGCCCCGCCGATTATTTCACACGCCTGATTATTTCATTCAATATTGCTCTCGTAAATTCCCGGGACCATTCAGGCAGCTGCAAGGGAGTATACGTAGCTTGAATGGCGGGCAGCCGATTGGGCCGACATAGCAGCTTTGTGCAGTCGTCGTAAAGGTTCTGTCGAATACAGGATAAGGCACAATACCGCTAGACTGAAAATGCACCATGGGCAACATTCTAAGTCTATACTGTCATTCATTTTTTCAACAGCTTCCCCTCAGGTACAATAACCACGAAGCCATACACACATGGTCTACCTCGGCTTCGAACACTTTGCGAATGGTCAGGTATCGTAGCATATAAATATCGGTTACAGAACCCGGCCGAAGTGAGGCTGAAATAGAATCGATGACGTGCGTTTTTCAATGGTGATGGCATGATTGTGAAATCGGTAAAGATGTGGAAACTAGGAGACTGTGCATAAAGGTGGCTCCTTATTTTTGAGTGTTGATTTTTGAGTCCATTATCATGGGTTTCGCCCCCCTTTCGCTAGCAAGAGAATACAAGACGATAGGCAAGAAACTGAAATTATTTAATTGAATCCATTGTAGGGTATCATAGTAGACTGACGTGAAATGGAAAGTTGTTCCGACGGAGACTTAACTTGAACCAGCTAGTGCCTTAAGCGCCAACGAAATGTTGATATGAATCAAAGAAGCGTAAAGCACCATCTCCATATGGGCATGAACTCTAAGTCGTATTTTAAGCTCGGCTAGTTTCCCCCTCTCAAGAACCAAATCTATATCGCGCTGGCTCGCTGCAATTATCACCTTGCAGATGGTGGGTATTTTGATAGAGAATTAACGAGCCTCCCCAGCCAAGGGCTACAGATACACTTGCCATGTGAAGCCACTCGGTTATCTGACACCATTTTCAGCAGAATCCAAGTTCATCTCGATGATGATCACTACAGTTGATACATCATAAGATCAGCTGTACGATTGGTAAGCATCAAGCTCGCAACTGTAGCGTTTCCTCGATCGCTCTGTGCACGCAGTCCTGGGGCTTTAACACCGACGTATCATGGCTGCACCATTGATTGCCATAATTCCCCGCCATTTTATACATATTAAAAAATAAACCCATTTTGTTTCTAGCCAACAACAAAGACTATTACTATTGTAAAAACAATTTCTGCGATAGTCATCAGGAACCTAGAAAGGAACGGCCGTCACTCCAACCAATGGCCACAAAAGATTGTTGAATAGAGCGCCAGATAAAATTACGTTCCCGCTCATCACAAGACTCCTATGCATACATCCCTGACGTCCTCAATCTTACTGGAGATGTCTCACTGTGATTATGTCACGTGGAATATAGTCCTGTGCGAACCACTCAGAGACCTGGGTAATGGTGGCATCGATTGAAAGATGCTGACGGAGAGCGCCGGTGGATACGAACGTCACGCCTTCCTCATTTTCCCAAGCAGGTAGCCGTACAAAACTTTCCACGAACTCAAGCTCGAGAATTGTAGAGCGTAAAGATGAAGTATCAATTTCAGCCAAGAAAACACCAGTATCTCCCCGACCACAATGGTATCGAGCACGTTTCTTTGCGTCAGCTATGAATGGGGAAAAAATCAGAAGATGTCAGGCCATAAGTGTTTCCAAAATCGCTGTGTGGTACCAACCAAGATTATCACATGCAGAGTTAAACGGTGTTGATTCTATCGGTCGGGCTTCCCATCTCAGATGTGACTCAAACTTTTGCTTGTTCAGCCAAAACGAATTCGCCATCAGATAATGCCCCTTAGATGAGAATCCGTTCACTGAATCATAATGTGTGTAAGACTTATCGTGTTGAACGCGATACAAAGCAGCCGGTAGGTCGTCCATTGATATGACGATCGAAGGGTGCTCTTACTAATCAGAGCCCTGTCAAGTGGTAGTAAAGGGAGGCGGAGTGAGGAATGTACTTGGAAGTAAATTATCAAGTCACTGAGTTTGTGAGGCCTGATAATGCGGACTTACAGTCAATTTAACATGAAGATATCTGTCGTTGACATGATTTGGAAATCAACAAGGCCTGCATTGCGGCCTGGCCCGTCTCGATAGACCGCCATTTCCCTCGTAGAGTAGCAAATGCACCTCAGGACAACCTCATCCTAGGTGCATCAATAAAGTTGCGGTGAGATTTTGAACAGTGGGGATACAAGCGCAAGGTTCATCACCAGCACCCAATCACCTAATCGTAACACAATGGTCTCTTCACCACCCCTCCTCCATCCTCGAAGAAAGGGACGTCATACCATGACTAATCTACTTTACGTGCATGACGGGCACGCCTTACAAGATACTCAATCGATTCTGATGCATTATCACCGCCATGGTCATCTCAGAAAACGCTTTAGTTGATTTACAAGAATACTCACTAAGAGCCTGCAAGTTTTTCTTATGAGGTCGAAGCCGTTACGCCGCGCCAATTCAATACTCATCTCTCTCGCCATCACCGACACCATCCAGCAGCTAGAACCGCCGAGCTTCGTCAGGCTGCCCTGGCCGAGATTTTGAAACAGCCCTCTGGCTACCCTATCCCATTGGGGTTGGTGGGGTCGGGTCCACCCCATTTATTTTGTATGGCCCCACTTTTCCGATTTTAGTTCATTCCGGTTTCTTTTTATACTCCATTCCTGTTGACCTTCTCGATGAGCTACGGACTTTAGAGTCTGATATTTTCGAGAATAAGTAATTATGTACCCAAAATTGCGAAATAAGAGGAATCGTAATTGAATTGAGGTTGTGGTGAGGTTTTCAAAAAGGTGAATTTTTTGATGGGGTTGACTGTGTTGAGGTTTCAGCAGTCTTCGATACCGCTGAGGCTTCCTTGATATATATCATGGGACTGAGAGCTTCTGTTGCTCTCTGTCCTCCCTGAGAGACACTAACTTTGTATGGTAAAGTGGGCTTTGGGGAAGCGTGTAAAGCACGCTTCCACTCAGGGGCTATCTTAGACATCTTCAATCTTCCTCAATCGCTGGCATATAAGGCAAAGAAATATATATATCGCTGATCTGCTGGGGCATTTTCTAGAAGAGACCATAGGTTACAGGTAGTTTCCTCACATCAAAGCGAGTGGACCGAATATACATATATTTGTCCTGGTCATCCTTACTCTCCTGCTCACCACTATCAACACACATCAAGATAGCCGCATGGTTGTGAATCACGTCCCAAATCGAGACGAAACCACTCAGCACATGCCCTCTAAGTAGATTTATGTATGCCCCTAATGCATAGGTACGTAGTGCTTCTTTCTGGGCGTCAGATATGCCTTTGTTGGGTTGTTTTGGATGGGTAGCTTGGCGGCCAGGGCCACCGAAGATAGGACGGAAGTGGCAGAATTCTGTATTATAATTGGTTTATTCACATGATTAAGCAGGGTCTGAAGGGAAATTTTGTGTGCCAGACGAAAATGTGCCAGATGGCGTTCTTATATATGGGAAAACTCAAAGAAGTGGGTCCAACCAACAGATTTTGGTGCCTAAAGAAAATGCGTGCCTTAACTGGGAGTGCCGAAAACGGGAGTTTACTGTACTAGATATCGAATATGCATTCCTCTATATTTCAACCACCAGGAATCCAATTCGGTCAATCTTCTGGCACATACATATATAGGGGTAAAGAAAGAACATAAACAGGTCTGAGGACTTTCAGTCTGGTATTTCCATGCTTTACCATAAAATACACCGTAATTTTCTTGTTTCAGATTCAAATATATATCTTTCTCATTATTCGCATTTACCTTTTCTAAGTGTACAAACAGGCTTTTTATACTCTGTAGTTTATGCTCCTTGAAATGTTAAACTGAATCATGCATGGTTGTTGAGATATGAAGTTGTAATTTATCGCATTTAGTATGGTGTTTTGGGGTGGCCTGCACCACCGTGTGGCTCGGTCGGCCGTGAAACTACATTAGTTACTGAGGTTTCTATATTATTCGTCCATTTACGGTGGTGAAGAGCTGATGCAAACAATACGAGCGTTCAGGTGAGAGGATGGAGGCAAACATCTCATTTCAGCTGAGAGGATCAGAGTGGCAGTCTGTGCGACCGCGTGTAATTCTCACCCACTCGCACCTACCTATCTTCACTAACTCGAAGACGCTTTCGTGGCTGAGGGCTGTCATGACCTTCTGCCTGTTGTGGGCTTGAAAAGGAGTCCTGAACCTGCTGCAGATACGCAACAAAGACATGGAAATCAGCAAAGTCCCTCCAGGTTCTACGCGCCTCTGAACGGATTTCCAGATGGACCCGGTTCCATAGATGCTGCATGTGATCCTGGTTCGGACTAAGGTTGTCCGGGGCCCAACGTAGGAGCTCCAGGGCAAAGGTGGACACAGATTGGTCACACCATTGGTACATAGTGTAGTACCTTGTGCGTCCGGATCTCTCTACAGGGAGTTGATTGACGAGGAAAACGCAGAATGCGAACCAAGTCACCGTTTTTAGGCGGGCGGCATGCTCGTTCCATTTTTCAAGCAGTGCGGCAGAGAGATTGGTCATGGCGATCTTGATCTTTTGAGGCTTACTGAAGCGTTCTCCGTGCTTGTCCAAATGATGTTGTAACTGGGACATGAACATTTTAAATTCCCACCAGCCGCGTGATGAGTAGACCGATAGCCCCTGGGGTGGCTCGTCCGATGATAGTCGACGTTTGAATTGACCGTTAAGCTCTTTTGGAGGCAAAGCCCGGGTTCGCCGCGTGGATTGCGTCATGATATCGTCTTTGGGGCTAGATTTTAATCCATCTGTACCCGTACAGACCAAATGCTCATCATTTGAGAAGGCACTCTGCTTCCGTCGTCTAACAATTTTCGCTCGAGCTGGAATTATGTTTTCAACCTCCTGCAAATATGCGGTAAACGAAGTATAGTCCGAAAACTGCGTAGATGACATTTCGATGCGGTCGCGAATGCTGGGGAGAATTCCTTGCAGCAAGTAGTCCATGAAACTTTGAGTACTGACTTGGGGAAGGACAGGCGCCCACTGGATTAGCCAGAGAGAGAAATGTGTCACAGGTTGAGCAAGTTTCTGCCTGGCTGTTGTAATCCCATATCTGGCTTGTTGGGGGGTTGCTCGGCGTGAGAGCTGTTGAGCAAGAAACGTGCAATACGAGTTCCATGTCGTGTTCCCGGGCGTCTTGATAAAATCATCCCACCGATTCTTTAGGCTGCGCCCGATGTATTTTCCTCCGAGCTGCACTTTGCGAGTCTCGGTGTAGTAGCTAGGATATTGAGCAAAATGGGCTTCCAATGTGTTGATGTAAAGTACGCATTCAGCCCAATTTTTTCCCTGGTAAGATCCCAAGTGAAGATCTGGGGCGCGTGGCGGATCGGCATGACTTATGCATGCGTGGGTGGCTTGGGCGGATTTGCATGACGAAACGATTGCGCGTGATTGAGAAGATGACCTTCTCGGGTTCTTCACTTCTTGGTGGGAAATTGCTGCTCTGCGCTTCGTACTTTTCTTCGTTGAAAGGACCTTTTGACAGGGTAGAACCCGACTCGGGGCCATTACTCCACACTACTGGCACAGGTGACTCCCTTTTCACTCCCCCGTTAATTATCCTCGCATGTTCTGTCAAGGTCTCCTGCTTACAATATGCGGACGCATGACCATCAGTAGGTGTGTCGTTCATAACAGACCGTTCGTTTTTGCAGGCAGGGTTGGAAAAGGATTCTATCAAAGCATCCACAGCGCTGTTGAGATCTTGGCCGGAAGAGGTCACGACGGCTGGCGACTGGGGACTGATCGAATCAGATCTATCGAGGCCTATCTTTTGTTGAACGAGATCGAGGTATCGCTGCGCTTCGTCTAGCTTGAGTCTCTCCTCTGCTATCTGGACCTGTAGCTCTTTAACCATTCTCTGCCTCTGTAGCTGTGCCAGATCTTTAGTGAGACGGACGACCTTCGTATCACTCTCACGATGCTCTTTGTGGACACCTATGTCGTCTGTCATTTGGCTCGGACTCATAATGGTAGGTTCCGAAGGACAATGTATAGTTAATTTTGTGACAGAGCAAATGAGACTTCGGAGTGCGAGAAGTATTATATCGTCGTATGTCGGAGGATGACTATTAGTAGTCGAATGCCTGATACGCTAAGAGGTTGGTCTCTGGAAGAAGAGCGTTGGGTTCAAACTACCGAGTTCTATCAGTTATAATGGACATTGGCATGGTATTGACTGATTGAGGTACCACTATAGCTGGCTATAGGGCACTGACCACAAAAATGCTGCAGTGAGGAGGTTTTGGGTGAGAAGGTAATGCGTCGATTAGGCAGCAAACGGGGGTTGACTCGAATGTTGGCGTAAACCTTGTGTGGGACAGTGGGACGGTGTGTTTTATAACCCCCATAATTACGGCTAGCTGTTATAAAACCATGTCAAACAGTACGTAATTAATTAATTACAGTGGCACCGCGAAATTCTGTGACCCCCCCTATTGACCGCTTTGGTCGCCGCTATCGTATGCTGGACTAAGATAGTAGATACCTTAAGTAACTACTATTGTGGTACATCACTTCTAGTTTAGGCTAGCACTAGTCTATCTTCAGAATGCGGTCAGGAGGGGTCACAGACTTTTGCGGTGCCACTGTAGTTAGTGAGTTACTGTATGCTCTGGAGTCATCAGCCGGTGGCCAAGGCTGGCTCCATCTTCAACCCGGTCACCCCAGAAAACTATACCGAATGCGATTTTTCAGGTACTAATATATCGATCAAGAGAAGATATTATCACTTAATTTCAAGTCAATTAAGATTCTCTTATTTAAGTTATCCTTGAGAAGTAATGTATTTACTATGGTGTTATGGGGTGCCTGGGAATCTCCCCACTCAGCGTGTGGGACGCGTCCAGATTCGGCTGAGTTGGATTTTTGAAATATCTCAGCAACCACGCCAGTTGGCAACTTCTTGTAAACAACTATTTCAATGTAACTTCCTGCGCTATCAAATTAAACTGCCAATCATTGACTTTGGCTAACCGCGGAGCCTTCCGTGTTGGACTTGGAAGCCGTGTGCGCTCTGCTACAAATCTCCTCTATGAAAGAGACAACGTCTTGCCGATACAGCAATATAAATCTAAACAGAACGCATATCAGTTTAATGATGAATTGACCGAGCTGGCAGCTATCTTTAGAACTCTCGTTTGCCCGCGCCTTCCACGTGGTAGCCCCATGGGTTAGGGGGGGGAATCCAATGGGTTCCGCGATACGTATTACTGTGATTTTTTTAATTCAAATTTTCACTAGTTTTAAGTATATAGTAAATTATTCATTTTCCCAAGATTCAAGGCAATCCGATGTTTTAATAAGGTAGTTACAGGGGCTTAAAGTTAGGGAATCATTTTGATGGGTTACGGTCGGCCAGCGTTATCACCAATCTCATGAACATCGCGATGCGATACATCACACACGTATTATTGGTTCAATTCATTCTAAAATCCCGCCAGGCATTTCAGGGGGTAAGCCACGACCATCCGAGATCGCCGCAGGCAAGCAGGAACAAGAGGAGGGGTATATACCAGCGAGATTTCCCACGTGGATTAGGGTCGCATTATATCCATATTCGCTACCCCGGTGCTACGTACGAGCCCGAAGCGCCGCCACCCTCGGCCACGCAAGTCACCGAAGACGTGGACCAGTTACGCGACGTAATTACACGGAAAATACAGTTAGAAGCTAAGATCCAACCCGGCGATATCGACAATCCTAATTTGTGGCTGGACCGAATGGGACAGCTGCGTTATCCTGCTGCTGCATTTCGACGAGTTGGCATTATTTTTCAGGTGATTGGCGGCCAGCTCTTTCCGCTGTCCTCTCAAGACATTAATAGCCGAGTTCCTTTCGACCTGCAAGGCAGGCAGGCTAATCTTTTACGCGACTCCAGAAAGAAGCCCCCTTGGGAGGTAAGAATCGTAGGTAAAATGGTCGGCTTTCAGGACGTGCCTGCCGAAGTACTATGCCTCATAATAGACGCTCTTCTGCCGCAACGTTGGAACTCCACGCAGGATGGCCGTAACCAGCTGGTGATAAGACTTATCTGCCGTCAGTCGTTGCTTCCAATATCTACAGCATGACAGCCGCAGAGGGTGGTACTTGCAACATCTGCCGTTGATGCCTGGCTGCCTTATTAATCCACACTAACGATTATCTCTTTCCACCAGGGAGGTTTGATGCTGTCGTCTCAGATCTCGCAATCCGAAAGCTGGACTTGAAACATCTCGTTGAGACAGCTCCGCAAATCAACCGAGATACAATAATTTGGTTGCTATACCAAAAAGTGCGATTAGAAGGAGATGGAGACGTGACGCGTGTGCGAAATTCCCATTATGTCCATGCACAAGCGACCTTCCGGAATGATGATCTCATGGTCCGAGCCCTTTTGAATGGGGATCACCATCTCGAGTTGCGGGCTGCTTGTGCCCTTGCGGTATCATACCAGGGAGCAATTGCCATATGTGAAAGGCTGGCAAACCCATGTCAAAAACCACTTCAATGCCGACTTCTTCGCAGCAATTTAGCCGTGGCGGCTTATCGGGGCCAGGGAAGCATCATTAGGTCGCTGGTGGCACAAGGCAGCCGTGTCGATTCCTGGGATGATTTTCTTGGACCCCCATTGTATGCTGCAGCCATCTTCCCGGGAAGGGTGACTATCGTAGCCTTTTTGCTCAAATCTAAAGCCAACCCGAACGTCGGCGGAAGTCTAGGAACCCCATTACTGGTGGCCATGTGGAACAGAGATGAGTCAGTGGTACAGTTGTTACTACAGAATAGCGAGGTGGATCCAAATCAACCTGATCGCCAGGGCTTCACAGCTCTTTGGTGGGCTTGCTTTTCTGGAAAATCTGACATTGTGCGACTCCTCCTTGATCATAAAAAGACAGACCCAAATTTGAAATGTGGCGGGCAGACCCCCCTTGCTGCCGCTGCCGGGCGAGGCCACGAAATGATAGTGGGGTGGCTCCTGGAACGAGAGGACGTGTTTATTGACTTGAAAAACGGAACTCATTGCCCGCTATGGTGCGTGGCCTTCGCAGGACAACCGCACGTTCTGCAACTGCTTCTAGACAAGTTAGAAGTTAGTGCGGACGACTACGGACTTCACTCCAAGACACTACTATGGTGGGCTGCTGAAAGGTGTCACCTTCTGTGGTCCAGATGCTGCTGGAGCGTAGCGATGTCAATCCTAACTATCATGATGGCAAGGGTGATAACCCCTTGTGGGAAGCCGCTAAAAACGGACACGCCGACGTGGTGCGCTACTTGTTACAACGGAGAGATCTGGACCCGAACATCACATCCTACACCCACGATACGCCGCTTTAGGCGGCTGTTTTTGAGGGACATGAGGATGTCGTGGATGTATTACTCGGTTGTGACGCTTTGAATCCGAATTTGAAAGGGGGTTGGAGCGAATCTCCTCTTATCGTTGCCTCAACGAACGGTCTGACACGCATTGTGGCGATGCTGCTTCAGAGAACGGAAATCAACATCAATTTAGTGGATTGTAATCATCGCACGGCTTTATCATTTGCCTCCGAGAAGGATCATGAAGCAATTGTTCATTTGCTTCTAAACCGGAGCGATGTGGACGTGGGCAAAGTTGACCAGTGGGGTCGCACTCCCCTGTCATGGGCAGGGGAGAAAGGTCATGTGGAAATCGTGCGGCTCCTGCTCCAACACCAGCCGACGCTGATGAACATGCAGGATGCAGATGGCAATACGTGTCTGATTGAAGCCGTACGGGGTGGTCATCTTGCTGTCGTTGAATTGCTTTTAGATTTCAACGCGGATATCTGTCTGAAAGATTGGAAAAACCGCACAGCGCTTTGTTGGGCTCGGCAACGGCGGCATCAAATTATTGAAGCCATTCTGGCGAGGCGACGCGAAGAGCACCTCTAGAAGTACTGCACGCCCTTTTGTCTTTTTAGTACTAGCAACCAAATGGAAATCGCCGACAAGGGTCCCGAGTAACGAATGCACTCTTTATCTTGAGGATTTGGCTGTTGTGTCACACTTGAACCTGGGTCTAGCGAGCTCTATTATGGTGATGGGCTATCAGTTAGATTCGATTGCGAAGCGACTGATAGCTACGCATTTACCTAGACGACGGCTGTACTCAGAAGACCTCCTCAAATCCCGGAAAGCGACCGCCCGAGTTCGATCCCCATTGCAGGCTCAGAACCCAGTTGCGGGAGTCATCCGTGGGATCCATGTGGCAGGGTGCAATCAGTCGCCCTGTACAGAGCTGAGCTACTCTGGCGTCTCCAAAAGGATCGACAGTGTGGAGGCAAGTGCTCGCCTTGGGGCATGTCAGAAACATCTCATTTTTCGTGTTTTTGGACATCTCCCGTCAAGGTCTCCTACCAAATCAAGGCCGTCTATTGCTACCAAGAGAAAGTGATATATATTCCGAAAGAAAAAGGAGGAAGTCAGGATGAACTTTGTACTTGAAAACTTGGCTGAGAGCGTGAAATGTCATTAGTCACGGGGTCCAGCACAATAGTTAACTGAATTAGTGGCCGATCAGGTGAGTCATCTCTACTACGACCAGGGGGAAGCAAACAAATCGTTCGATATCCCAGTGAATCATCCAATTTGTAGAAAGTGACTTCCCAGTGGAAAAAGTATTTCGAAGTCGTGCACTGGGAATCGCGCCCGAGTCTTCTGGCTACGCAGGGCTTTCTAATTATTACCCCCACTAATCAGGACCCATTGCCCATCGCAAAGACGTCTCAGACCATTCGCTGGCGCTTCTCAAACGGAGGGATAACCGCCAGGATCGCAGCACAGGAGTACATAGTTCCAATCGATGCCTCGTTGCTATAAGCGACGAAAGGCAAAGCCATTGTTTGTGTTCTGGCGTCGTGAGCCATGTGATACCGTCCAGGTATTGCGCGGGCCACTCTTCGTTGACGATCTGGGTTAAGGGTAATGACAAGTCAGCATTACGCCCACTACAAGGGAGGGGACTCTTTTCACCCACTTCTGGCGTTGCCTTTTCTTGGCCATAGTCGGTGGTCCTGTATGGCGTTCGTGGAAGCGCGACGCCTCTGTGTTGCCAGAATTTCGGATTCTTAATTGGGATCTTCGCAAACTTGGCAAAGCAAGACGTTTCTCTCAATCCCTGAACCTGCCGGGAAAGCAAACGTGTTTTCGAATACTCGTCGACGCCCAAAGCTATCTGCAACACCATTGGCACTTGGACGTACTCGGGCTCAGATTCCTTCCCACCTCTAGGTAATTGATCATTAGTTTGTGTGCATCCCAGTAATCGTCTTCCTCTGCCGTCATCACTGGAAGTATGTCAACCTCGATGCCGAGCGACTTCAGGATCGAGTACACCACCAGATCGGCACCTTGAGCGCGGTCGGTAACAGATGTTGTGCCTCCCGTGACGCGTGTGGATAGGCATGGGAGCAGTACATTCCGAATACACCACCTGTGACGATCGGCTTGCCGTTTAATTCCCAATGCGGGGCCTTCCCATGCTTCATAAAGCCGGGATGCGAGACAAGGTCATGCACAATGCCATAGAGAGAGAACTTCTGCGGGTACAGTGACGCGGGGTGGAATCGACCCACCTGCGGGTTCTGTCACATAGAGGTTATAGGTTAAAGTAATGCTCTCTCCTTCACGAATGGTCTGGGTCTCATGCTCGCAGCCACTTTAAAAGGCATCCCATTGAATGCTTGGTCCACTGTGAGCGCACCAGTCGAATATCACTTCCTTACCCAGATGTTGTATCGCCAACATACCACCTTAGAATGGCGAGGGTAGACAAACGTTCAGGGAGCCGGCGTGATTCTCCAAGCGTGGAGTATCAACATGCTTACTAAAAAGACTGGATGGTCCGGAGTAGATCTATGAAGGATTTTCGGCATTTCCCTCCTGCAGTGCTGGATTCGACATACATTTAACTTGTACAGTTCGGCTTTGAGCTTCCGGAACGGCAGGCGGTTGTCCTGGTCGGTAATGCATCTGGGAAGAAGAATCTGCTCCACATTTTCCATGATTCCAAAGACCGATGGCCCAAAGTTAGTCAGGAAATGATCGCGATGTCGAGCTCGCGAGCGTTGCAGTATTCGGGATCCACTACATCTTGCTGGCCTCTACCGAAGGTGGCGAGATATCAATCGGCTATCAGTTGACGAAGTTTCTCCTGGTTCGGACCATGGCCAATCGTATCATTGAGTGGAAGCACAAGTTTTTGTGCTCTTCGTCCATTTCGAGAGTCCCAGTAGATCTGAACCGGGGCGATACTGTTTGCGTGGAAGCGGCAATATTATCAGCGATCTCACCGTTCATAACGGAGATGGAGCCGCAGGAGGCAAACGATGCGGATGCCCTTTAACCTGCGATCGAATCGGTCAATTGACATTGGAGCTCTTGAATAGCAGTTTGCGACCGAGCCGCAGGTCCAGCATCCGGATCATTTTCTCCGGCAGACTGCGGGGCGTGCAGCGTGAAGAGGACATCATTGGCTCTTTTTTGAAAAGCATCACATTCTGGCCGGTTCGTTGAATGCTCTTGATATAGTCGTGGAAACCAGCCACCCCTCTGACGACTACCGTGGGTTTTAAAGCAGACCATCGGTCTTCAAGCTTTTGCTTGATTTTGTCATGAATGAGAAAATCGCAAGCCTCGTGAGGGTCAAGCAATCGGGGAAGAAGACGGTTGATATTTGCTTGTAACTCTGCTACCGCCCTTGGCAACTGGGTGTGCTGTACCTCGGCCGCTATTAGGTATTTCAGACTCATGTGATGGATTTTGGCATTTGTGCAGCTCATGGCCAGCGTTTACAAAAAGTTATCAACGCAGACATCCAACTTGCAGATCTACTGGCGGTCAGCGTGAGTAGTCTTCTCAACGATATCAACCTTTCCACAATAGATGAGATAAATCTACCAAGCCGATCTTGTTGCCCAATGTCACCGGGACATCCAGTATCTTCCCCAGAATGTCCTTGTCTTCCCGTACAGCCAGACTGGGGTGAACATGTTGCAATATGCATAATTTGTCGTTATGCTATATCTACGGAACTCCCCTTCTATATAGCCAGCATCTCCGCAGCCGTGCGAGCAAAAGCTTCCAGAAATGGGTCCATCTAATCATGAAGAGCTTTATTTTGCGTAGCATTAGTTCCCGTTCCAGTGGATCTTAGACCTTTGTACTCCGTACGTACAGTATGAACGTCAGCTCTACTATGTAGTAAAAAGCTGTTGCGTGTGTAACAATTCCCAGTCATTCACCCGTGATATCACCGCGCATCCATGCTTTCTTGTTCCAGCGCCAGACGCATCCAATCGCTCAGGTATTGATCTTCCGAGGCGCGCGCGGCGTCTTTGGGATTGGGCGGGGAAGGGGACCCACCAAGGCTGACACGACGTGGCAACGCTTGCTTTGCGCCCTCTAATTTAGCTACGGCCCCCAACACTCTACCACACCTAGAAACTAGTAGGAGAGGGCATAAGAGCAGATTTTTCGTACAGTGAAACTAAGCGCAAAGTTATTGGCCGGCGTCGGCACGACGGCATCTCCTGCCGCTGCCGAAAACCACTGGTATTTTCTATGAGACGCCCTCAACAGCGTTCTCCAGGATAGTTCTTCAATCAACTCGTTCAATTGGTTCCCTCAGTACTAGCATGTACGGAAATCCTGTGGCTCAATAATATCCCCTGATAGAGACTGCAGCCAGAGTTCGCCGTACCGGACGTCGCCGGGGTAATGCAGCTGCTGAGGATATGTGATCAGGCGCAAGCCAGTGCGTGTTGGTGTCGACGTGTGGCCAAAAGGCATTTGCCTGTGGGTGGGGACTTGCCGTTATTACATCTTTGATGTATTGCGCCTGTTCATCTTCTAATCCAGCGATGTCGTATCTGTCTTCAAGCCTCACAAGCTACATGGCAGCCGAAATATGCTTTCCCGGGTCTTCTATGTCGAACCTCACGACACGAAGATATAGCCATTGAATGAATGCTTCAACGCTTCGAACCGAGATAACGTCCTCCATTTACTCTAGGTCTACCGCCTGTCGCTGATTCCCTCGAAGCTGGCTTCCGAACATTGCAGAAAATACAGGCGACTCGGTGCAGAGAAGGCCTTTTGAAACCGATAATTCGATATTGCTTGGTGTGACTCGATTTTTGACATGAGGATTCAGATAACGTGAGAGGATACTATAGGTTCGCATCTCAGACAAGCCCTCTCCAGTTATAGGCAATATTAACCACTTACTTCGTCACGAAATGATGAGCGCCCATTCTGGATACCCCCGCCATCTTTTCCGAAGTCAGAGTTCGTGCAGTATACTCAAGAAATGAAGATTGCCTGTGGGGTAGAAGCCTGTCGCTTAGGTACGAATAAAAAGATCAAGTCGGATGGGCGGCAAAAATGTTTCTTGGAGTCCTGAAACCGGACTCCTAGTCAGTCCAATTTTCTCAACACAGGAGACAATTTGAAAGTAAATGAGTGGAAGGTAGAACTCTGATGCGTGGAGCGGGGGTTTCTGAAAGGGCGCAGCCTTCGTGCAAAGACTCTTTGTGGTGCGATCAGATGCACCGCTAAGCGTAAACCGACACTTCTTTCTATTCCTAAATGGCGGGTGGACTAGTCCCTTTATTTAGCTTCAGATCCCCTTAGGCGCTAGACCTCAGCAAGACATAAAGAATCTTAGTAGCCTCATCATGTAAAACTTCATAACGAGAACACATTACAATCGGTCTAGTGAATTCAGTGCAAAACGTGTGGTGTGTGCTTTCAAGGGAACTCGTTAGCTCAAGCTGCCAGGAGCGTTAGAGCTCAGGCACGAAGAGGTAAAAGATTAACGTAGGAGCATTCAACGAAGGTATCAAGACTTAGTAGGAAGGGAAGAACAAGAAGAAGAAGACCACCAGGGAAGAGAGATTATATATATGGAAAACGAGCAAATAAGCAAACAGATAACAAGGCGGATAGACCCTTAAGGGCAACACCCGATGTTATTCCCACCTATCTCCTCCGTCCTCGCTACAACGTCACGCTCGTCGTAATAAGAGATTTCAGCATGAATCATGGATCTCACGGCCGCCGTGATTCGTGGCAACGGCAGAACTGCTATCCTATTGAAGTTCAACGTATGTAGGGCCGTCGCGCGTCAGGGTGACGAGAAGAGGTTGAGGATTCCACATACGTGGCGCCCCTGGGTGTCATATTAGTTGAAAATTCAGAGATGCTAGAGCTCTGGCAAACAGAATTCAGTACCGGGGACATGAAATGACGGTTCTAGGCATCTCCTCCAATTATAAGACCAGAGGAAATCGTAGTCTCTATGCTTGAGATCGCTGTGAATATGCAGCCACAATAAACGTGGGCTCGACTTATTGGCCCAACGGAGTGTTCTGATTTTCATAGATCTTGTAACTCTTACAGGTAGCAGTATGCCGAAGTTTCTACCGTAAGGCATATACTGATCTTGGAATCTCCATTTTCGTCGGCACGCCTATTTAGTCGAGCCGGACGTGTCCGCATTAGGAGCTCAAATGAGTATAGCTACGCGAAAGCGTAAAGCATGAAAACACGGTAGTATATTCGGCTTTCCGAAGCAGACTTCATATCCGTGACATCGCAATACCTATCTCTTGCAGTTCATATCCAGACCTATTATTATTTCCAGCGCTGTTCCGATAGTTTCTACCCCCTTCAATTTTTTGCAGGGTATCTCTCGCTCTGAGGCTTGCCTTGAAGGCGTGAGAAGTGTAAAGACTCTTCTGTTATCATCCCGATTCGGCCATGTGTGCTCCCATTGTCAATTCAGTTCTACCATCTGTGTCCGGGTCGTCACACCACCAAGAAATTTTGATCTCCACATGTTTCGAAACAATGACCCTCCACATTTTTCTGTGTGCCTGGACCTAAATGGTTATACTGGCGATTACCGTTGCCATTCTGGCAGGCACCGGGATTTACTGCAGAAGACGGGTTTCTCGGGTGTCTTGCGTTTGGGTATACATCCAGAACCCACTGGCATAGCTTGTCACAAATTGCCTGGAACAGAGGGTCGCCCGCATCAACGATTTTGGTCATGTCCTCGTAATTAGCGTGAATTCCAACAGAAGGAAAACGCGGCAAAGTGGCAGAGTCTTCCCCCATGAACTATTTCCTAGGAATCAGCAATTGGAAGAGCGCCTTGTTTTTGGTGGCTTACAGAATTCAATTCCAGAGACGACCCCTTGTTGAAGAAACAAGTCACATCTATTGGCGGTAACAGTCTTTCGTCGCGTTTTTCTATCACGCGACCCAAATCAGCTATAATCTGATCATGCATCTGATCGGTACCCTGTCCGATAAAATCCACGTTATGGAAGCACCCCTGTTTGTCGAGACCAGCGGAACCGGAAACGGACTGAAGCCAGGCAGCAAGGCCACTTTTTGTGAATGGCGTGCCAAGAAAAACGACGCCGTGGGCGGAAAGGGAAATATTGCAGAAGGCCGGCTCCAAGTGCGTGCTCGAGATCAATAAGGCCTGTCACCAGGATAAGTACAGCCCACGGAAACAAAAAGTTAACCTACATCGGTGCAAACCAGCCCGCCTAAACCATGGCAGATAAATGTGATGGGTCGTTCAGTCTATGAGCACTAGTCAACCGATTAATTGCTACATCCGTGAAGTTGGCTGCCTTACCGTGCTATCCTTCTCTCGATATATTGAGAGTAAAGACAGAAAATTCCTTGCGCGGTTTCGAATAAAGTCCTGCAAGTCTTCCTTCTTCCAGTCAAGCGTATACTTCTCATAAGTAAATGCGAGGATGCGAGCGGTGGGAAATAGGCATGGGAGGAGAGTCTTGGGCCAGGGGTCGAGAGTGCCTTCGGCTCTCCATGTCGTGGCAGGTTCGGCGGCCGGATCAAGGAGGAAGACGACACTGAAAATATATGTCAGAAGTCGCTCTAGGCGTCTAGATGTACTTACTCGATATTACTCTTCAACGGGCTGCAAAGCGTTTCGATTCCGGAGGTGATTGCCTCTGTATGCGACCTGGGGTATGGGGGAGGAAGCGAATCGCTATCGCCCTGGTCATTGTGGTATTCCTGAGACGCATTTACAGAAGGCTTCGTATGCCTGCGCGTTAGCCGAAAGAGCTTCGAAAGGCACCTGGGCATTCTGTCCGAAGACAAGAAGGCTTGTAGATAGAGATAAAGATAGAGTGGCTAATAGGTGAGGTGTGCTTTTAATGGTGCGATGTTAAAGCTGAAAGTTCTCTTAGCAATCTTAGGAGAAGACTGGCCTTGGAAGAGTCTTAAATCATCCTTTCGCGATCTTTTCATGCATTCCTAGAGAATCATTCCTTTTGCGCGTGCCTATTTTAAGAAATGCGCCAATTCGGTAGGGAAGGCTGGCTTACGCAACCGTTCTCAAATATACATAGCCAAGAAGAGGAAACTACTGGAATTTTGTTTAGGGCGCGAGATCATTGGATCACATGGTTGTTGAGTTGAAGCGCGCGCATACGGAGTACAGATATGTACGGTAACTGTGAGGGTTCCGTCTTCATAGCTCGGAGCCGCAAAAGGTTAGGCTGATACAGCTGTCGGAAGCGTGCTTAGGTTTCTCCGGTACCTCATGTGATGACAACAGCGCTAAGTGATTGGCTATCAGTGACGTTCTAGGTGATTAGCACACAGATGCACACAGCGGTGGATCAATTAATGCATATGAAAAAAATGCAGGGAATTGTTACAAACACCACACCGTTTTACTAGCGGCACCACAAGTATGAAATGGCCCGCTATCAGGACACGTCCACGTCGCGTAAGTATCAAGGCTGTCATCAGTCATTTTCTCCACCGCTCCAAACCTTCAACTCAGTACATGCTGTACCGTGTTTGACAGACCAACACTTGTCAGTGCCGTCACCACACTCACTTTTCATAAATCCATTGGGAGAGAGTGCGGATATCTTCCGGGGTTTGAATAACTCACCATCTTGGTGAGACGCGAAACCCCGTTACCGCTAGTCAACCGCGAACAATCGGAAGCGTTCGTGGGTTGTCAGCAGAAGCATATCATTGCCGGGTCAGACTAACCTACTGAGTCTGAGTGCCCACGACGTAGAAACCCGCTCGCTGGTATGTCGCAACCAGGCAGACCGCAAAACCACTTTTGGAGCAGTCACATGCTTGGCGACCGTAGTTTGTGAGTGTTGGCTGAGTAATCATTAATTTCTCCCCGTCCAATTAGTGAAAGACACGGGAGCAATTTTATCCGATTTGTTCGCGGCATCCCATGCTCCTTGTTTTTCTACAAGGGTTGGTCAGACACGTCCAGTGCGAAGAAGATGTCCGCCAATCACGAAGCTTTAAATGGACCATGTCCAAACATGTATAGCGAACTAAATGACTTTATCACCCGCCGCCATGATAAGGTGCTAAGACCTCTTCACTTTGCCGATATTTCCCTTTCGCAGTTCTCGGCCGAGCTAGAATGTTACCTCTCGGTATTGGACAGTGGTGGTAGCATTGCATTCTGCCGCGGAGAAAAACTGGCCAGCATTCAACTGAGCCAGAGATTGGAAACCCTCTTCCAAACCCCAACGCCCCGGGTGCTGGACGGACCGCAATTGACGTGGACGACCGTAATTCTCGCGATTGGCCCTCGTTTCGATGGACCCCCAACGCTCCGCGTGGGGGAGTCCTTGGTTGAATTTGCAGAAGACGACCTGGAACTGCTTAGGTCGGGAGCGCCATGGCGCTTTTTGAACCCTTGGCCAGATAAAGGTGATTGCACCAAAGAGCTTCAATCTGGCGAAATGACGCTCCAGGAGATCAACGAATCTCGCCAGATTCTGCATCAAGGTAGAGAGGCCCCTTGTTTCTTTTACTCTGCGTGGTGTACGAGATGCTAATGCAGTGGAATGCAGTCTTGGATAAAATGTCAGTACTTGAACAAGGCCTTATGCATCATCGCGAGGTCGTTGCTCAATTGTTTCAAAACCAACACCCTGCTACTTCTCAGGAAGAGACTCCAAAACTAGTCGAGGCTCGGGACGGCCCGCTGGCTGAATATCCCGACAGTGTGGGAGCTTCGGAAGAAAAGGCATTAGAGCCTCTTGATCCAAGTAATGATCGAACGTTGCGATCAAAAACCACCGAACTACGTTATAACGGGTCGGTAGATAGTTCCACTGCGGATATTAGCACGCAGCATGCGAGTCCGCAAGCCATGAACGCCGCCAGTCAGGGGTCTAGATTACATCAATCAGATTTTATTCAAGATTTGAGCGAGTGAGTGACAGACATACGCATTCCCTTTTAGATTGCCCCACTAATTGCTGAAAGTATCCTTGACGATCCACGGAATTCGGCAGCGATGCGTTGGTCAGATGATGGGCGATCTATCTCTCTTGGTTTGGGGAATGAATTTCCGGTGCATTTGCTTCGAAAGCTTTCAACCAAAAGCTATGATTCACTCGTTCGGCGGCTCTATTACTATGGATTCCGCAAGACATGGGGTGCCTATCATCATGATTGTTTCACTCGCGGCCAGCCCAGCTCAATAGTACCAACGCGACACATGAGCCCCAGTCCATCACCTCGTTCTATGCGTGATAGCCCTCGAGGGCCGCGAATTAAGATTATACCAAGAAAACGAGCGAGGAAAAGCGTTGAACAGTTGGCTGGAAAGTGATATACTTCTTGGTCTCAAAGTTTGGCTGTGAATTTTGCGATGTCCTTGACTCCCACCTGAAGTATGATCATCTGTTTATCAGGATAAGTCAACTTTCCGTTCGGCGAATGGATACCATAATAGCAGGCTAGTCAAGTGTACGGGTAGGCCATTTGTTGATCATGGTTTGTACAATTGAGATAATGCCCAATCATTCGCACATACAAACTTACTCTTTCCGCCGCCGTGGGCATCGTAGTCACGATGGGGTTGGTCCTGCACCGGAGTGCTTGGATTGCGACCTCTCGGCCGTAAATCGTATCGGCGATGAGGGATGGACCTCCGTGCCATCCTCCTGCCAATTCTAGGAAAATACGCTGATTGTGCCCCAAGACCGCCAACTCATTGTAATCGCAACATTGTAGTACGCAGATCCATGATCCCCAATGTAACCCGATGACCGCCCCTCCGTGGGGATAGGATTAGGATTTGTTGGCAATTTTGCTAGCATATAACCCCTGAGATGCTTAGTCGTCACCAAGACCATAGTGCCATTCGATGAACACATTGTGCACCACATCCTCGTCGTTCTGATAGCGTGGAGTTGAACCTTCCGACACGGGCGCAGGCTGGTCAGCCAGGCAAACGAATGTAGAATGATTTCTCCAATCGGCGATTCTTAGATAACTTAGATGAATTTTCCGATATCCCGGTCTTGCCTGTGTGGGATCATCGCGCAGCTGGTCCCACGGGATGCCGAGAATCTTGTTGGGTTTGCCAGCCAACAACAACTGCTCAGGTAATACCTAGGACGTGTCAAGAACGAGCCAGTAAGCCCCTGAAACCACATTGTAGGGCTAGGATGGGGAGACGCGCCGTGGACAAGAGAGAGGGACGGTGATTTGATGAAAGTCGATCTGAATTGTGAGGACTTAGATGCTGTAGGAGCTAAGCTTAGTTGTCGTGGAGTGCTAGACTATTAGCACGTCTGGGCTTTAGATCGATTCCTAGCTCTCAAGTCCGTTTACGTAGTGAATTCCCGAGCGATTGAAAGACACCAAATTCAAGAAACCTCTTCTCGTATGAGAGCCCTCCAGAGAAGGGACCATCCCCCCAGAAATGCATGTGCAACCTGCAGGAAGAAGAAAAGGCTATGCGATAGGGGCTGGCCTGCGTGCTCAAGGTGTCAAAAGTACGTCCAAATTGTCCCATTCTCATGTGAATGATAAATTTGCTCATTGATGACTAGACTATCGCAAACATGTCCATGCCACGATCAACAGGCCTTTCAGGTTTCAAAATTAAGAGGGAGTTCCGGGGTTGTAGGGACGTTCGTATTTGACTTGATTATTACCTTGTCATTCCGAGCGCAGCCTCCAAGCATTGCAGAATTAGATAATGTACCTATCGGTGCACATAGCTGATACATACTGAGCTTCAAGAGGCTCTAGTCAATGCAATTTCATGTCATGCTAAGGAATCTCTCTCCAAAAACGATCCGGCGCGAGATTCGAGTTCCTCGCAGCCTACGATGTTTGTACATATGATAAGCAGCAGTAACAACCCCCCTGCCTTGCAAATACCAAGCTGGGGAACGATAGTGAGATTTCTAACCAATATGCATTTATCAGTTAAGGCAGCAACAAGTAGTAGCTAATATGCGGTAACCTGAACGAAACATTCTGGTGTGCAGCTTTGCAGTCATGGCGCTTCTAGTGGTAATGTACCGGGCCCTCAATACGATTGAATGCTTTAAAAGTCTGATGAAGGCGCACCTCCACCAACAGTTGATCTATTTCTCACTGCCAATGCCTCCCGCAGCGTCCGCTCCATTGTTTCTAGAGCCATAGCTTCGGCTAGATCAAGGGGCGTGCTTGCGTCGAAGGAACGAATACCGGGATCAACACCAGCATCTAAGAGAGCCCGGACGATGTTTTCGTGTTCGTTGTCAACCGCCCAGTGCAGAGCCGTCCAGCCATTATCATCCTGAAGATTCCGTATTCCGCTCTCTGCCAAAAGAACCCTGGCAATTTCGTCCTCGCCCGCCTGGGCAGCAAGATGCAATGCCGTCTTTCCCTCGTAATCCCGGGCAAACGTATCTGCCTCTTTACTGAGAAGAAGCTCAAGAACTTTCATTTGACCCCCCAGGACGGCTCTGTGCAACGCTGTATATCCACTTGAATCGACGAACGACAGGTCAATTCCATGTACGATGAGGAGTCGAACTATCAACTCGTGCCCAGCTTCCGCAGCCTCTAGAAAGGCTTCCTTGACGGTCTCATCAAGGGTGGTACCGCTGTCAAGAAGCATATGCGCGATCGTCGCATGCCCATGGAGGACTGCATAGTACAACGGAGTCCGGCCATCGATATCTCTGACGTCTGATCTGACTTTGATACTGAGCAACAATTTTACCGTGTCCTCATGTCCTTTCGCAGCTGTATGATGCAGCACTGTGCGAAGTTTATTGTCGGTAAGGTGCGGATTGCTGCCCCGTTGGATAAGCAATTGAACGACAGCTTCATGACCATTTTGAGCGGCCAAGTGCAGCGCCGATTCTCCATGTTGATTTTGAATCTGGTCGAGGGCCCCGGCTTCCAGTAAAGCTATCGTTATACCAACATGGCCCTCGTTAGCTGCCCAATGTAGCGGGGTCCACTTTGTATGGCTGAGAGCATGTAGATCAGCCTTGTGATTCAGCAACGTAGGAACCATCTCTTCATGTCCTTTTGCTGCCCAGTGTAAGGGTGTCTGTGCGTTGTCATTTATGCTGTCGACATGCGCTCCAGCGTTTATTAGCATATCGGCAATCGTTCCTTTCCCCGAAAGGACGGCAAAATGTAGTGGCGTGGCCCCGCTCTTATCTGGAATTGAAGGACCGCATCCGGCATCTAGAAGCAGCCGCACGGTTGCCTCCTCACCAGCGCCACTAGCTTGATGAAGAGGTGTCTGTCCAACTAAGCTTTGAGCAGACACTTTCGCCCCAGCTTCCAGGAGACATTGGACAACGTCAACGAAGCCCAGTAAAGATGCCCGGTGCAATGGCGTCGCATTCTCGTGACCTTGCAGAGAAGGGTCTGCTCCTCTATTCAGAAGCTCCTGTACGATAGCAATATGACCGTTGCCGGCAGCGAGGTGTAGTGGCGAGTCGCCTTCCTCATCTTGAATGTCGACGGTTGCTCCAGCACAAAGTAGTGCCCGAACTATCTCAAGATGCCCTTCTGAAACAGCCAAATGAAGAGGCGTAAGTCCATGGGCATCATTGGCATCAATAGGAGCTTGGCGGTTTAGCAGCATCTCTGCAATTCGGCTATATCCCTTGATGGCAACCGCATGTAGAGTCGTCCTTTGAGCCCGGCCGATCCTTACGTCTGTAATGGTGGCTCCTTTATTCAAGAGAACCTCCACAACGCGATCATTTCCCGTTATAATGGCATAATCTAGTGGACTAAGTCCATTCTTATGACGTGCATTGATATCGGCTCCCACATCAACGAGTAAAGTCGCCACGTTACAATGACCGAAAGCAGTGGCCCAGTGCAGTGGCGTGTTTCCCTTATCATCAGCGGTGCAGGGATCGGCTCCTGCTTCCAGATAGCGCTTGACAATGCTTGTATGTCCACATACAACTGCAGAAAATAATATCGTTCGTCCATGTTCGCGGAGACTAGATGAAAACGCTGAGACAGCGAGCTCTGCGAATCCCTCCGCGGCTTGCGCGAGAGCCACGACATCTGAGGGTTCCAAATACTCAAATAGTTCCAGAACGATCTCTGGGGGAAGCGGAAGCCCCCACCAGCGGCCCATGTTGAGTGCGATTTTCAGTGAGAATCAGTATAAAGAGTTGAGTCTAGGTGGCCAGTGGCCCCAATCTTGGCGGAACACGAGATTTAGGCCCATCACGTGCGGAAGAGACGGCCTGTGCCAAAAGGGACCGACCGCAAATCGGATAGTAAGTCTTTGACGATGGCGTTTCTAAACATACCTCCATTTCAAAGTAGTCTGGATCAATGTCCACGGATCAATGTCCACGGATCATCGGGTGGATCCTCATCGTCAGCGTCGCGATTACGGCCACGACGGGCGTCGGTCTCCAGCTGGGCGACAGACCAGAACTGTTCCCACGCACGACGCTGGCGGCGTGTGAACTGGTACGTGGGGCTGACCCAATCGTGCGGTGCTTGGGTCCGGACGAAAAACATCAAAATCTGCCGCCATGGCTCGACATGCTTCTGGATGCTGGCCGGGTCCATGTATGCCTGTAATGGCTTGCCGACACTCTGGCCCTTCTCGATGCGCGCAGCGTCACTACGGATGGCATTGCCGGTGGCCTTGGTGATCTCCTGACTGATCTGGGCGACCTCTCCCATAGCGATCCAGATCGTAAAAGCTACGGCCTCGATGCCGTCTGCATCGCCGGCCGGGGCCGCGATGGTATCGAGCAGCTTACCGGGCTCAATATCCTGTAGACATTCGGCCCACAGCGCCCGACGAAGCCATGAATTCGCTTCGTCAACCTCGCCGGCCTGGATGGTCGTACGACCGTTGCTCTGCGAATCTAGCTGTAATTGGTCTAGCTGTCGCGCAATGCGGGTAGTCACGTCGATGGGAGTAGGTGGCTCTTCAGGCGTGTATGGGCTGGGCGGCTGTCGAACATGGATGTAATGCGATCCGGCGGCAACGTTAAAAAATCGCTGGCACACAACGCGCCCCATGGCCTCCTGGAGCGCCTGCTGAACAGTGGGCAATTCCCGCTCTGGGACACGACCACCAACTCCAACGGACCAGCCATGCTCATAGCGCCAATGCTTTCGGATACTCTCTCGGGTTCGACACACATAACCACAGTCCGTAGTGACAGTACATAGTAACCCATCAGTGTAAACGGCTAAGCCTTCGATGGGTCGCTGAACGGATGTGGGGAGAACTAGCTGCGGGTCCTCGACGTATCTACCCCATGTCAACACCGTCTCCTGCACATTGCGGGCATGGGAAAGTTGGATTAAGTGAATGCTACGTCGTAAATGCTTCACGATCTGACTTGGTCGTACAGCATACTGGCATCTGCGACACACAATAACTTGATATTCGGGAAGCTGAATAAACAGCTAGTCGGCGGTTGGGGGTGACATGGCGAGTGTGCCCGGTCGTGTGAATATATATCTTGTACTATACCTGACTAGTACACACTGACTGTGGTAATGGAATGGGTAGTAATGGGTAATGTTGCAAATGATTCAATACTGTTCTTGATGAGTTCCTGTGATGTTGACTACCCCTAAAAGTCTAGATAACCTTCTACGGTCTCGTGACTCAGTTACTATATACATAACATGGTAGTGGTTATGATAATGACCGGGCGATGAGCGCTCTAGATACCCATCCCGGTCGCACCCCATCAAAAATCCGCCAACTTTGACCACGCCAAGATGGACCTTTATGGGGTTGAATTGTTCTAAAAAATTGAAACAATTCCAAGTGAATCAATTTTCTATCAACTGGTGAATTCTCATGCCCATACGTCCACTCAATCAAACCGGGATGCGCAGCCAAATTTAACTGGGATGCGGGCCCCCTCGGCCAAGTGGGTCCCATACTTAAGAAACCAACCCTAAGTGGGATGCGCCCGCATCCCGGATACCCCCATGGGTTAGGCCCACGAGACTCGGTATTCCTCGCGAATTCCAAATGACTGACTCTTAGCCGCATGAAGCCCTAGATTGACCCGAGCCTTAGAGTTGAGGTATGATCGGAGACCTGTCTCAGTGACGACTTTTTGGATTTGACTGCTGCGACCTAAGTTGCCACCGGCTCGGGCCCAGAGCTGAAGCAGGTCGGTAGGAATCAAGAGGCTTTCAATATTCGCATTGGTAAAGGGAAACACTCGTCGCGCATCTACAACTTCCTTGTAGCTGCTATACCGCTGAGCATAGACTAAACCATCTGCATGCATCGGATGGAGCTGACGGACCTGTATGTTCATCCCCGCTAGATCCCGGACACCGCTAACAGGGTGCAGTCGCGTAGCCAGACGATGTTGGAAACCCATAGAACCGACCCAGTCCTGTAAACAACAGCGTTTCCACAGTGGATATTAGAGGGCCCTGATAGACATTCCTTCCCAATATCGACATAGGTTTTAGATTCGTCAAGGTAGGCTAGATTCAGTAGCGAACTGAGCTGCCTACAAAAGTCGTTCCGAAGCTGGGTGAAGTTCTCATGGTTCCAAACCAACTTAGTGCCATATGTCTGTACGACAATAAACATCCCACGGAACTCCGCCAGAGATGGGTGGATTAGCTTAGCTCGCATCCGTTCCCAGAGCTCAGAAAGGTATTCCTCCTTAATCGCATAAGGGATTAGGTCGGTGCCTCCAACATCTCGGGTACGGTGTTCGTTATGCTTAGCCCGCATTTTTGCAGCCCCATGCGCCCATGTCAGCGGAAGGTGCTGCATATATGTTGGTGGCATCACCTCACGGAGAGAAGGGAGAACAATCTGGTCGATCCAGAGAGCATGCTGGCTCTTTGTTAAGTAGGTTTCCCGCGAGCACTCCAGACGGGGAAATGCAATATAAAGCCATAAGTGCTGATCATGGAGGCCCTCAGCGAACCGAATGTGACGGCACTGATGTAATTGCTTGCCGTGGAACAAAACATGGATAGATTTCTGTACGTTGTGCATAGGCTTCGGATGGTAAGAAAACCGGAGTTCTCGGAGGACCGCTAGTGAGCGAGCCTCCGCGATTAAGGCGTCAATGTCAAATCGGATATTTCGAGTGTGGTTGGCGGCGTGGGGTGGGCAGGCACTAAGTGGAGGGACGCTTGGATCTCCAGTAAGAACAGTCTTCCAGAGAGGATCATGGGGAGGTGGTAGGGGATCTGAAATGGACTGGTTAAGTATATCCGGAAGGCCTGACTGGCGAATCCATGCCGCCATATCTTTCATGCTCCATCCACTGCCATGCTCCAATCCTGGGGCTCTGCATCGATAACATGCTGGTTCGTCACCCATATATCGTTCAATCCATTCTACAGCCGAGGGAAATACCTGCTCTGAGTAGGCAAGCGACAGTTCTCGATCACCGCCGATCGATTCCCCATCAGTCTCTGATTCCGACTCCTGTGACGAGGCTTCCGGAAGTCCATCACTAGACTCGGCCCAGGTGTCATTCTCAGGCAGAAGAAATAAGCCGTCTTCAGGTAGTGGAATCAGCCCCGCCATGTTCGACTGTGAGGAAAGACCCTCCGCTAGCTGTGCTCTGTCCGAAGCCAATTCCTCTCTTAGGGGCGACTGAAGGCTATTTCGCTCCTCTAGGGCCGCAAACTGGGTCGAGGATAGATTTGACAATGAGGAAGACGAGGTGGATGGACGAATAAATGGAGACAAGCGTAGTCTTATGTCGACACTTAATTCCCTTACATCGCGGGGGCTGTCATCTTGCTCATATGCATACACCGGGCTAAGAGATGGTAGGTCCGGCTCTTTAGAAAAAGCTTCACTAGGAGCCAAGAGTATCGAAGGCGACCCTAGATGCACTGCGGGAGAAGCACCCTTGGTGAGAGCTCTCCCGCGCTCCATTCTATCAAGTGTTGACTCGTAATCGTTAGAGGGACTGTTTAGAGAGCGGGTGGTTTCGTTTGGATGAGGAGAGAGACCCAGATCCGATGAGCAGTGGCGTGATGGTCCTCTGTCAATACAATCCCCCGATGGAGATAAAGTGGGACCTATCAGAGAGCTGATTGGAATCTGACAAGAATGTATACTGAGTTGGTCCTGAGATATATTATGGCTACACAGATCTCGCGTGGGGTAAAGATTCGGTGGATCTGGTTCTAGGAGTGTGTTCAGGTCTCCATTGTGAACTGAGGGCCTATGGTTAGCTAAAACCTCTTTATACTGATAGAGGTAATCACTCTGCTTAGCCGCTTTCTCTGCTTTTCGACGAGCTCGCTTCTGGCGCTGCCGCTCTCGTGCACGCTCCTTAGCCACTTCTATAGGGAGGCGGGGATGAGACCGTTGGGGGCATATTAACTGAGACGGATCTTTGCGCGCTATAGTACGGGTATAATTGGCGAAAATAAAGTCACTAGCAAGATGTTGTAGATAGACAACAGTGAAGTGTTCGGATAGATTGCTGTTGAAGGAGGGACTTGAGAAATAATATCTGCCCCTGACTTTGACAGGGGTTCAGCTTATTTGACCAGGGTTCGGTCTATTTTGTCGGGGGGTCGACATTTTGACAGGGGGTCGCTGACTGCCATTGGCCGGCACTCCACTAGCGCCCCGCACGGGCCCCTCGCTGGGGCGCCGGTTGGCAGGTTCATAAGGTGTATGACAGACCTGGGTTGTACTCAATACTATTAGCGGAATATTGATGAGTGCTGTTTCAGGCTTTCTTGCTGCCGGATTCATTTTCCTGGTCATATTGATGGTGACGTTTAAGACACAGCTGGTGTTTGCCTAAAGGATTCCATCGACACTAAATATCAACTCACTTAGGCTGGTTTAGTGGTTCAGCTACTACCTCCATTGTGGCTAATATGAGTAAACCTATTCACTGATATTTTTCCAAATGTGAGATCAACATTTTCAAGATAGCATTAGCCTGGTCTGAACGTCCCTCACTTACACACCGGGTGCATAGCTCTAACATTCTGATGATTGCTCCAGAGCTGCATAGTCGCCCCTGTATTCGATCGTACCCCAGCCTATAGCCAATAGCTCTCTTCCAAGTTTGGATTGCTTTGGCGGAAAGGCCGTCTTCTTCCATCCTTTTTGCTTGAATTTCATACGCTGTATAGTACCCTCTTTTCAACAACCAGCACTGTCGCGCAGAACATGTTTTGTTGTGCTTCTTGCTTTGCTTCCTCATCTCATCAAGAATAGACAAGACATGTCTCTGCTTCCACTGTGCCGGATATTCATAGAAGTTCGCAACCCAATTAACAGGAAAATTATCAACGAATTTAAGCCACCAATATGTTAGATGCAACGCTTGATGGCTAGAATCTGTCTTGCTTTGATTGCACTGTTCACGACGACGAGGGAGCTCAAATAGTAGCTTAGCTCGGAGTTTAGGCTCATATACCTTTGTCTGTGTGAGATACTCAACCAATAATGGGAGAACGCAATCTTCACATTCGCGCGAACCATCAATGAAAGAATCGACAATTGCGTCGCAAAATTTCGAAAGAGACGATTGAATAGTAGAGATGTCACCGTTGATCGTCCAGAGATATTCAACCATCTCGTAAAATATGACTCGAAAGGGATGAGATGGGCTGAAAGCATATTGCTGAACCCAATAACGCAGACAGAAGAGGAGGCGATACATAATTCCGGTGTGCTCGAAGGCGAGTTTATTCATGAGAGCGAACATTTGAATGATCGTTAAAGGATGTTCCTCTTTGATGACTTTCGGAAGAAAACCGGAAGCATGCTTCAGAAGTGGACGGTAGAACTTTCGAAGAAGTCGAAAATAGCTGTTCTTAGAGACCGAGTGTATTCTTAACGCTAAGTGTAACACTCGTTTGAATTCCTCAAATGCCCGACTGCTGTCCTGTCCGTCCTGACGCTGATATTCTCCGAGTTCATTCCAAACCCACGAACCGGAGTTGAATGAATCAATAATATAAATCCGGATAGCACGAAATATTATATCTGGGCGGCCTTGGCCTTGTGGCATCTCCGGCGCTGCGAGAATGGTACGAATTGATTTGTTGCTATTGTTCTTAGCCCAGCCCCATTTAGAGAACTTTTCCTTATACATAGCTTCACTAGGTCAATGAGTTAGTTACCTTCCATTACGCCGTAGTGAAAAGATGAAGTCAGAAACCAACCTGGCCCAAAAATTATAATGATCCTCCATTATCCTTCTGACATGACGCAAAGACATCCATTTGATATAGTAATAATATTTAACGATTTCAGCGTATGGGCCCCACGTGTCTTGAACTGGTGCTCTCAAATGAAAAGGTAGATCCGGCCCTTGTCTTACTATTGGAGGCATGGGGTTCTCGACCAATCCTCCATCCTCGTCACAGATCGAAGGAATCATATCTGGCAGGTAGAATAGAAAATCGGGGTAACTGGAGCCCATGATAGAGAAATGGGAAGTATAGAGTCATGCGAAAAAGGTAAAGGGTTGGGAAGATGATCTAACTCTTAACTATCCGTTGGCAAGTCATGATGACATTGTGAGCTTACTAACATTTTCCTGGAAAGCCAGCCCGTGCTTCAATTGGCTCAACTCTAAAAAGTTTCCCCACCGATGTAAGCATGCATGTCATTGGTTAGCTTAGCTGCCAACCGTGGATCCTGTTCAAACTAAAACCGAAATGGAGACAAGAGATATATTGGATCCGTTTACTACGCTCGGGCTATCATTGAGGTTGATTGAATACTTAATCAATCTCAATTCCACAGAAGAATGACTTGTAAATTTTCCACAACCTCTTAGATCCTGACTCCTTGGGTCCCTCTGTGTACTTTCTTGTAACACAAGCTCTCCTATCCTGTGCACAACGCGAGACAAAGCTGTCACAACATTTCGCTAGCCATAAATTTGACGAATTGATCTCATAGATCGGCAAGTTACAGTGCGGGATTTCAATTGCGTTCATAACTAACATAGCATAGACTACCGTTGCTCAACCTCTTCGCTTGTGGGCCCATTCTGCCCATCACTGTTATTGTGAAGCTTGCTTCTCTAACGGCTAATTTTCTACGTTTGCCTGCGGCAATGGTTGTGTCTCTTGCTGTTGGGGCGGCAGGCATACCTACGCCTGCCGTCATGCCGCTCTTCTTGAAACTATTTGGAGGCGCTGTGGGCAGTGGGGGTGCGATTTTAAGTGGTGCCACGGCTGGAGCAACGACTGCGGCAGCAACTCTGACAACTGCTTCTGGCATGGCCGGTGCTGTTGTGGGCTCGGCTGTAACTGGCGGAACAGTGTCAGGGATAGCGGCCGGAGCGGTGGGAGGCACGATAGCCGGAGGCGCGGCATCAGGGGCGGTGACGGCGGTTACATCGGGTGCTGTTTCCTCAGGTTTCTGGACGGGAGTTACAACCGCCTCCACGTTCATGGGACCGGCTGGATTAGCTTACGTCGGCGCTGATGGGTACACCTGGGACTGCTGGAAGCCTGTTGTGCTAGATGATTCGAACGGTGCCTCCAATGGTATTGCACTTCGTGACCTCTATAGTCACCCGAATATCCGGCGAATAACTGTTGATTGCAAAGGCTTCATCGCCGAGAACATCCGCGGTGGCCTGTTCCGCCTGTCCCCGGTCGAGGTCGAAGGCACTCTCGCCTTTCATGCTTACCCAGTCTAATTCTCACATAATTCTTGGACTTGGGTGACCTGTACATTGTTACTTTATAGAATGAATGGATAGCACGGCTTATGTTGCTCAGTTAAGACCTGACTCGTACTCCCGATTCTATACTCTATTACTAAATGCACTCGGGGGCTCATTGCAATTCTTTGCGCCCTGATTGGCCCCCCGTGCGTGCTCCCGCCGTCCGACGTGCGTGTTGCGCGCCCGCTGAACGAGATACACCGTTTGTTTCGCTTTGATAGGATGCTACCGGGACGTGTCCGCGGAACCCCGTGGTGCTTATTTCATGCCCCTTAAGCTCTCTCCACCATTCAATGAATTTTCACACCGCTACTTATGTCCTCGGGTCACAAGCGATAGCCTTACGGGATGGCTCTCTTGTATGTTAGGATATAATACTCGGAGTGTTTGATCTCGATTCGCTAATTCTATTTTTTTCAGAACTTAAATTTGCTCTTTTGTTACAAAAACTGATCATCATCGCTTCTCAAGTTGGAGTCAGGCCAGCGGCTCCGGAAGTAAAGGTACATCGTGAAGACCTGCGAACAAAAATACCTACCCCGGTTGTGGTTCGCCTCGGTTGACGATAGGGCCGACGAATCCTTCGGTCCCACGCAGCATGACTTTACGATTCTTGACGAGCCTCTCTCGGGATTTTCGACGTGAACCTACGCGAAGTGTGGCAAGTTAAAGTTGGGAATCTTATAGAAGTAGACAGTGCTTTTAGCTGTTTGGGGAAAAAAGAATTGGGCATCAGAAATACGTATTAAACAACCAGAATGGGCTTGGCTAGCAAAATAGCAGTCCCGGACGGCGAGAGAACCTAATTGCTGGATAGGCCGGCATCACTAGTTTGAAGGTGATACGTGCTGACACTTATATTTCATAGCAACAATACCATTCCAAGAACCAAAACTTCCACAGACGGGATGTGACAGTAACCAGTAATAGATTTTGAGAAGGTCCTTCGCTCAGGGCTATAAATGGAGTTTGTGTCCCGTTAAACGCTGGTTGCTAGAGCAGACATTATACAAATATATATTTACGCGCTCTGGCTTTTCTATCATCCAATAAAACGCTAGATATAGCCATGCATCCAAGCCCGCTGCGACTGCAGGAATTTCGAAGAAGCTCAGCCGAGCCCCCAGGGGTGATTCGATGATAGGATGGCTCATACGACTGACCCTTCATGTGGTTGCCTCCTATCTCATATCCATTTACCGACTGGGATCTGGTTGGTTTCCCAGTTTGATTAAGAGGGATGTTTCTTTCTAGGTATGGAGTAGCGGTGTGGATAATCTTATAGGGACTGCTCGGCTGATCTTGGACGGATATTTCAATACTGTGGCTGGAAGAATACTATGTAGTTAGGGGTGTAGACATCCCGAATCGGGGTATGGGTAAGTCACAAATTTCAGCCGCCGATCATTTGTAGAGCCCCATGCGGCAATTCTGATATACATATTCAGGTGGAGGCAGCTGGTAGTGGGCCCAAATGGCAAGAGAAGACCCTCAAAAATCTTGTTTCTCTACTTTCTTTCAACCGGAACTGTGGGGCCGATGACTACACCTTCTGCGTCTGATGGCTGATATGTTGAGTAACTGTCACAGAGTACGGGCAATCATTATAGGCAGAAGTGTGGTATACGACCATGATACCTCCTAACTAAGTAGCTATCTCCCGTATAGGTTTAGTTATGTATTCTGAGCCCATCACCCAAATTGCCAGTTAGGTGACCTGTTAATATCCTATTGGTGCACTAGTATGACCCACTAAGCAGTATTCCGACAACACTCTCCGTTTTCCACTTGGTATCACGTGGCGAGGCGCATCTGCACGTAAAGCCGCTGTCTCCCCTTTGATTTACTTTGACTTGCCATGCCTCTCAATCGGATTCTACTGTATCTGCAAACACAGTGAGCCCAATATCTTCAGAGTCACTTCCCATATGGAATGCATATCGGCCGAGATTATGTCGATGATCATGGAGAATCTGGATCTCCAGTCCCTGATATCACTCTGCCTTGTCTCGAAATGTTTCCGAGACTTTGCACGGCCTTTGGTGTTCAAAACTGTCAAGGTAAGCTCTAGCCACCCCGACATACGGAAGCGACTTGGTCTGTTGTGGGAAGCCATTTCTAGTTCCAGCCCATTGACCAAGTTGATTAAGACTTTCATGCTCAATGAATGGGGACTGGACCACGCCTTGTATGAGAAGGTCTCCCACTTTGCACATCGTCTAAAACCAATACTTCCAATGACTGCTTTAAATCTTCGCTATTTATGCCTGCCGATCGACAAATTTACACTTCTTTCCCTTCAAGGGCTTCAGTTTCCCAATCTGCATGAGTTCTGGGGCGAAGAGCATCCTGATTTCAGATCAGACGGGGATGAGCTGTTCAAGCTGCGGCCTTTTAAGTTTGCTCCATCTATATCAGCGCTTCACCTAAAGGGCTTTCGATCGGCCGGCGCCATTGAACTGTCGAAAATTGAAGTTGCAGCATCTGGAGTTCGAGAGTAGCTGTTTGGATTTTGACGATATCAGCAAAATTTTCCGGCATTGCAAAGGGTTAATGACATTTGAATATCGCCATCCTGTATGGGGGGTTTCGGACATTGATTCCCATTTTAACGCATCCCAGATCGTTCAGGCCCTTACTCCATTCAAAGACAGCCTAAAATCACTGGTCTTGGAGTTTCCTTATTTCGTCGGCACCGAACACACGGATCAGGACCTACCCGATGAGCTTGATGATACATGGGACCTATCCGATGACCTTGACGATGCTTAGGGGCAACTGGGATCGCTTGACCGTTTCGCTTATTTGAGATCTTTGAGAGTTGATCACCGTATTTTATCAAGGCAGTCTGTGTTCCCTGGTCACTTGGAAAATTTGACAGTCCGTCTGCTTGAGCCCGAAAGGGAAGCACTTATCTGCCATCTAGGCCAGTTAAGCCGTGTAGTATTGCTTTCGCTAAAAACTGTTGATTTCGTTTACCCGCTTGAACCTTTTGATGGTATTGATCTTCAGAGAGCTGGATTTCGAGACGAAGCCACCGCGACTGTGGGTGGACCAGAAGGGATTCGTTTCATCTGGTAATATGAAAACCAAAAGAGATCCTCACTCGACGTTTTGAGTATCTCGTGCAACGGTCACTCCGATAAATGTTACTTAGATTAGCGCAAAGGGTCTATCGTAGACATCCATAGAAGGACAAATTGTAAGGGGAGCAAAAGTGCCCTCAGGTTCTACGGTTACATTCTGAGCTGAACCAACCTGGTCGCTGCTGGATTTATTTAGCATCGCTGGTGGTTGAAAAGATTCATAGTCATGGAGGTGGATATAGAGCGGCGAAGGGTTTGAGTGGGCCGGAGAAAATGTTAGTGGAGGCGGAAGCGTCTACACAAAACCATGACTCAGAATATTCATGCAGAATATTCATGAAGTCGCAAGAAATGTTTTAGTTATGTCAAATAAAGCTAAGTAAAGGTCATTCACACGTACATCCTATCACTACATTAACCCAGGTGCGCGGCGGGCGACGTATTAGATCGATCATTTCTTACAGGCAGCTTGCTTAGAGCTATAGCTGCGCTAAGGCTCACAATGAAATGTCCATGAAAGGGCGTTTGAATCCCCGGTTTCCAATTGTAACATCATCAGCCCTCTAAATGGAGGTCAGGAAAGGGATTATTTGTACGCAGACTCGTCTTCGGCGTACATCGAGTCATCACGAACACTGTACGGGGGGAGACGAAGTTATCGTGCATTTGCTTTCCATGGTGCTTCTGTCGCTGGATTCGATGTTCCCATCATGCAAGAGCCCGAGACTATCTCCTCCATACTAATATCATCTGCCTCCCGGCTACAGGCATTGACCTTCTCATCGACGTTCTTGCCGAGACCAGCCTCCACATCGCCTTCAACCTCGAAGCCATCAGCAGTCGCCTTGTTCCCAGAATCGGCCCAGCCGACCAAGGCCTTCTCGAATGAAGAGGGGTCAGTCGTCTTGGCACGCCAATTTGATTTAAAGGTGGGGACAAAGGATGCGGGACTGTGAAAGGGCCTCCGTAACACTACTCTGGGTTCAGAGAGTGTCCTATCGATTTAAGCATTGCAAGCATTTCGCTAGAATCAAGGACAATAGCAGACGAATCCTGATCATCCGCAGGAGCACCAGGAAGTGGTTCGATGGATACCTGCAAGACTCCGTGTTCCCTTACTTGCTTGATTTTCTTCATGGTAGCCATACCCATTGGATCATCGTTCGGAGGCGTGGGCGATTTTGTGAGGTCAGGACCTGCGTGTGCTGCAACATGCTCTTGAGAGTTCGTCGCCATAATCGATTTCTGGGACAGGAAATGAAGTTGCTGAGCCAAACGACGATACACGTGCTAGAGAGGACAAATGTTGAGTCAGGAAGGAGTCATGATAATGGACGGTCATGGCTTACTCAAGTGACCCTGTTGTGCGATCTGAGATGGGGGGCCCAGGATAGTCCAACAGCCAACTCGGGAATGCGAGGGGTTGGCTCAACTTAAAGAAAGTGTTATGCGCCTCTTGTACTGTAAGGTACCGTAGAGTAAAAGCCTAATATTTAGTCATCGACTGCGTGATAGTGGCGCTGGGATATGCGTTTGGGATTGTACCAGGACTTGTTGGTACTTTCTCGCGCGTCTTTGGCTGGATAAATTACCCTGATGCACCTGCATCACCCACGTGCATTAAACATGTCTCATCGTAAAGATCAAGCAACTTATTTGTTAAGTTTTAGAGCCTCTGAGGGAAGATCAACCCTAGGCGACTTTTAGCCACGTATGTGCCTTGAGCTGGCTCTACGACTAGACGATTGGCTAGTAAATCCCCCGGAATATGACTCACGACCTTTCAAATTCTCTGGGTTTTGACGGGTCACATATAGGCAATACACAGTCGTGTGCCCACCTACAGCGCCTTCCTTTTGTCTCTCTTCACCCCAGAGATACAGTATTCTGAGTAAGAATCTGGAGTATCCTCTTTTTTCACTCGCACTCCTTAAAGCCTAATATTCCTTTGTGGCTATCATAATATTTTGCTGCCTGCGTTGCTGGGTTGTAGGTGATGTACGTAAGCCAGACTTGCTCTCACCCTAGATTCCTAGGCCACCGCACTTGATCCACTTTGATTACGGTTCGTATACTGCCCGTGCGCGCGAGAGAGCTCCGAACTGAACACAGAAAAATATATAGAACCTTAACTGATCATTCAATTAGTCGCGCATGAGATACAGAAGAAACTAGGAGCGCGAGGGCAGAAGGAAATGTCGTTTCTTATGGAGAACATTGATGTAAGCTGGATGGCCAAGCGCGGGTGATTGCCGAGATAGTCAAACGCGCTTGTAATTTGACAAAACGTTACAATCAGAAACCACACTATGACTGATCGCTCGGTTTCTCAATATTTTACTGTTCAAATCCTCTGGCTTCGTACACGTCACCCTATGTTCGCTATCGGGTCATCACAATATAAGTTTGGCGCCAATGTAACCGTATTCACTGTGATCTGTGTGATTGTTGCATCAACCTCTGGCAGTATGGGCTAGTGATTGCCTTGGGCGAATGAGATGGGGAAAAGGATTCAGCAGAACCAATCTTGAATGCAATGGGTTAGTTCATTGGAGAAGGAACGAATGCCGTGGGGGAGGTTGAAAAATCTAAAAAAGACGCTAATATATTAACTGGACAAGGCAACATTCTACGTTTTACATTAACCTGCACATTAAACGGCAGGACCAAGCTGGAGTTGTCGGTTTTTGATTTGCGAACAATAGACCCGAATATGAAAGGCGCGGATAGCCAGAAGGCTCGATCACCCACATGTTCACCCATCCATCGTTTGTAGCTTCCATGTACCACTGTAACACAAGTAGAATCCCCGAATGACCTACCTATTGCTATCAGTTGACTGGCTTGAAGGCTAGACGACTGGGCGGAGAGCTGGCCTATCCAATATTTTACTATGAGGCGTCCTAACAGTGCAGGTGCTTATGGAGTGATGTGTCAACTGATGTGCAGTGTGGGCTAGGCGCTAAGAAAGCACTGGCCGTGCGCAGCTTGTTCGCTAATGCATGGTGGTCACATCTATCTCCTGAGAGCTTATTAAATTCCTGTGCGCTTGACGGAATGAGGCTCGATAGAGCTGTGCCTTGTCAAAGAAAGGTTTTCGATAGATCAACATATCGTATTAGCGGTCGTCCACGCTATCACCATTCGTTCACAGCGAATCATTAATTCCATCCCCCACCTGTCTTCTCTAAAACTAGAGATAGAGAGGCCCAACGCTAAAATAAAGGAACAGGTTGCTTGAGGACATGCGGAGGTAGCACTGAGAAACGGCATCATAATGTGCAAACATGGTGCTTGGTATTGGTTTCCTGGTGTTACATTCAAGCTAGTAAATGAGGAACCCGAGATTGCCGCGGGAAGTGCAGTCTTTAGTGATTGTCCGGCCTTCCATGAAAGTTTGTGTGAACCAAGGCCGCAACTAGAAGTGTTCAGACAGTGTGAACGGAAGTTCGCCCGACAGCCATCTACTCTAAACGACTATAGGAAGAGTACGTTGTTAAGAATCCGTTCCTCCTTTCTCATTTTTCATTTTTCCTTCTCCCTTTGTCTTCTGATTGAGAAGTCTGAATGACGGCTTTGTGATAGTTCCAAGGTTGGGAGACTGAAATGCAAGTTTCATTCAAATACCTCGGCCATCCTTCATTCTCAATCCATATGTGTCCGTGTGTGTCAATCATTTAAGCTGATCTCTCACTAGGCGATATGCAGCAAATAGCAACTATTTATCTATGTATTCGCCCTGCGCATACGATACTACCCCAGCAGCGTCTATCGGCTGGTTTAGCTGTTCAGCTAGCTGTAGGCCCTCTTCAACGGTCAAACCCTCTTGACAGGGCATCCTATGATTCGGCCGATTGCATTTCTTAATAATCCCCTCGTTCGCTGCACGGAGGTCCGCGTTATCCTGCAGAAGTAACGCAGTGTGATGTAGCTCTTCGTAGTGGCCCTTGATAATCTGATCTACCACTATTTTCAACATGGTTGGAGGGCTTTTTGACCGCTGATGTAGTAGTTTATTCATTATGCTAGCCTGCTTGTTTAGCTGGGATACCGCCCTAGTCGTTTTTGGTGTGAATTGGCTAGATCTGCTGTTTGGCCGGCTACTTAGTGGTGACGGAGTTCGTAGAGAGATATTAAGCTTCGAAAGCAGTCTCTCTGCATCGATTGATACCAATGTAGAATCCCACATTTGCGAAAGGGCAAGGGACAACTTGAAGAAAAAAAACCTTGCCTGGAGTCAACAATGTCCTCAACTAGTCCCGAAGGTTATCGGGGCTTTGCTCCAAGGCTTCCTGGAGATGAAGTGCTTCTTCACAGCGAAGGCTAACTTGCGGAGACTTCCAGGTGCAATTGACTGTCGTGATGTGAAAATTTTCTTCCTTAAAACAAAGGTAGGTCCATAAATTCGAAATGATTGTGAGTGCGTGTAGAGGATGACCACTTGGATGCGGCTATCTGTCCGGTGAAAAAGCCTCATGAGACAATGTCCACTGACCTAAAGATAGTACGTTGCACAGTTAGCCAATTCCCCGTCAATAGACTAGCTGACACATCTCCAGTAACAACGAATGCGCCAAATGGAAACAGGGTAATACGCCAAATGATCACCTGGCCACGTCCCCGACACTCGAGACGGAAGGTGATACACGGTTCACCGTCAAAAATAAATTAGGTTTAATCCAACCGCGTGGGGGTAAGGCCTTTCCACATCACTATCTTAGAATCCCAGTCGGCAATTCTGTAGACCTTAATATCGGACGCAAAGATTCACAAAATTCATATCAGGAGGTACCAAAAGTACGGTTAATTGGAAGGACTGGGAAGATCCTTCCCCCTTCTTCGATACCGTGGTCGGAAACCCGTTGGCGCTGGAGGAGGGGTGGATCGTACTTGCAGGTCATCCAAAAACCGCGCACGTCCTTCTCCAACTGACGCCCAACAGAACCAACGCATCCATGTTTCTAAGCAGACAGCCGCGCGCATGCTTGCCCGCGCGTCCCATCATCACTGCAAGGAGCATCTTGGCATTACGGCTGATACACGCTAAGGTCTATTGTTTTGCGCATCGGTTTCTGATTCCAGGATTTGCAGATCTGGCTATACAGCGACTGACCCAAGTACTGCTTTCCCGCGACTCCCTGAATCAGCCCTTTCTATCACATCTCCCTGATGCGATACGCCTGGTGTACGGTTCAACGCCCAATGAGACACAAGTGGTTGATGCCGGCATACGAGATACACGCTGGTACTGTTATAGGACAATATAAACACTGAAACCTGAATGCGGAGACGGTGGGATCACACAGAAAAGCTGCTTTTTGGACCACATGCAAAGAATCGCCGACCGCAATCGCAGACACGGTCACAGACGCGTCGTCCTACCTTGCGCCGCCACTATTCGTATACGGGCCGTGAAAAGAAGCAATTTTGTATGATATGATATAAACTGAGGTTATACCGTCCTTACGGGCAGGCATCCTAAGGGGACGGGACCACGGCCGAGGCAAGGCCTGCTCGGCCAATTAGGCGACGAGTAGCCCGAATGAGGGCTGATCTGTTCACGTACTGGAGTATAGGCCTACACCACGTAAGGCCCCTGGCCGAGGTCGAAAATTATCAGAAGAACAACTTGATGAGGTAATCGACTATATCTCATCTTCGAAAGATACACGACGGATGCCGTACTCAAGGGTTATAGAAGAACTACAGTCCCCCTGTTAGTTCTGAGACTCTACGAAGGGCATTAGCTAGACGTGGATTTCATCGATGCAAGGCTGTTCGAAAGCCTCCTTTGTCTGATCGTACACGAGCACTACGTCTAATCTGGGCGCTAGAGCATGTTAATTGGACGAGTGAGCAGTGGGAAAAGATATTATGGACTGATGAGACCTGGGTCACATCGATCTATCATCGACGAATCTATGTGACGCGCAAGGCTGGCGAGGAATTTGATGATACATGTGTACGAGATCGAGTTGCTCGTGCACCTGGCTGGATGTTTTGGGGGTCATTCTATAGTAATGAGAAAGGCCCTTGTCTATTCTGGGAGAAAGAATAGGGCACTATTACTACTGCTCAATATACAGAGCGAATTGTGCCTCTTATCGACGGTATAGTTTCGCTGGCTCGCAATCAATTTAATCAACATCTAATTGTAATGCAAGACGGCGCACCATCTCATCGAAATCTCTTGACAATCGAGGATCTTCACGAACGTAGGATATACTCTATCGATTGGCCACCGTATTCGCCAGATCTTAATCCAATTGAGAAGGTTTGGGATTGGATGAAGGATTGGATCGGTGATCGAAATTTGAAAAATTATGATCGTAAGCTATCTTATGATCAGCTATGCGAGGCTGTGCGAGCTGCATGGGATGCGATCCCTAGAAGCTTTTTAAACCAGCAGATTGATCTCATGCAGAAGCGCTGCCAGGCTGTTATCGATGCGCAGGGGGGTCATATCCGTGCCCTTCGCTATGCTGCGACCCACCCATACGCTCCCGCATATGGGTGCCCCACCCCCGTTCACCAAAACGCGTCCATCACCAATTTTTTCACCAAATCCTACACCCAGCTATTACACCCACCCAACATGCCTAAATCCTCCAATTTTAGCGAAGACCGCATAGCTAGGGCCTTCGAAGCCGCTATGAGACAGAAGAACCCGAATATTTCGAAAATTGCGCGTGAATTCGACGTGTCTCGCGAGACCCTTGTAAGCCGCATCAAAAGTGCGAAATCGCCTACTTCTACAGGGGCTTCGCGCCGATATGCCCTTCAAGCCTACCAGGAGAGCACCTTAATCAACTGGGTAGGCCAGATGATCAGCTGGAACCTCCCCCCTACTCCTGCTCTTATACAGGCGTGGGCGAATCGTACCCTTGAGCGATCGGGTCAGGCCGAACGCCAGGTTAGCAAAATGTGGGCGTATCGCTTTATTAAGCGTCTTCCAAATGATATAAACCTCGCGCCAGTGAAGTAGAAGACTAAGGAATCGAAGAGAATTCAAGCTGAAGATGCCGGCTTGCTTGCGCACTGGTACGATCAGCTAGAAAATCTTCTCCATAGCGTACCCTCCCGGCTAGTATATAACTTTGATGAATGCGGCTTACAACCCGGTCAAGGGCGATCGCGAACCGTCATTAGTTCTAAGTCATCTTGCCCTGATCTTCCTGAAGCTGAGCGAAGCGAGACTATTACTGCGGTTGAGTGTATCGCTGCTGATGGCTGGCTTATGGACCCGCTCTTTATCTTCAAAAGTAGCGGCCAAAACTTTATGGAGGCCTGGTTCGATGGCAGTGAGAATCTTCCACTACATACAGGCACTGCAATATCACCAAATGGCTGGATTTCTGATGAATTAGCCCTCTCCTGGCTAAGCTATTTCGATACTGCTACTGCAATTGCCGACCGATTAAAATCTGGCGAAAAGCGATATCTGATATTCGACGGGCATGGCGCACACCTTACTCTTGAATTCCTCCAGAAATGCGAGGATAAATCAATTATTCCATTCGCATTTCTACCACATTCAACTCATCTCTGTCAACCGCTCGATGGGAAGCCCTTTTTGAATTATAAGCAACAGTTTCGGCAGGTGAATAATGAGCTATCATTCTGGGGTGGCCGCCCGTACGGGAAATCAGAATTCCTCCGGATTATTGCACCAATTCGTGAGAAAGCCCTTACACAGCGGGTAATTCGCAATTCCTTCAAAGATCGTGGTATTTATCCGGTCAATAAGAGCCAGGTTTTAGACAATCTATCGAATGGGTTTGACAATCTTCCTGTTCTATACACACCGGAGCTTCGATCGGCTAAGCGTACACCATCTCCATCACTGCAAGAGCTATCTTCTAGCGTGGAAATAGCCCTCCTAATACGATTGAAGCGCTCGAGAGGAATCACGCGAAGATATTAAGGGATATCGCTATTAATTCAGAGAAAACTCAGCGAAATCTCAGAAAAGCGTTCCTACACCAACGGGAGAAGTTCGAGGAGCTTGCGATGACACAGGATTCGATTCGGCGTATAAGAGCTGCACAAGCCCCCCAACGTCGTGTATACACTAAGCGGCAGGTTAAACCGCTTAGCCAGGATGGTATATTAAGGCCTCGTGATGCGAATCGGTCAATTAAAGAGCGGAAGGAGAAGGAAAACGCTGCAGAGAAGCGGAGGATTGATAAGGCAGCGGAGAAGGCGTACGGCTTCAAGCCTTCACAACTATCGGATGAGACTATTCAGAGGGCAAAGGATAATGAGAAGGAAGCAAGGGAGAAAGGAGAGCTCTTTTACATGGGTTGATAGTGTATTTAGTTGATTTCTAGCTAGTTTGGTGGATAAATTGCACGATTTGATGGAAAATTGGTGATGGACGCGTTTTGGTGAACGGGGGGTGGCGCACCCATATGCGGGAGCGTATGGGTGGGTCGCAGCGTAGCGAAGGGCACGGATACGCTTACTAAGCAGTAATAATGTATCACAGTGGTTTAATTACATGAAGTCGTAACTAATAAAAGGGTGGCAGGATATTAGTCATGAGAAAAGGGTGGAAGTACCACGCTAACATTATCAATGGTGTCAACCTGCGTAAAGAGCCGGCCCGATTAGGCATAGCTTACCCGTAGGCACCGACCTTGGCATCCCCCATCAAAAATCTCCCAGCCAAAACTGCCCCCTTAGGATTCGGCCCTTCCACGTGATAATCCTAGAATATTATGTGACATTTAGATAGAACTAGCGGTCGGACGAAAAGATCAAAAAGATCCGACCGAATATCATTACTACTCGTAGAGATGGGGGTGGGGAGAGGGGGTCGTATAGGGCCAGTACCCCCGGGCAAGACTTTCTTAACTACATATGAGTCTATTAGTAAACAACCCCCCGGTAGTGGGCCGGAATACCTTTAGGAGTGGATTTGGGAACCCTTCATAAACAAACTAATTACGTTGGAAATCGAATTGGGTGAATTGCCCCGTTCATACGGCTTAAATTGAGACATGGACTCAGAAATATACATCCCCAGAAATCACATACCGATTCCCTATACCTTTGTGGAGACTTAGGACTGATCCCCCAGTAACAAGAATATTGTCGCCACTGCCGCTATGTTGCTGGAGGGCATCTGCAGACCTGTTCGTGAGAGAGACTGCAGTCGCGGTCGTGAGAGAGGAAGGCATATCTTTCATCTGCTTCATCGCCTCTTTGATCTCTTGCACTTCAGCATCGGTAGCAGTTCCTATAAGCTTTCCACACACAAGCACATGGATGTCCTTCAATATCCCCTCCATTAATCCTTCCACCGAACCCTGTTTTCCCAATGTACCCACCACGGTTTTCTTGTACCGATCGTACCACTTGTCGTCATCCTTCCGAACAACCTTCTGGAATATTTTTTGAAGGGCCTCGACCTTTGCTTTGTATGACCCTAGAGTAGGCTCCAATGCCTCCTGTGCAGTCTCGTCGAGTACCTGCGCCCTCTCTTTAGCGCTATGAAGCATTCTGATCACTAGTGGTAGTCGTGCAGCCACTTGACGAAATGCTTCTGGCTGGCCTTGCGCATCTTTGGCGGCATCGTACACGGTTTTAATCACCTCGATTTTTGAGATTGTGCGCGAAATGAGGTCAACGACAAACGCGGTCTCGGGACCGCTCATTACGGGTACTTCCACGTGGTATCTCATCGGCGTATGTTAGACGGACGGTAATGGCACTAGAAAACTAGTGAGCCTTTGACGACGCGGCGAAATGTAACTCTTGACTTACATAACCGGGTGATACTGCTGGGTGGGGTTGAGAACGCCCACTTTGCTACAGAGAGCGTAGAGAGTTTGCGAATCATTATAGTAGCGAAGCTCGGAAAGCTGAAAAGTGGGGTTTGGACTTTATTTAACTGTTGTTCGGTAGCCGCTGGCCCCCACGCTGTGTGGCTGCCTGGAGTCGCTCCACACCCCCATAATAGGTCACAATCCTTTCCCAGGATCTGCGATATTTTAGAACAGTACTATGTATAAACACAAGAATAAAACCCGAACGGGTTTTATATCATGCTCTTAGCAGATGTAAGCCACTATTTTGCAGGTCTGGCGTGGAGTAAGACCCCCAGCCCACCACTTGGACATCGGCGTGGCGGAGGAACGTGTCGGTCACCCACGTCCCAAACTTTATTTCCCATAGTTAACAAACCATGATGTGGGCATCCTTGGTAGGATGCCCAACCTCCCATGTGTTAGAAGATGATGGAATCAATTGAGGGAACAGCTAGCTTGTGCGCGTTACGATACGTTGTGCTTCCGGCGATGTACAGTCATGAGAAATGGATACGGTAGCTTCAGATGCACGCAGATGCCATGTCTCTTGTGTCGCACGGTAATGAGCGGGTGATTGGCTGAGAGGCCGGCCTTCCCCGTGATGCGGGAACTGCCACAATTCCCCTGAGGAGCGATCCTGACCATTTCTGAAGCGGGGCTGCACCAACAATCTATCAATAACCGTTCCTTTCACAAGCCGCAGCCTCCAGAAAAGGCGTCAGCTTGATTGGATTGGCAGTTTGGGAGCTAATTGAACGTATATTGTTAGAATATGCTTCCAAATTTCAATTTGCACACCTAGGTGGCTCATCACATCGCACATCATCTAGGGCGTGCGAGTGCGGAACCGTTCACAGCTAGGGTGGGGAAGCCTCACCCAATCACCTTGTGATCTTCACTACAGTATTTGCTCGCTGGTCCATTTACGCAGTACGGAATCCTACGATCCGACACGTCCATTTGTTCTCATTAAGCGCCGTCACACGTAAGCAACTCAAGGTTTGGGGATCGAGCGTTCTGGTACGGACGTAGCCAGGATGGACCTTCTAATCCGAGATAAATTACAGAATAATTAGCCTAACGCGGTTTTTAATTACTACGTACAGTGGAAATACATTTGTGTCGGGTCGTAAGATTTCCGTGTATGCAAGTACCGAGGGAACCAATTGAACAAGTTGACTGAAGAACTGAACTCCCGTCTAACTATCTATCACTGGTAGATCAAGTACACGCTGAATAATGACGACCCAGAAGGCGGTAACTAGCGGTATTTATTACCTCTCCCCTCGACACAAGTTCCGTTCAACTCCTTCACCGCCATGAACGCACTGTCTCAAAATCGCAGATTACAGATTGAAACGAATCGGATCAATAATTTGATACTCAGATAGGATTGAAAGCATGAATAATTATCGTTATGCCAAAAAATCGAAGAGCGACTCCCGACAAACCTGAATACTTATTGCCGGCTGAATAGAGGTAGAGCACCCACTGTAGCGCCACCCTCACGTTTCCAGAAGACGGCCACGGCTAAGGAAATTTTTGAAGGGCTTATACAACAAAGCCTATATAACTAATCTAGGCGCTTGCCGGAGCAAGTCATGAGCTGCGGCCTCGCCGTACGTTTTCGTCGCCTTGTATGGCCGTGCATTAAAGAGGTGCTACCCCTGCGACCGGGCGGCTGCAGCAAAGTGATAGGACGGATGGGAGATAAAGTCCAGCCTCCCCGCTCAGCCCCGCTCCCCGAACCATCCTTCAAACTTCACTCATTCAACCGAAACATCATCTACACCAAGCGTCTCTACATATCTGGTTTGTCCACCACCTTCATTGATTCCTTGTCGGCACCTTAATCTGATCCCAGATCCTCAGCTTCTCGTTGTGCCATCAACACGTCATCTTGCTTTGATTATCTATTCTCCAAGCTGGAATTTCCGCCGCCTCTTTCACAACCTCATTATACGACTTTACAAGCAATCACCTAGCTGGCTGTATTCTTCTCTTCTGAATTGCTACATTTTGGCCTTTAGAGATGAAGTTTATTCTATCAGGATTCGAGAAGCAGGAGGAATTGTGCGACCAGCTTGTTACTATCTTGCCCGTGCTCAAGGAGCAGCTCTGTCTCCACGGTGCTACCTCCAGTGCTTCATGCAAGGGTCTTAGTCTCAATTTTCCCAAAATCATGAAGACAGTTCGATCGTTCGAAGACATTTACGGACGTCTTGATTTCGACAATCTAGACTCTTGGCTGGAGCAGATTAAACAGACGATCAGGCACCACAAGGAAACCCTGCAGCAAAATATGCAGCTTATGACCGACCTAGGGCTTGATTTAAATGCCTTGTCTGACTGGGATTGGAAAACAGGAAATCCGGAGACGCTTGTCGAAAAGGCGTCCCGAAACGCGCCTCGTCATAAACTGATGCGAAGCTTTTATGGTCCGAACTGGTCGTCTCACGCTTACACGTTCAACGTCCTCTATGGCCTTACAAAGTTGTTGTCAAAGAAACAACTACCCATGAAGATATTCAAGCCCAAGATTAACACGATCGCGACTGAAATCTTCGATTTGTGGGAGACCCTCAGGCGGCTGGATAGTCAAGGCAGAGTCAGATCTTTCCAAGCGCAATGGAGCCAACTGCACCCCGAAGCACGAAACCGTTGGCTTCAGCAGTTTAGGGAGTTGCATCGTCGTCCAGATTTGGCAATTTGCATATTGGCGCAAAATTCGAAGACGGCTTCGGCTCAAGAACCATTTTTATCCCCCTTGCTCAATATCGAGGACCTAGCACAAGCAAACGTTCTTCCGGAGTTTTTACAAAATCGGTCCGCCATACATCCGAAGGCCTTCCTTTTCGCAGATTCCCGCTTTGTGGCACTTGGATACTGGCACTGCTTTTTCAAGAAAATTGAAGTCGAGGGGAGAATCTCGTTCTTCTCTGATACCGACGCCAACGCAAGCAATTCTCCGTATGGGATACAATTCGAACTCGATACTGTGAAAAATTTACATATGACAAATCCAGTCACGGGTTATTATTCCCTAATGGCCCAAAAAATGACGTATGAGTTCCTCGTCTCATGTCTTTCGGCCCCTATAGAGCCTTGTGTCGAGCCCACTGCTGGCCCAAGAAGGGACAGCCCAAACCAGCTCCTCCCGATCCTGAGTCTGTCTGCCCAGCAGCAATATGGGAGACCAGACCACATTGATTGGAGAAATTTGAAAAATATTTCAAAGGCGTCTGCTGATGAAGCCCTTGATGATCTCTGGCAGCTCCGCAATGACGCAGAGTACTGGAACATGCGATTTACGGACATGAAAAAGAAAACCTTGCCCTTTCTCTCTGCTGTTTTCGGGCGTATAGATGTGCTTCACACTATCTATCGGAAACTTGATTCTTGCCGTACCGACCAGCAGACGAGCTATGGTGATGATTTGTCGGTAATCCAAGTACCTTCTGATGATGCCCAGATCAAAGACGCCATATACATGCATTCTATGTTTCGCTCTATCCTCGATGAGATGCTTTCCTCGATACAGAACAACGAGTGGTTACGCAGAGACCGGGAAAATCGAACGTTGCATTATCTTTTCAACTTAATGGCGGAAAATCATCCTACAATACGATTAATGGGCTTTGGGCCGATGCTGAGGACTATCGACCGGGAACTTTCCGATGGTAGTGATCAGGAAGCGCTCCCACTCCCCATCGCCCAAGCGCTCCATGATATGTCAGTTGTCTCTGCTTGTACGCAAGCGACTGCCAAACACTATAATCTTATTTCCTCTATAGACGATAATTACGCCCGTTTGGCACTCGATGCTACATTGGAGTGGCAGAAACGCGAAAGACCGTGGCTATTCCCTATCTCAGGATTTCTGAACAAGATTAAAAGCAGGGAATACGAGTTCAACAGACAGGCCCGAATTGACAGTGTTTCCCTGGTAGATCGCCACCGTCGGTTCTGGAATAGTATCGATGATTGCATGCTATTATGGGACAACACCAACCCTATTGTTCACATGATTTTCAGTCAGGCCCCGGTCCCGAGAGCATCTACGTCAAAACCAGCGTCAATCATGGTGGAAGCGGGGTGGGGCTCGCCAGATGCAAGCTCAAGGCCAACTGCTACACAGAAGAGGAAATCGCGAAGACAGAAACCGTCGAAAATTTCAGAGTCCTCATCACTGGCGGCCGTCTGGTCCACCGAAGATGAGCCGCGTATTCGGCCTAATGTTTATATCACAGAGGAAAGTGATATAGAGTATTGGAGTCGCTTTCGCGAAAAAGGACAGGAGAGTTTCGACACTTGGGTAACATTCCTGTCTCATATAGGTTTTAGCTGGGAACGATCGTTAGGGTCCATCCATACTTTCCAACTCGAGGGCCCCGAGGGAGATGCTCATAAAATTCTCTATCATGGACCGCACGGTCGGAATGGGGAGAAGTTGCCGCATGATTTAGCACGACGAAAGTGGGTTAATAGATTGAAGAGACACTTCAACGTCATTGTATCGGAGAAAGGGGTCTCGGTTTGAAAATTATGTTCATGTTTGTTTTGCATCTTTATGTCTGTTTGTATCTTAATGTTTGTTTGAATACAATTTCAAACCGCCCTGCGGCAGCGAAGAGTTCATTCTGGGTAGCTTGTCAGGAGGCATTTGTAAAACTTGTCAAGCTACAACCTTAACGGTGGAATCTGATGGAGGTTCCCTCCCTTTGGCGATGATTCCGCGGGTCGTTCCAGGACCAGCGCTTGATGAATGTTCCCGTTCTTGGCCTCTATTAGGCCTCTCCTTTGCGTTTCTCCTCTTTCCATTTTAGATGCTTGAACCTAGATGCCTTCTCGCTTCCCTCTGCTTCCTTTGAGTAGCCCCTCTCCTAAAAGAAAAACCTCTCTCTTTGTAGTTGAGTGCAGCAAAGCATCCATCACATGTGCAGGGACCCATAAACTCGATGATGATTGGATCGTTTCTCTTGGCGGCAGAATCATTTACCGCTTGCACCCCGCAGGGGATCTCCCGATCTCAACACCCATGGCCCACACCACCATGCTTAGTTGCCTCGTTGGATGCTTTGACTGCGTGAGAGATGACGAGCTACCACCAGAGGCAAGCAACTGACTCTTGTGAGGTAGTTGTAGGAGGACCAATCCCTCCGTAATTTCGGACTAGATGGCACGTGAGACAGCGTGGGCAACCCCAATAAAACTCCTCCCTAGTACTACAGAGAGCGGGTCTAAATGAGGGTCAAACCACTGATTGGTCCCGCTTTTCACCAGCCTTTTACCATAATTTTACCATAATTTTACCATCCTTTATTATTACAGTTGAATACTAAAGGCGAGGGTGAATACTCACCCCCAGTGCCAAAAACCCAGTTCATTTCCCGTGAATCAATGGATCCCAAATTTAAAACCGTCTGCCTCAATCCTCGTCTAATATCGACTTTGAAAATCACACCACGCCAATAATTCAAAAGCCTATCATATAAACCGTTCGGCCTCTTCCAGATCATATTATCAAAACTTTACTCTTGCTGGCTTGCCGCAAGAACTCATCGAGGGTTCAAATATATTGGCCAGTAGAGCCCTCCACATCGCCTTTTGAACCAATGCGATGGCACCAATCTACTTGGGCACTTCGAAAATCTCGATGGTGCCTCAAGGTATTAGGGAACCAAGTACATGGAAGCTCAAGCACTTTCTAGCTACTTCTTTGTCCATTGAAGGTCTATTTCAACTCTTCAGGGAAAAGGTATGTCAAATCTACCGCCTGTGTCATTTACTTGCTAAAAATGGAAAAAGCTACCAAGTGAAGAATGTGATTCTATAACATGGTTCAATCCCGACCGGGCTAATCGAGTCGATGTTCCTTCCAACACAGTGGCAGTTGTGTTGGATCGAATCAATCGCAGAGGTGCAATCTGGGTTTTCGATCAAGAAAAAACATATGTAGGCGGCATTGGAACAGAGACTGCAGGAGATGCTATAGTCATTCCCTGGGTTACAAATCGGTGGTTCTATATCTCGGGGAATTTGAGAGTCGGTCTTGTATTCAGGAAGGAATTCTAGTCGAAGCGATGTTCTTTTCGTTACGGGTCAAAAAAAATCCTGGACCAAACTGTGTCATTCGACAAAATAACCAAGACTAGAGAACAGGAAGAAGAAGAGAATCTATTTAGTGGGGTATCGTTGGTAGATTCCACTGATAAAGAGCGCCATCTCTTATCATCCCGATTCGGTAAGTTGGCTCAAACCTAGCACTCCACGTGGTAACGGCTATTCTACTCGTCACAATCCCCTCCTCTTTAAAGGGCCTGGCCCACCAGGTCAAGTCATCGCCATGCGGCCCTGCCGTCGTCAGGGTGGTCGGGTTCAAACTGGTCATTCAACGCTGCTTCTGCCCATAGAGCTAGCCCGTTTCGGCGGCCCTGGCTGATCCGGGTGACGACGGTAAAATTTGCGACTATCAATTCCCGGAGCAAAAAGAGTCAGCGGCGCCCGAATACCCGGTGGGACACTTCTGCTGTTGGATAGAATACTAAAACTACTTGGGTCTCAAGGCGGAATAATCAGCTCGTTGATTTCAAAAACAAGGAAGCAATTCAAGAATTATCTCTTTGAGCTGTTACGGGCCAAGAAAGAGATCGACGCGGTTTATGCATTGCAACGAAAGTACCAAGACTGAAGAGAGGAGAAGAGGAGTCTCTAGCTAGAGTTTCTCTCCTAGACACCTTCCTTCCCTCTTAAGCGGCTTCACCTCCCGCGGCTGTGCTTCATGAGCCAGTGCCCAGCGCAATTAAGTACTAAATATTCTCAGCGGGCAAGGTAGGTGAGCATATAAGGGAATTGGAAGCGGATATCAAAGTTGCCAGGACGCAGATATTAGTGAAAGAAATAATTCAATTGCAGGCGGAATTAGCCGACCTGCAAAAACATATCCGGACCAATCAGCTCACACCATGACGGCAAGGTCGACCTCGGAAGGCTGCTGCCACGATTGTATTGACGCAGCCGCAGGCGGGCTCGGATCTCTGGGAAACGGTCTATTGCCAGCGCTTCTTCCCCTCGGGCCCCCCAAAGTCGATTCTTTCGGGTTGCTCCGCTTCTTGAACCTACTACAGTATTGGCCAGAATACAGTCATGTGGCTGAGTCTCGGCCGTTCTGGTAAGTTTGTGTATGAGAACAAGAAATATAATACAATATCAAATCAAGTGGGTTATTCGGTAACTTAACCTATATCTGGCTGGCGTCGACAAATGGACTGACCCTGGTCGCTCAAGGAACTGTAGCAATTAATCATAGCCCTAGTAGGATCTAAAATATGTATGCACTAAAGCACGGCATGATTCTGTACGGTGCTGACTCTCTCTCTGTGGAATTACAGCACATTGCTACCGGACGTGGGTTAACCAGGCTACCCGCTTGAATCTTGGCACTTTGCGTGTTGTATATTTCGACAAGGTTGAACTTGTCTGGTCGCAGGGAGCACGTCAAGGCTACTATGACTATTCGGGGTATGTGAGGGAGATTCAAATTTATTCAATTTTGAAAAAGACCATGAACTGCAAACATAAAACAGAATCACAAAAGGCCGAACGTGTTATTCTTTATTGGTGAAATTTTGAGACTTGCCAAAATAAGTGGTTCCACCACCGGTATTAAATTGATTTTGGGTAAACTAATTCTCGGCAATTAAATCATGGAGGGGCAAGCTGCGACGGTAACTGCTGTAGATCCTGAACCCAGACACCCCACCTTAACGCTCTTGGGGTGACCGACTTAACAACTGCTCGGCGGTTGTCCCGAGCAAGTGGACGAATAGGACTGGGGAACATTTTGATATGTCACGATCCACTGCGTCCTCGCCAGCCATGGGCGAGTTCTCGTAAGTATCTTGCCCGCTATACTGAGAACTATTCTGTGGTTTCTGGACGGTATGAAATTTTTCTTCTCGTTTGCGTAGGTTATGCAATAATTTCATATTGGCGGTACACAATTGAGGCTCATTTGCACCACTCTCAGTCGTGCCCTTTAAGGGTGCGCTCAAAATGGTCCAGAATGATTGAGTCGTAGTTGACTGGGTCCAGGACTGAACGAGAACTGGCTTGTACAGCATATCTAGATCGACACAACCCGTGGGATCATCCTGGGTATGTGTTCCCCTTAAGTGCCGGCAAACGAGATGCACGCTTGTACTGATATAGAGACACTGTAAACACTGAAACCCACCACTAACCTGGAGAGCCGGATGAGATTGTGACCCGGTTGGCCGTGGCTTAGCTAGGCGGCCGCTTTTGAACTGATGTCCTTGAAGATATTGGTCCAGTCCAGTTCGCCGGTTCTTGGAGATCTGATGTTTTTTCCGGAAATGATTGCTTGCCTGTATGCCTTCGGTGGGTATCGCATACCGGCAAAGCGTGCAGATTGCAACATGCTCCTCCCAATCGAGATACAAGGGGAGCGAGGGCCATTCCCGGGTGGAAACTGGATAGGCAAGAGGAGCAGAGTGCGGCATGGAGAGATGATGGAGTCCTAACCGACTAATCGAGCAGAAAAGGAGTGAAAATGGCAGGAGTTAATGAGGAGAGCTCGAGAACCCCCAGGTCTTCCCCATATGTACTACCGCTTTCTAGTAACGTGACGCGTCGCGTGTCGAGCGACGGAACACATATTGCTTTTTCCAATCCCTTTACAGCCATCGCTACGGATTATTCGGGATTGCTGCCAGTGGTAGTGAATAAGGAGATTTGAAACTAATAGGTCCAGGTGTGTTAACCCCGAAGTCCAAGTATGTGGGAAGCATGGTACGATCTATAGTAACGAGTACATAGGATGGAAGGAGTACATGCTTCGGAAGCACACGGGCATAAGTATGGACTGTAATGGCGGGACAGGGTCCTTGCGGTCAGCCGGACTGTTTACTATGGGGTGCACGGACAAAAAGTGTGAAATGGTCGACCATTTCCGAAGATACTAGTACAATAGGGAACGTACTTCACTTCAAGAGGTAGGAGTGGTGCCGACCAACCCGTTATCTGGTGGTTGATGGAAGTCTGACTTGGATATTGACCAATCTCCTCATCTCTTATAGATTGGAGGTCCGAAGTTCCCGCGAGATGAATGTTCCATAGAGTCCATGTATCTTACAAAATGTCGGTGAGGGAGAAATAGACCGTTCAAAGATGCTCATTTGTTCTTCCAAATCAAATCAAATCTATCATCTGGAATTACTAGTCCGTACTGCAGACATGTTTGGGGTGGGATGCTATTAATGCACGCATGGGTGATGTTAGACAATTTGCCTCCCGGAAGCTTTGTGAATCAATTAGCTGGAGCTTGGACGTGTCCATGGCGAGAACAAATGCACGTGTTTTTGGCTGCAGTCGGCTCTCATGGCTCATTCAACACAAGCTTGCAGCGATCGTGAAACGATGGTAGGATTTGAGAGTATACGTGTCGACTATCCATTGGCCACAAAGGAGGCTGCAAATGTAGCCGCTCGGCTGTTCTTTCGGCCGACTACGCCCTGATGCTTCTTCACCATCTGCAAAGCGTCACTGGCCCGCAGATACGAACGGCAGCTACGTTCGTATATGCGGCTCAATCTGGAAACCTGCTTCCTTCCCATTCACAATAAAGGCGATTGTGATACATCAAACCGCTTAGAGATTTCATCGGTAGGATCGTTTTGTTGCGTGCTAGAATTTTCATATAAACTGCATGATGTTTTCAGTTGGAAAGAGTCTTTCAGAAATCGTTCACGTTTTCACTCGCCAGCTTATCATTATTTTAAGACCCAAACCTTCCTGTTCCAAGCGAATCTTTCAATCCGAAACCTCTTGCATCTCCAATCGTCGAAATAGCACTATATATTCGCAAATGTCCTCCCCGCAAGGCCAACGCATTCAAGCTAGCTGTGTCACTATATGGGGCAGTGGTGATTATGATATCGACGTTGAGACCGATGATTGGGCATCGTACTATGCAGTTGTCAAGAAGGATTTTGGAAGTTCGTTTGGACCACCTTTGACTATAACCGGGATTTGCCAATCTGAAGTCCATGCATGGAGCGAATTGGACCGAATGCTAGGATTATGGGCCAAGGTCATACAGAGCGGGGAGCCAATGACAGAGGAGCAAAGCTTGGAGATATTTGGAGGACCGAATGGCCGAAACAAACCTATCTTGCGTCAGTTCTTCGCCGAGACGAAGAAAAGACGGATGGAACCTGATGGCAAGAGTACATAAACACACGCACATATACACAATCACTCTAGATATATTGACGGAAGTCCCATGGAGAGCATGTAGCTTGTGACCACTATCCTTACAATGTCCCGGGGCAGATCACATATTTCGGACACGAGGATTCATCTGTCCAGGAATGGCCTTACAGACCGTCATGAGCAAGCTATCTTTTTATGTCTGAGTGCCCTTTGTAGACCACTGACACGATCTATCTTTAGGAAATTTATAGTTTCAGGGATTAACCAATTTACGCACATATCTTTGCGCTGGCAAATTGATATGCAAAAAACCGTGGCAGTACTACCGATAAGAAAAAGCAAATGGCTGGGTGACAGCGCCCAGAAGCATGCTACTGAAGGATTTCCATGGTTAGAGCTCACCCAATGGCCCAAATACTTTCAAGGTCACAGATTTCGGATGTGCCCAGTCTAGGCGTGATTCTTCTTATGAGCTACTGCTTACCGCGTTCACGCAGAGTGTAGAACTATTGATCAAGCGTGTAAATTACACTATCCAGGACCGGCGGATTAAGGAGTTTGACCAAATCCGAATCAATAGCTTTCTCTCACGGCAGGGCATTTGTGAACGACCAATTATCGTGGATCCAAAACCATCCACATACACCCGGTACCAGCAGGTATGGCAGCGCCAGATCTGTTTCACCTACCGCGTAGTCGCCCAGATCAGGAGATCATCCTGCGCCACCAGTTGACGACAACTCAACTTGCAAAATTAGACCGGATGGAGGATCTTGGTACGCAACTACTGGCAGAGCTATCCCTAGCAGTTCAGTATCAGCTAGATAATGCCTGTCTCGCACTCTCGATTGCTTTGTTTGATAAACTTGTTGTTCCAGACAGAGCAACTTTGTGAACGGCCGGGAATAAGCTAGTCTTGAAGGTGCTCACTGTGACGACCATTCATGCTACAAAAGTCACCACTGTCCGTGGGGGCTGAGATGCAAAAAACGGCTTAGCATGGGCTGCAAGTTTGAAATTCATTTCGGGCCAGATGAAACGGAGGTCATTTAATGCACCTAACTATGGGAAACATATGGTAAGCTGGGAGGACAATAAGATACGTACTGCAGCCGTGTTTTGGGTGAGATGTCATTAAAAGGAAATTTGTACTGCAGTCAATGAAAAGATAGAGAAAACGAAAGCTTCGTGAATGACAACTTTTTCAGCCATCCACAGGATTCCTTGGCATTTAGCGAGTGCTCGGCCACCCCTGCTGCTCTATGGCCACGAAAACCGTTATAATAACACTGATTCTTTTTAAATCAGAACCTTTTCAGAATTGGCTGTTGGTCCAGAGATGATTAGAGGAGAGCATGAAAGTCTTGACGTGGTTGGTCCGCCGGCTGCATGATAGTAAAGGCGATTGATTTAACATTTTTTACTTCAATTTCCCTTGCAGGATAGTGAAGAATAAACCCTGAACCATCCTAGGTAGACGGTTAAGCGATGTTACTCTCTGAAACAGCTAAACAGATGCCCTCTTGTCTTGCCAGTATTCATGGAGGTTGCTGACTCACATCCTTTTTCAGAACTATCTGTCAAGTCCAACTTGCTGACGGCATGAGCCACAATCGCGGTAAGCTCCTTCCTGCCGGAAACGTCAGCCTGCCTTACTGCGACTGTCTATAGATCAGACCTATCATTTCAGCCACTTTGGTAAATGTATACTTCATTAATGTCTGGCCAGCCTGGACTCAATTCACCCAAGTGGGAGCCCTCGCTAAACTGCCGAGTGCGTGTCGAAATTATCTCCCCTAAGGTTCTAATGCCATTTCCTAGGTGCGTTTAGAACCAGGTTGGTGGAGCAAGGGAATTATCAATGCGAAGGAAATACTGAGAAGACCAAGGCCGTATCGTCTTTGTAGAGGTGGTTCTACAGGATCTACCAATACATGTCTGAATCCTTCGTAGGCACAGCCATGTGCTTTCTTTTGCGATGATAGTCAAGTACTTATGCGAGCTGAAAGGATCATAACTCTGCGATATGGATGGCATTGTATGCAATTCACAAGTCTACAGACTGATCAAGAACTTCAATCTTTTTGGGAAATTGAGTTCTCTCTTCACTGCAGACTATTTGTTGCCACGTTGTGCATATGCAAGAAGCGTGTGACTCTTGACCGCTACTTTGGGCTGCATGTGCCCACAATGACCTGGATCCAAACTCTCCTTACTTTATTCTCGAGATTATAGTTTACGGCATCTGCGCTGCTTCATATCTCAGGCCATCTACTGACAGCAACTCAGCGTCATCTTCATTCATCTAACTCCCATTATGGAGGGAAATCCGTCTTACTCGCAATACTGTGCGAACCTCGTCTCCGAGTTTCCGCCTTGCCAAATGTTTGGTAGACTAGCCTGCAGCGGCTGTCAACTAGTTGCTGTGAGAGACCACTTTCTCCGCTTAGCTCGAGTAAGCTGCTCATCTATCACAGTATTGCAGTAAGAACTGTCAAAAGGCCCACTGGAAGACTCATCGAAGAGACTGCAAGTCCCCGTTCAATAATACATGCTGGCGCCCAGCATGGGACCGTGAAGCTCGGGCCCCAGCATGGGCGGCCCGCGACCAAACCGGGAATTTCCACAATCCTTTCGGATCGCATCAGTATTTGTGGGGAAACACACCAGCCTTTGATGTGTTGCAACTGGAAAGCCATGAGGGACTTGCCGATCAGAAGGATGTTGCGCTCTTATTTGCTGGTGTGTTTGATTGATAGTCTTTTGAATGGATAAAATTATGGCTGACAGGAGAGTTCCAGCTTCGGGCGATTTACGGAACGTTGTGAGGACCGTCGCAGATCTTCCGAGTCAGTTTGAAAAGAGTATAACCTTGACAATCAACGATCGAAACTCTACAGTCGTTGCGAGGAACCTGATTCTGCTTCTCCTTGCTCTTGACACGGCTGATCAGCACTGGTCCGAAATTGACCAAGATCGAGAAGTCACCAAAACTTTAATTCATATTTGGTATTCCTCATTCATCAATTCCAGGACACTGTCTCGAATTCAAGCCAAAGCTTTGCCCCTTATTGCCGGTGTCTGCGACGAAGCGCTCTTCCTTGAGCCTGGCGCTTTCTTGAGCAAGACCTGGTACTTTAAGTCACAGAGGAGTCTACAGGTCACCCTCAACCGAGAAGAATGGCTTCTTGCCAGACGACTATGTTGTGTTCCTGGTAGTCTGACGTTTGAACAAGCGCAGAAGATTCGTACCGCGGTTACCCTTGCGCCTGAAAGGGCGGATTACATGGACAGGTGGCTATACAAAGAATTGACTCCTGCATTGAGAGTTGGACAAGAAAGATTTCGGGAAGATGGCATGCTTTTGCCTTTCGGGCACACCCGCAATGGGTTCAATATTCCAAACCCGTAAGTATGGGTTGAGCCTCAGCCGAGGCCAAAGAGTCTCAGGATCCTTTTACTAAATTTAGGTAGCACGTTATTTCACGACCAGAGAGCCTGGCCTCTGGATGATAAGGCCGATCCTTTGACAGGCTGGCCCATTTGGGAAATACGCAATGAAAAGTCTCATACAGTCTCAGATCTTTACGGCAAGCTGTTTACATATCTTCAAAAAGTAATACGGAAGTTTTTAAAACGGCTCACTACTCTGACAGCCCACTTTGAATTATATAGTACAGACGTCAGAGAGCTAGCTCTTCAGCTGCCAAACGACCATTTCGCAAGAATTGAGGTTCTTAACGTCATGTTCTACGTCCACAATCGATGCTGATATCCTGTTAGATTTCCAATATTTCCGATGTCGGTTACGTCGGAATATATGATACTCTCGCTTTCCTGGCACCACTTCTTCAACCACACTATCAGAACTCGCACTCCACCCTCATCACATTGTTCCTCAATGCAGTCATGGAGATTGTGAAGGCAACCGGAGAAAAAGATTCAATGAGCAAGATCAATTTACTCATGGAATATTTGCCTCAACCGGACGTTCTCAGGCTTCTTAGACCCGACAACGCAGATATGACGAGGCTTTGGGACGCCCGTACACTCTCATTCGATGTAGAATATTATTTCCAAGCGTAAGTAGAATGTGCCAAATGATGACTTTGTGCGGATACCTGTGAAGTGAAGGGTGGATGCCTTTGTCACCGTGACATCGTTATAACGACTTTATAGGTACATGGTGATCCACAAGTTTGCTGAAATTGGAATGGCTCAAGGAGTCTACATTAAATCGCCCAATACCATTATTGAGGAGTGGCCAACGCAGCTGAAACGTCAGAAAGGTCAGGAAGATGCCCGAGAAGAGTTCTCTGCTCTTTTAGGGTCGAATCTCTCCGGCCTTGAACGCTATGTTGAATGGAGTAGAGTCCCATCTCCTGCAGTCAATTGATGCAACCAACAAATTGATATGGGGAAGGGCTACGGGCCAGGGGGCGCGCAGGTGCTGAATTATCGCACAGAAGGCGAGTCGAAGGGGGACGACTTGTAGCGAAGGCTGGCGGAAGACCATTAGCAAGCGATAACCCGGGCCGCGCGACGAATATCCTGGCCTATGGATTATCGATCGCACCTTGTGTATATTCTGAATTTCAGCACCTGCAGGCATCATCTGTAGGCAATCCGATCATTCGAATGTACTTTTCATTTTCATTTACAGTTTCGCTCAGTCATCAGTGCAGTCTCCTAAGTTTCCTTGCATAATCCAGTGCGAAGTTACCGTGGCAAGTAGCCACTCCTATTGTCAGCTTACCATCCCCTTCAACAACAGTAGTCTCGTCTTTACAGCGTCCTGTGTACACATACTCAAAAGCTCTCCAGTCCGCTTGTGGGATAGGGTCGTTGCATGTCAATGTTTTGGTTTTTGATTTCCGAAAACCAGCCGAGAAAACATTCTTAAAGTACGGGCTTGCCCTTTCCAGAATGACGCGATGCACGGGTAGATTGATGCCACTTATGATGGCCTGTGCATCTGATAAATGTTAGTTATTGAAGGCCTTGTTCGTGTGAGTGTGGTTCCCATAGAGCACACATATGGCTTAGGTCTAACGTTAGCTTACCCGGTAAAGTCATGCTCCAAAGGTTTCGACATCGTCTCAGAAGGATACATATAGTAGCTAACAGACCTTTGAATTGCCAGAGCTTTGATTCCAGGGTAACAAATGAGTATCTGAGTGTCAGCGGGTTGTTTTACGGTGACAGGATTTTGGGTTTATTTGAATGTCTCGTTGGGAGGATGAGGGGTAATGATGGATTCACTAATCAACCCGTTTTTGCTGTAGCAAACTCTACCATTGACCATTCAGTACTAGACAGAATTGCCCTTCTCACAAGTGCTACGCGCCCCTGTTGAGACACGGGCGGAAGTGCCTGGGCCACGGCTAGTACTATATCAACAATGTGACAGCTACGGAGTACTTGGAGATAGGCCAATCAGGGCAACGGAATCAAAAGGGGAGAAATTGAGTATATGATTGATTGATTGAAGAACATAAAATGAGGGCGCTCATGGGGGTTGAAATACCCATGAGCTTACAGTGTAACGGAGGTCCACGCATGTTGAATATCCTGGTGCCTAATGACAACATAAATGACTGAGATTCGCCATATAAAAGTGTTGCACCATCTAGAAAACAATTGACGTGATGTTCATCCTTGTTTTGGTACGAGTAGCAACCCATTGGGGTTGACACACCCCCTCAGCAAGGGTAGATCACGAAGCTTGCTGGTAGAACTCATTGATCACCATCCTCCAAACCCTTCAGCAGGTGGCCAATATCCTCCATGCCTAGCATTCGAAGGAACTCTAGGTGCTTTTGGCGAGGAAGGATCTTCGTGAGCCCATCTGCAATCATATCAGATGTCTTCATCCATTCGATTGAAATCCTTCCTGCTTGTACTTCTTGACGAAGCCAGTGGTGATGGATGTCCACATGTCGCAGCTTGGTGCGGAGTTGAGGTGATTCCTTAGTTAATAAGGAGATGGTTTGCTGGTTATCGCATAGAAGGACGATAGGGTGACCAGGATCGAAACGAATAGTGTCGAAAAGTCTCTTCCACATTGACAACGACTTTCCAGCTTCTGACAAGGCGAGTAATTCGGCTTCGGTCGTGCTAGTGGTGACAGTCTTCTGTTTTGAAGCCTTCCAATCAACCGGCCCGCCAAAGATCATGCAGATATATCCCGCAGAGCTCTTTCGATCGTGGTTATCCCCGTATGACGCGTCACTCATGAACTGCACCGACGGTGGAATCGTCTGCTTTCGGTAGCAGATTGCCATGTTTCTGGTTGTATTCAGATAGACTATCACTTGATCGATCGCATGCAGGTGCTCAGGGCCAGGATTTGACAGGAATTGAGCCAGGTATGAGGTTGCTTTAGCTGCATCTGGCCGTGTGATAATCGTGGGGAACTGAGCTGATCCAACCTTGCTCATAAATTCGTGATGATGACTTGGTGAAGCAGTGCCGTTGAAAGGCTTCAAATTCATGATCGATTGTGGGAGGATTTCGAGTCGGCGATGTTGGGCTAAATGATAGCGGTTCGCCATTGCGGAGATATAGGCATCCTGACATAGCCATAAAAGCCCTTTGGAACGGTCTCTGATAATGCGAATCCCTAGGAACCACTGCGCTTCGCCTATTTCTCGCAACTCCCAAGCCTTGCCAAGTTCCCTTCCAATATCATCGGCTTCCTTTCTTGCAACAGGTGGGTTGAAAATGAGAATATCATCAACGTAGAAGATAAGGAGAATGTCACCCTTGACGAACAGGCAAATGTCTTCCTGCACCACTTTGAAGCCCAGCGATAGCAGTACTCGTGTAGCCTCTTCCTGCCAAAGCCTTGGGGATCTTCGTAGGCCATATAGAGCCCTCAGGAGCTTCCAGCACCTTCTGCCCTTCGTGAACATGCCAGGGGGTAGTTCGACGTACACATCCTCCTTTAGCAAGGCGTTAAGGAAGGCGTTGACAGCATCATATTGGCGCGAATCGAGATTGAATTGGGCTGCGAGAGCGAAGAGTAATCGAGCTGTTCTGACGGCCAGGGTAGCTGAATATTTTTCATCATTCGTGACTTTCTGTAGATCTCCACGAACGCAGATTCTGGCTTTGTACTTGACCAGGAACCCATCGCCATCGAATTTATACGTGAAAACCCAGGTAAGCGGTATAACTTCAAGTCCTCTATCAGCAGGCCTGTCAACTTCCTTAAATGTGCCCTTTGCATCGAGTGCCTTCACTTCCACTGCAGCTGCATAGGTAAACCCTTCGCTGTGCGGGTGCCTTAGCATTTCGGACCAATTCTTTGGGGCAGGCGGTAAATGGGGCCGCCTATCCTATATTCGGACTAGCTGGATTCGGGATTCGTTCTTAGTCTATCCCACTATGGTATGACAGAGACAAGTCTAATTTAGTAATATCCCGCAGCCATGGGCTCTAGTCAGAAAGACACACTTTGGGGGCCGCTGGATGTTTGCTGTGGGCGCTTACAAGCAGCACTTTCCTAGGCCTACCAATATTGGGACACCATTTGCAGTAATAATGAGTGAGGCTGAGTGCTACACTGGCCTGCTTGGTACGCTAATGGCCTATCATTTAGCGCCCTGAAAACTAGTGATATTATCTGCTTGCATTAGCGGAGGCTAGAGCTGCTGGCGTAGTCTATCTATTGGATCAATCCATTGCAGTCGAGGTCTAACAGGATGATGCCTAGGGGAATAGAGGCGTTCTGGAGCTGGGTGAGAGTTGAGCCACCATGCAAAAAATGCGAACGGCCCTGCAACCATGACAAGATGATAGATAAAGACGTAGACAAACAAAACGGCAAAAACAGTCTCAAGCCCCCATATTGGTGACGACTTGTCCTTCTCAAACCACCTCCTCCGCTTTGGGACGCGGTCTAGTTGCACGTCACCAGTTGGTGGTGGCAGGCAGTCATGGGGGAGCAACCAAGTGCAGGGAAAAATGACAAGTGTTAAACAGAGCCTGAAACAAATGGGGTGAAATTGGGGTATCCCCGGCATCTGGATCTCCAGCACGAGGTGCATATTGGTAGTCCTTATGAGTGGGAAGGTCTCTGTGTTCGCGAAACATGCATTCTCGTGTCAACCTGATGAACTAATGGGTGTCAGTGCTTGGCGTACAGTAAATGGTGGCGGCGGGTATACCTTACCGCTTGGCAATATTCTAAGCGCCAGATAGAGAATCACAATCTCAATCGGCCTCTGTGGGTCCTATAGCATTTCTTGAGTTCTTGGAAGACATGCAGTCGGTGCTTTGGTCGTTGACCAAGATTTGGGCCGGTGTGTCAAGGTCCTTCTTGGATGCCAAGCAATATCCAGCTTTGAGTTGGTTCAGACGTATCCATCGCGGAAACCTGAGACTGTTGGCCGGCGATGAAGCTCTCTGGTCAGGATGAAAGGTGACCCTGTTATGCTAGGTTGACTACTGCCACTAGGCAAGTTTCCCGGCGAATATGGCGATACATTGTTTTCCAGCGGTATTTATTTTTGAGCGGCTGATGAAATCGTCATCCCTGGTGACGAAGGCGCTTTTGACGTACTGTCATTAGTCCAGATTTTCAGGAGCGATCCAAACCCCGGGTTCGTCATATGGCGACTCGAGTATCTTCTCCACTAAGTCGTTTTGTTCCAGTGATAGTTGATCACGCTGCAGTGCGGTTCCTATTGGGATTTATCGGAGCAAGCCAAAACAGTACGGATTAGTATGCGTCAGGGCAAATAGGATAATTTCAAGATCCCAAACTATAATCCTACACTTATGACCTGACATTCTGAGAAGTGCACGGCGTGAGTTGTAGCGCCGGTAATCCTGAAGCTAGCTGGTGTTGATATGGCAAATACAAATCACATTCATGAAATATTCAATAGACATCAAGTCATTATTATGCTCTGGCTGTATTTAAACCCGGCCTCATTTAAATGACGATAGAACACAACGAGAGCTGCGCCGATCTGCTAAAGGATGATTTTGTGGCACTCCGCTTGGTGCAGCATGTACTCTGGAAGTCTAAACAGCACTTCAGAACAGCCAGGAATATCGCACTGACGACCATTCGGAAGGATTTGTGGAAGCTTATGGGTCCTAAAATGCTTTTGCAGTCCGTTCTTCCGGGAATATCGAAATTGCTTTGCCGTGGGATGTATATCGGTTACCCCTAAGCATACTGGACATTCAAGGCCGGTGACGCTCTTCATTGGGAATGGTTGCGGTTCAGTCTTGATAGCCGGCATGGACTCAAATTTTACTCGCTTTCGCAAGGACTTCGGTACATGGAGTCCGTGAAGTCGTAGTCGTAGCTCTAGTGACCGGATCCGGTCTTCAATCAACTCTGCATCATCAATGTTGTCAACATCTCTGTTCTTGAATTCAAGTTCTGCGAGCTGTTTCCTTTCCGGCTGTATATGTGACGTGTCCGGTTGGAATTTCACTGATGTTCCCTGGTATTTTTGGTCGATAATGTGGTTCCCAATGTTCTCAAAAAACTCGTTGCGGACTCTTTCCTTCGCCTCGTCATGAATTTTCTTCCTTCGAGCCTTGACTCTCCTTTGAAGGATGAGAAATGCGTTATATCGTCCAGCATCAGCACATTTTGCTTTATTTAGTTGATGGAATTCAGCAATTAGGTCGTTCCGAAGTGCTTGACACTCTCGTTTCAATTGATCGAGCTCCTTGTCGTTTTCAAGGGACCTCCTCTGTGGCTCTGTGAGATGCTGAGGTGCGGATGCATCCCGTGTTAGGCTTGAGTTGCAGGCAAGCTTGAGTAGGGCATCTCTAGCAGGGGTCTCCATAAAGGCAGATTGAGTATCATCTCTGACAGAGACATAGTAGGCAAATGTACCGCTCCGCTGATGTCCCATTATGACGTTCCGTGAATGTTCATCCAGATGCCCTACAGTGGCAATGTTAGTGCATAACGGTCAGAGAAAAGTGAGAAAATTCGTGTTGAATCTGTTCGTACTTAAATTGGCAGCAGCCCCTTTCCGATATTTGCAAAAAGTTCCTTTTTGTTTGGACCCAGCTGAAATGCTTGTAGACTTTTCATATTCTAGCGCCGTGCCAAAATTGAGTGCGCGTCGTGGATCGGTGATCCAAAGACCCCCTCCATTCTTCACAGCTCTTCTAAAGATTGGAATTTCTTTGACAGCCTCTTTGAAGTGAATAGTGGTACTAAGCCGGTGTTCCGGGACCTCTGTGAGGTTCCAAATATCTCGCGGACATTTAATGCGCTCGCTAGCAAAAGCATTATCGAGAAAGGCATATTCAAGAATATCCTGAATAACACAAAGGCCCAGGTTATCGTTCCGTTCTGTGTAGGTGAAAACAGGTCTGCTTTTGTCAGGATTGTGCGTATCTCTCATAGATTGTGCTTCTTACGGTACGGTACGCCTTTGTTCCTCTTGCCTTTGTTAAGCCTATGTGTGACTCTCATGAGGAGCACCTGGCATGTCGGATTGTCGGGATTTTTCACCATATACAATTCAATATCCTTCCATTTCAAGGCATCGTTACTCCTCATATAGCCGTATTGATAACAGAGTATAGAAACTCGTTGATAGGGAGACCCCATCAACACCAAAAACGCGATGTCAATCGGTTGCTGCCGGACCAAATCTGCATCTAGCGATCCCATAAAATCCTGTCGACGCGGCGCACAATGATTTATGTTTCCCGATCTGAAGGGCCTCACAATTTGTCCACTCTGTATCTTCGTCTTGGTCTCAGCCCTATGAATGTTTAGAAGGAACTCGTGAATAGGAAGACAATCCCATTACCGCCAACTCGGACGCTCATTTCCAAATCACGCAGAGAGGCTGACTGCATCTGCCATTACACAGACATATCATTACATGATCGGAAGTGGCCTTGAATACGGGTCTTTTGATTACAGGCGCAGCGATCATGTTTCTTAAAGTGGACTGGAACGAACCTGAAAATATATACTACCATCTAGCGGAGCTTGGCCCGGAGGTTTCAGCCCACCCAAACAACGTTCACATATATACGGCCGTTGCTCAATACTTAGCGTACACGCTCAGGGCTTTTGGTATACCCGGAGAACGGCGGGGACGTAGGCAAGAGGAACGCCGTGCAGTTCTTGGACGCCTAACGACCTGGGTGGAAGATTCTGTCCCGGAGAATGAGAGAATGAGGGGTCGGCATCGGACAGCTCACCCGGCTATCGACCTATTGCCCGTGAAGGTATTGACCGATGCCCGTACATCCTTCGCGGAAGGAAACGTCGACCCCTCGACTGCCACGGCAATGAGTACCTGTCGAGGAAAAGTGGGGAGGTTCATCACAGCGACACAGGACTGGTCCTTCGGAGACACCCATTCTCTATTGAAGAGGGAAGCGCCCAACGGCAGTCTGACCAATCAGACGGGTCGAGATGAGAGAACATCTACCACCAAGCCTCGAGATCGTGCTGAGAGACCGAGTAAGAACTCGGAGGGGGCCTTCTCCTTTAAGCCATTATGGATTAGGTTTGTACTCCCGGAGAAACTAACCCTTGTGAATACAAGTATCAGAATGGAGCTGATCTAATATTTGGACTACCTCTTGCACGATGGGAACTGGCTGAAGTGGCAAGAGCTGCCTGAGTTGATCGTTGCTTCGAAAAGAATGGAATGTCCACAGTATTAACGCGGAGGAATGAATAATCTACATGATTCCTCTTCGGAGAAAATGCTCACTAGTTAATCCTTCCTCAAGGCGAGGAGGGACTTTATATCCAAAATATCCTTTTTGACATGTCGATTACAATTAGCATTGTGTGCGCATAAGTTGTGAAAATCTGAAGTCCGTACGAATCCTATATCTAATTCTATTCTACTTCTAAAGTGATAATTCAACCCTACTACCGCCCCACTTTTCCCTCCCATACTTAAGACGGAACCCCTAATTCTACCCTACTAGAGTCGTAATACTCCCATGGGATAGGCACTTCGAAATAGAGCATAACCAAAATGTGGCTAACAGCGGTCTTTGTACGAATAGTTAACCTCCTTGCACTGTGTAGGAATCTCCATGTTCCAAATTCAAGACGTAGAATCTACACGATGGTTTTCTTTGACAGACTGTTGTAAATTGATAGAATATAGCTGACTAGGGTCTCCGTACGGGCATTCAACCTCAATCCACTCGGTAGGGATCTCCTTGTTCTAAATTCAATAATTATCGTCGTAGCTGTAGGGTTGTAGATTCAGTCGCAACTTACGTTATAGCCTCAGTGAGGAAACCATAGGGGATTTCCTGGTTAGCTTGTTGTTTACAAGGATATCTCTTTTCGACCATAGGCGTTTTTGACCATAAGCAATACATATCCATGAAGACTAAGGAATCGTACGAGAGGTCAGTTCTGGCTAGTACAAAATTCATATCTGGGTGACACACTGCCTAGTATCAACATATGCCCTTCGTCAGGACGCCTGCTCCGTACGGACAGATAAAAGGTAAGGGAGGTGATTTCGGAGTTTAGTCGTGACAATCAGAGGGCTCTTCCGAGTCGGAAGAGAGGTCGATAGTGTCGGCATTCATCTTGAGACTTGATGTGTAGAGAGTGTCTCAAAATCGATGCAGATGCGACTGTGTCAGAGAGTGTTCAGAGACTAGAAGTCTTCATGAAAGTTATATTCGAAAAGCGAGAGGGTATCTGTCAAAAGTAAGGCTTCTATAATCATACAGGAGGTTAGTTCGAGCAATAAGAACTTTCATAAATAGGTGACTTACTAGCATAGCCTTGATATATACCCTTTGTTAAGATGCCTGCTCTGTACGAGGAAAAGAGGATAGAGAGAAGGAAAGTAGAAAAGGCTGCCTGGCTGGCGATCGTCGCGCTTATAATCAATAGTGTAGGTAAGTAAAAGTGTCTGGTGGGGGTTTTAGGGAAGGTAAGTGTGATTTATGTAAGAGATTAGTTTAAATAGTGGAACAAAACCCTCTCTTTTGCTTAGTAGTATATGTAATGGGAGTCTCCGTACGAGTATTGACGTTAAACGTATGTAGTAGAAATCTCTATGTTGAATATAGTAATTGTGTAAAAGATGTAGATGTTTATTCTTTGTTAGATATATAATGTATTGTTGAATGGAGGATTATAGGTACTATATAGGGACCCCATCAAAATTATAAAAATTCCTAAGTAGCACTGTAGAACTTAAAACTTTAAAGAAAAGAATGTAATATATAAACATAGAGTCTACTATTATTTTAATATCGTACGATGCATCATTATAATAGAGTGTGTTGAAGATAATACTGGGTGAGAGGCTCTATGTTAGAATCGAAACGTGAGGATCTGCCGGTCGTATTATTCTCTCCCTTAGAAGACCACCCCATTAAAGAAAACAGAGTGTATTTTAACAATCCACCACGCTCTAGACGATGATTAGAAATTCGTACGGTGAAGACTATAGACTAATTCTGATATAACTTAAAACTTGTGAGAATTTAAAGTTTGTAGGATGCATCATTATAATGTAGGTTTGAAATAATACTGGGTGAGAGAGGCTCCATGTTAAAATCGAAACGTGGAGGATCTGGGTCAGCAATCACAACCGCTATCCATAACCTGAACACTGAGTTTGTGAAGGCTATCCGTGCCCACGAGGATAGGTACCGACAGGACTCCACTGGGCTTGAGGTATTTATTACTTCCCATGCTGCCTCCGTTTCCGCCAACCCACAGCCCCGAACGGCTATCCCGGGTAAGAGTCAAACACCACATATCATGTACGCTAAAGCCATGACCTATCCGCGTCTTAAGCAAGGGGATCATGGCTGGTATATCTGGAGGCGATCCAAGATTTTAACAAGAGTATGATGAAAATCATTGATAAGTGGGACGAGAGCGACTACCGTCCCGGGGATTAGACTTGTCTGCAGGATTGGATGCAAGACTTCCCTTTGCCCCTAGAGGACTTCTAGTTCAATAGATATTTTGAAGTTCGACATCGCTTAATCAGTGGCACCTAATAGAACTAAATTCATATTAGGTCTTTTTAGCCATAGGAAGAACTACTACCCCACTCAGCGGGAATGATAGAATCTTAAAAAAGGGAGCTCACTCGGAGGGAGTGTTTCGTAGATTCAAGAGTTCCGCACTTACTGAACCCGTCGTGGTAGGCTCACTATTAACGTTAAGTACCGCGAAATCAATAGCTTCGGGTGACTGGAAACCCCGTGATTATTCATCCCATTAAATAGCATGTCCCCATACTCTGCCATCCGCCGAATCTATGAGCAGGTATATTCCAGGCAACGATTCTGAGCAGCATACGAACGACCAATATACTAGAAGCGCCATCACCCCCCGGCAATGGGAACAGACATATTTCTAACAATAGCTAGTGCGAGCATCCGAGTCCGAGGCACTAGTTAGGACGGATTTTTCGGAAAAGCGGCCTTCGCGTCGGAGACGCGATAGTTGCTAAGAACACTAAGCCTACCATTTTACATAGATATCCCCTTCAATCAATTGCAATCAAGTCCAGATGAAACACTTAAGAAATGACGAAACACAGAAACTAACTTCGGATCACTACATCCAGTCAAAGGATATGTATACCCCAGTCTCAATGCACCGGGCGCTAGATGATTGCTGAGCCGCACTGAAATGCCCCTGTCCCAACCAACCATTTAAGCGCCTTACTACCTATATATAATAGACGTAGCCCGAAAGGGCAGCAAAGTAGCAGCCACACCGCAGCCTCATTCTAAATACCGTGGCACATAATGTGGGTCATCCCCCGCCGCTCTTCTAAATTACCGGGTCTCGGCCATCTGTCTTTAAAAGCTTCTGGACTGACCTCTACGGTTCAATAAGCGTTTTCGACTTGACTAAACACGTCCACGGAACTTATCGCTGCCCAGCCTCGTCCGTTAACCTTCCTACTCCGTCTTCCTGTGTCACATAAACTCGCCCATTCTCGCTGACGACCTAACACGTTCGCGCTCCCTAAGCTCTCAAAAAGACCATTTACGGCCTTCTCTGTTTGTTTACGATCAACATGGCCGATGCATACCGGTTTCCGGTACGGGGATCTTCAAATTCTGGCCCAGCAACGGTTTCCCTCCCTCTCCCCTGACGATGCATACCTTGCGCTTCACCACGAAATGCTCATAAAGCATCCTACCGAGATGGCGAAAATCATTGGCCTAGACGGCATAGAGCTTGTATCTATTGCCCTGACAAAACGTGATATTCCAAGCCTAATCCGTATGGCTCGCCTCGGTACGAAGGTAGCACATCGCTTCAAGGAGGTACTTAACCCTTCCCCGGTCGACACCCAGCGTTTGCTCAACACTCTCACTCCAAACGTGGGACCTATCGCGCCTCAGTCCAGCGTAGGAATACCCAGGGACTTGCCATTAGCTCCTTCTGGTCCTTCGAACTCGGCAGTTGTTGGCTTCGAGACAGAGGCGCCCAATTCCTCGGGAGATGTGGTGAAGAATAGTCCAGTGGCGGTAACAGATAGCTCTGGACCAATGCCAACACCGTTTCGGAACCATCATCCCTCAGTCGTGTCAACTATCTCGAATGCTGGAACGCTTCGCTGAAAGTGATTCAAGCTGCCCAAACCCAGCAGGCCATCAAAGCCTTGAATGCCATCGCCGATTATCTCGCGGACAGTAACTGCATCGCCGTGTGCGGTTCCGGTGGCTCTGATGGGTTCGCCCGGCTTGTCTACGACTTTATCAAAATGACGAGAAAGACCGGGAGAATCATCGTTTCTTCGTTTACCACAACTCCACGAACTGGCATCCGGGGTTTGACCGATTGACCACAGACCACCCGCTGCCACCGGAGTTTGTCAATAAACCTGGCAATGACCTCGACCATATGTGTCTGTTCATGCTTGAAGTCAGACAGAAGTTGCTCGCCGAGGACCCGAAGAGCGCGAAGGCTATTGTTTTCCACCTTCTCATTCCCTCGTGTTCCGAAATACAGATTAAGGAGCCACTACATTTCCCCGAGGACCTCTTTCCTCTTCAGATTGAGGGTATGACGTACAAAGGCGCTGCCCAGGTCAAACTGAATCTACCAGCAGTCCCTGCTAGTCTCTTGTATGACGTTGCAAATATTCTCGACCCGGCCCACTGGAACGCAATAGCACAGGGAACTAGCATCGCCGTAGGGGCTCCAGCATGTATCTGGGGCATTCCTGGCGCTGCGACCGCTTTGGATGCTGGGTTAGGTCTCTTTACAGGACCTGGGGTGCTCCTTACCATCCCGATAGTGGGTCTATGCGGGCCATTAGGGGGCTTTACACTTGTGAAGTCAGTTGGACCATCCATCTATGATTCTATATGTGAGGAGGCGCCGAGGATTTTAGGTTCTACGGAGCGGTTGTATTCGGCAAAAAGTAGTTTCTAAAGAGCGGTTGCATTCGGCAAGAAGTCAAGGAAGTTGGAGAAGATGCCGCGCTAGAAACGGACAAACCGTCGGATAAAACGACATCTCTTTATCATGTTAACTTTGGTAGTAAAGCGAACAGATCATTCCTGTTTCCTGAATTTATCTTATAATCCACTTGATATTAAAATTAACTACTTATGGCTGTCTGAGCCCTTATACATAGAAAGTCGAAATATAAAGCATAACTTTGCGGCGGCGCTGTAGCCCCGTATGCAGGTAGCCTGTTAATCTGTAAAGGTATACTCTATAAGTCAGGATAGAGGCCTGTCAATCAGGTAGGAGAAACGAGGCCAAGTCAATAGTGTGAGATAGTCAAAGACTGTTTCTTGAGGATCGTAAAACCTCTTCAGCATGGGTCAATTTATATACAGTCTCATTGCCCAAACAGGAAGGAGATGTATCCTTGGTAGGGGAATGGGAGCGGGGTGAAACACGAGGCTTGTGTAACCTCTGTCAAGGGTGTTCCCTGCAGGAGTTCGTTCGCATACTGATGCCGAAGCCCCAGCGAACCTCCACAGAAAGCCTGCCGGCTTATCAGGTCCGGGAAGCCTGAGGCACCAACACTTGGGAATAACCTCATGCCAGGGTATATCGTAACATTGACTTACTTAGCGCGCACTTCTAGCACGTTCTGCAAGATACTCAACAGGACCCGAACCCGACGTAAGGCTTTGCATAGCAACGGTACGGTTGCGAGATAGTCTTGAATCCGCAGTTGGAATCAGGCAAGTATAACCCGTGGACATTCTAACTCACGGTGACTAGTCGGCAACGCGTAACAACAGGGTCTATAACAGTAAAGTAGTGAGAGTGAGGCCCTTAGCGGTATAGACGTTAGCAGGTAACAGGACGGGTGTACTGCTTAAGGAGCTCTTAGGTAGAGGGGGTAGAAGAAGGAGAATTAGATAATTAAGAAGAAGATTGAGCAAGCTATTAATGACGAACTCGCTAGTGTTCCTTTATCCCTTTCGCTGTACGATATATATATCGATATAAGGGCGTACGCTGGTATTGAATGTTATCTTAGAAAAGAGGAAGAACATCAAAAGGTAGGGGCTGATTAGGGATAAGGTTATAATTAAAGGTAGATAATAACTAGGGCTAAAGAGTAGGAAGGTAATGAATCTGGGTAGCTGTACGAGGGGAAAGAGAATAAGGAGATGAGCGAAGATAGGCTATAACTTAACTAATTCGTACGGCTGATTGGTAGTGGTAGCAGACTAGAATAGGAAGAGAGGGAAGAGTAGTAAAAAGCTCTTGAGTTAGACAGTGAATATTAGTCTCTATTTTCAAGTATAAAAATTCGTGATAATTAGTAAGTGCTAGGAAATTGTATTTAGGGGTCGTACAAGAATAATTAACCTAAGAAAAAAATTAGTGTGGGTCTAAATAAGAAAAGTAGGCCCTTCCGGTCGCACCCTATCAAAAAGAATTAAGGGGTTTGGGCAATTTATGATTAACTCGTACGACAGCTATAAGTGACTGCAGAAGCTAAGAATGAAACCGGATATAGAATTATGTCAACTTAGAACTTCTGAAATTTTCGAGGTGATCGTACGAAGAAAAGTGCCAGCAGTCAGGTAGGGAAAAGAGCGAGCAGTGAGGGTGGTGGGTCCAAATTCTGCCTATACATAAGGCCTCTACACCGCCGAGCAGCGACCCTCACTGCTCCAGGTCCCTTGGGATAGGGCCATGTTAGTCTCGTCGTCCATGTTCGAATGTTTTGGCTTTTATCTTAGATTCTTAGAGATCTTCAATATTACTCAATCGCTGGCACATACGCCATTGCTCCTCCTAGATCCAATCCCATCATCTCAACAATGCCAATGGAACCAAAATTACTATACAGAACACAAAGGAAAGTGGGTCAGTCCCTTGTCTAGGCCGTAAGTTACCGCTCCATGTCTCGACAGCTATTGCCCAGCAGTGGAGAACGCTACAAAGAAAAGTTGTCTCGTAAATACTTGGGGGCCTATGGCTCGGTGGTCGGCGCATGGTCAAGGTGTCACCCATACACCAATGTCGCGAATGCTGGTGTGAAGAATGCATCAGCAGTTACGGACATCTGATATTAAATCGAGAAGGTCGGAGAGGAGCGAAACAATGAGTGGGCCCTCCTCGAGGCTGAAATCCCAATGTTACTTCAGGTTACAACAGCGAAGTTACAAGAAACCTAGATTACCATACAAAACATTCGGAAGTGTAGATCAATTACCTGAGCAAGATGAGATAGTAAAGGCTAGTAATCCTCTCAAGCAAATGGGATCGTGGATTAGGTCAGTCGGAATCAATCTTGACCGAAAAATTTGGTTGGTCGACGAAAGAACGAATGAGGGAGGTTAAAAACCGGAGATACTGTACACAATGTTACGACAACAGTAATACCAAGGATAACAAATTACCACACAAAACATAAATGAAGTGGGTCAATATGGCTTAGCGGTAAGTTACCGCCCTGGCCTACTCTGACCCGTTATTTACCCGCCCGCCACGCGCCGACTGATTTGACTTTCCCCCACTGTATCATTTCACCTAAGAATCGAGGAATCTCTGCTCCTTTGGCTTCTTCAAACCTCTCTGCTTTTCGATTGAATGTCCACGGCCCTTGCTAATCTCTGCTGCTCGGTGGGACAGGCGTATGCCCTCCCGGTTACTCTATCAACATGTTGAGGGATTCGGATATAGATTCATTGACTAACCACCTTGGGGCGTTGTCAAAGGAGAATCAAAAGCACCATGAAACTCTACAAGATGTTCTGAAGCAGTTCAAGAACCTCCTGGAGGACTACAACTCCCTCAAAAGTGACTATGAAGAGGTAAAGGAAGGCCGTGAGAAATACAAAAAACAGGCTCGTGGTCAGGTATGAGGCTCGAAGTCTGCGCTCCTGATGAGGTGGGAGATGCCAAGGCTGACATAGTGAAGGATCGCAACCCGTTCGTGCTGGTGCTTGTTGATGGTGATGGATATCTCGTATGGGACCTTCTGTGGCTCAAAACACCATCTCTTCCCCGGAACTAACCCGGACTTCTTTGTTGTTCTAGTTTCAAGATCATTTTATCAAAGCCGGTGCGGAAGGTGGTATTAAGGCAGCCCGTGAGCTTAGCGACTCCGTCAGAGAGCTCATGCACTCCACTCTAGGGATGCAGGCTGATCAGTGTCGGATCATGGTTCGTGTTTACGCCAATATGCTTGGCTTATCGAAGACCCTCGCTCGAGCAGGCCTATGTGGTCATGAAGCTCGATCTCTGGCATCCTTCACCTCGGCTTTCAACCGCGCTCAAGATCTCTTTGATTTCGTCGATGCTGCCGAAAAGAAAGAGGGCAGCGATTTTAAAATCAGAGGTGGGTTCCTGACGATCTGCAAACCAGCTGGCATCAGCCTCCATTCACAGCAAGTCCTGACCCGCTGTTTCGAACTCCAGAAATGTTCCGACTTTTCGCCGATTCCAACCAGTGCCGACATATCTACTTTGCGGGCTGCCACGATACTGGGTTTGGTTCTCTGCTGACCCCATATAGGGGCAGAAGTGACCGCATCACCCTCATCAAGGCTGCTTCCTTTCATCGGGAGTTTAAGGATCTAGGACTACCGATCAGAGAGCTGCCGTCGGTGTTCAAGTCTACGCCTATTTCTAGCACTAAACCAACTACTATCGTCAATACGAAGGCGGCTTCTGCCACAAATGGCAGCGCTAAGCCGATCTGTAAACATTACCAAAAGGCACGGTCTTACCCCTATACAATGAGAAATTTTGGTCTATTCTAACTGGCGTGGCTCCAGGGTACCTGCAAGTACGGTAATTCTTGTATCAAGCAGCACGTTATGCCGGGTCAAACCCTGTCTGTTACACCCGCGGATGAATCGCCGAAACAATTGTGGTCTACTCCAACTACCGTGGGCCGCTCGAAGGAGTTTCTTTTCACTCACCTACCGCCAATGAGCCTCAAAGCGGAGGGGCGTATCGCCGTCAATAAGGATGGCGAACGTCTAGACACTTATTGTCCCCATCCGTCCATGGATGCCATGGATGAATACCACCACCGTGCTAAAGAGCACAAGGTTTGCAACAGTTATCACCTCTCGGGGGAGTGTGGTGACAAGAGTTGCCTCTATGATCACAGCGATGTCTCTGACACCATATTTGAGGCGCTCAGGTACATCCTCCGCCAGCACCCTTGCCCTCGAGCCGGGGCTTGCCGGTCCATCAAATGTTACAAGGGTCATCTATGTCAGAAGCCTAACTGTAGGCCCGTGGGTGGCTGGCCGTGTCGCTTTGACTACCGTGCCCATATACTTGATCTTAAAGTCTCTCAGTTGGTTCCACCGGTCGCACAGGCCGAGGAAGAACAGTCCCAAGTGAGCGGCGACTCACACGAAGGCACCTCTTCTCCGGGAACTCTCATCTTCTAAACTGCGCCTAGATCGCCTGATACACTACCGTTCTAATACAGGAAACCGTCACTTACTCAAGACCCACGCCAATCGTGTCGGCCCGGTATGTGTGAAATTAATGCAAGGCTACATACAATGTAGGACATTTGTCTTAATGGGTACTGAATACCCTATGAGTTCAGTTTATCCCATTCAACAATTCCTTCATCCCGTCACTGTTTCCCCCTTTGGTTCCGTTGCCCTGATTGACGACTAAATCCTTAGTATTCATGGCCTATATAAGCCATTCCTGTTACTATCTGTCCGTGGTGCACAATCAGCTTTTTCCGTGTAAGGCGGCCTTTCTAAGCCTTTTTTTCCTGTCAATCTAAAGTATACCGCCGAATAAAACTATGATTTCTATACGCATAGCTCAATTCCTCCTTCGAGATAGCCATAATCATGCTCAACGTGGACACTTATCTGGATAGTACCTACGCAACTCTCACCGATGAGAGCCCACTTCTGTCAGGGAGCACATGCCGACCGAGTCAGAAACAAGATGTCTGATCGAGGATTTGTCTGTGTAAAACAGATTGGGTCAAATTCCGTAGAAACCCATATTGATCGGTTTTAGAACATCACAGCGTAAAGTTTCGCTACTAACTGATCTTTACCCGGTTTCCTTCTCTCATCGCAGTTATCCAATCGGAAAGAAATGAGAGCCAGGATTTCTTCCTGCTTTTCCTAGGTGCGTAACTGTTGGTATCACCAGCTAGGTACTGTGTACACAGTTAAGTGGACAGCATGTATGCTCCAAAAGCAGAAAGTAAATTGATTGATGTAGATAGATGTGTGTTCCTCCAGATCCTCATCCAATGCCCCTGAATCCATGCGGCGGGAGCCGCAGCTTAATATGATTACGTACAACATGTCTTTGCTTATTCTGGCGGGAGGAGATGTCCCGACAGTACCATTGACATTATGCTATCCTGCTAATCGGTCACGACGCCCTGAATATGACTTTCGCCAGTCAGTGGAAAGCGAAGAAACAAAGTGCAAAGAACGTACATCATCACAACGCGTTGAAAGAGAACGATGTGGCATAAAAACTGCCGAACATGCTTTCAATATCCACTTCTTTGGACCTTTTTTGTCTTGGGCTGATGTATAGAGTGAGTGTCGAAGGTAATGATCAAGGTTTTTTCCTCCACATAAGTATATACACCAGGATTTGATGGTTCTTCAGTCTGCCATGATTCTCGTTATCTTCTTGCTCTCTCGGCCAAGTTCATGGCGCAGTTGGCGTAGGCGTTCGATATCCTCTGCATCGCCTAAACGGGCCCATCTCCTTGCTTGTTTGACCCTTCGCCTTAGATTCTCTAGCTCATCCGAATAGTACGGCTTTGAATAAAACGAGATTTTCTTCAACAGGACTGTGTGTTCTGCGGCAGCCAGAAACGCAACAATCAGGTGATCCACCGCGGTATCTAGATCCGCTGGGTCAGTAGTACCCGCTAAGCAGGTGAGAAATGCGTTTTGGCGGTCCACTCGCTTGGTGATTGCCGTAGGCGAGGGGCAGCGAGGATGAGTGCCATTGCTGACTAAGCGATTCGAGCGTAACTAACTAGTTGCCCATGCCTCCCTCGACTATGGATCCTGAAATATGCAGACCTAGAATGGGGCAACCCACGAAAGTTTTATATGTAAAAGGGGGGCAAATATATCCCAGGCACGGGAAAAGTGTGCTGCTAACAAATGTGTGCACCTCACCGGCGTGCAGCCCACGAGAGTTGACCGTAATCCGTGGCAAAATGAACGGTGTTCCGCTGTCGGTCTTGAGAAATGTTGAGGAATCAGCCTTATTTACCACTGGTGACTGTATTTTTCACATTGCTTTTGTATGACAGATAATCGTATTCATGGGGGTATAAAGTACCCTTCCACTCGGGGGTTCCTTCAAATCCCTCGAGTCTCCGATAATCAATTTTTGCTGCCTAGTTGGCGCATTTTCTTCCCTTCGCATCCAAAAACCTCGTCTCCTCAATAAGAAAGACCTCAGCCTTCAGCAACTGTACCTAGGGTTTTTAGTCAATGAACTTGCCTCAAATATGCAGTGAGTATTGCACGGTGGGTATGTTCACCAGGGGCATACTTGTTACGACGGGACCAAGATGAGTCAGCTATAAACAAACGGCGTTTAGCGGATAGATTCTACAGTCCTACTTGATATCACTATCGGATCCAATAGTCGAGGTCCAGATCAACGGAGGTGATATGATTAGTCGATCTGGTGGATCCCAATACGCAATTCGACACAAGCCCCTGCACGGCTACCGCACGGAACGCGAGTCAGCCGCAAGTCAATCATTCTTTTGCCGTTTAAGTTCACATCAACAGATAAGAACAACGATAAGTCCGTGGTTGCTTTGTCGAACCGGACGATGAGCCAGACGATGGATCTAGTCACAAAACGCGTCGCTCTATTCTTTGGCATCGTAAGTAAACAGTCAAATACTTGAAGTGCTCGGCACCCCCACTGCTCTCTGTCTGGCGGCTTGCTACATTCGCCGTCTGCCCGTTCCCCCAGTCACTGAGAAGTACATTCTCTTCGTCGTATTGGATGTATTCAATAAAAACAAGAACATTAATTCCTTGTCCGAATACAAAGTAATGTAGGTATCCCTGTTCCGTGCCAGAAAGAGATCAAACCAACTTGTGCATTTCACCCAAAGTATCAAGACTGAAGAGAGAAGAAGAGACAAGAGGAGTAGTATCTAGCTGGAATTTCTCTTCTGGATACCTTCCTGCCCGATCGGCCAGCCTTACCTCCTGCGACCCTGCCTGGTGCCTGAGGCCAGTGCAACTGAAATCGCTTAAACATCTCCTGTCGTCGCACTGTCGTCAAATCCTTAAGCCAACCCATCAGACAAACTCCCACTCGTGTCCAGGTCGGCACATTTGTCACAATCCCAAAGAAACCTGGGACATTTTTTTAATTGGCATCTCTCGGCATAACACGCATACGAATATGTCCATCCATCCATAGAGCCCTCGCTGCGGTCGCTTCGGATTGGTGATATACCGAACTACAGGCGCATAACGCCGACTGCAGTTGCAAAAAATGGGTACCCTAGCCTCATCAGTAGAAGACCAACAATCCGGGCTGCGGAAGACTAACTTGTGCCCCCGGCCTCTTCTGCCTCACCACACTGGAACTGAAAGTGTTTGCCGAGCATCCGCGGAATTCCTGGTCCCGTAACAAAGACTCCTGCCTCGACCGAGACACTTGACATCGTCTCATCACCATCCTTCTCCGTACCCGTCTGTAGGGGCGAAACGATCACATAAACATGGATAAACTCCTCAGCAGGGAAATTCAAGAACGTCTGGATTTGAGCCATCCCGGGCATCTTAACCATTGGCGCCGTATGATCCACTCCTCTGTGTTTTCGAGAGCTTTTGAGGTCCCCGAGAGGCAAATGGTGGCAAAGGGGTTCCAATAAACATCTCAGCAGGGTTGCTAACCTCCACCGTTCCCTGACGAGTACAGCATGTGTTATGCTTGGGACTAGCATATTCAAAATATTAGCCGTATGGCGTGTGCCACAATGGCCTTTTTATACCCATCCAATGGATTTCCAGGAGCTACTAATCGTTCGTGTTCGGTGTATATACTCCGACAGGTGGATCTCTGCCCCTTCGACCAGAATGACCACACTTGGTAATTTTATGCTTCGATCCGGATGATTCCACTCGCTGCAGTGATGGCTTCAATGGCCGAGGCTTTGGAGGACCTCATTTCAGTATTTAGAATTTGTTTGATGATACACTTTATCACTCATCGGCCAGAGGATACCTCATCTATTACGCTTCCCACTCCGACTTTTTCTCGAAATAATGACCCTACAAGTTGGGAGAACATCAACGCCGATCGATCATTAGAATGGGAGAAATATTAGACTGTTGTAGTCTAACCCTTGCATTTTGGGTTCGAGAGTATGTCTAAGAGCAGCATCCGACCTCGATACTATAGTCCAGAGGACATGTCCCGACATGCGGCCGTCCTTGGATGGCGTCCCGGACGCATGGCGAGCAGGGAATATCTGAGCGCAGGCACGATCCTACCCAAGGAACTATGTCGCCAGTCAGTCACGGCTCGTCCAAGGCACTGGAGGAAAAGACGTGGCGAACTGATCGTGCAAGGGTCGAGCCTGGTATCTCCAAGACATCTTCATCCATCGGGACCGCCCTCCTGATCGTCCATCCAAGGGCGGATATGTTTGTATAATAGGTTGAGATGAGCGGTAGAGTATAGGAGGAGTGATAGCATGTGCTAGCTATTACATGATATTGAAGGTGTCAATTAAAACAAAGATAACCCCGGAGTGGAAGCGTGACACCCTTCCCAAAGGCCCACTTTCCCATACAAAGCTAGCGTGTCTCTGGGAGGAGTACACTGCCTGGCAAGATTTTTGCACTAATTTATCACAGTAGATTAGTGAACTGGGGGTGGGCCGCACTCGCGCCCATGCAGTGACTACACAGACTTATGCCTGCTGACAGAAGCCCCCAGTCATATAATATTAACCAAGGAAGCCTCGGCGTTATTGACGACTGCTGAAACTCAGCATAGAGTTACGATCATGAGCAAGGTGGGAACATGCTGTACTATATCATTCATAAAGGTATCAAATTTTAGAAGGGAAGGAACGGAGAGAAGGATCGAGTAGAAAGGATCAACATGATACTGGAGCTCATTTCTTCACAAATGGCAAATCCAGCAAACACCTCGAGCCGATATCATCGCCCTCGCCATACCTCACGCCATTCCAGAATCAGCCGTTGTGCTTGAGCAACCTGACTGCAGCTCAGAGTCCATGCGGGCGGTCAAAGGAAAGTAATCTTATCCATCTCAGCATAGATCGGATCTGACGCCGTAATGTCGAACTTACCGGAGTGGTTCAACGTGGATTAGCAGGCGACTGGACCCGACGCTGACTCGAGAAATTAGTGAACGCTGGTGCGAAGAGATGAAAGGGGCGCCTACAGGCTTACAGCTGTTGGAGTAAATGGCGATAAGCCAGAATTGCCAAGACCAGGAGTCCCGCTTCGATATGGACGAGGATCGCTGCAAGGATAATCCCTATGATTGTGGGAGTGTTCCACGCGGACGTAGTAGCAGAAGCATTTGAGTTCGACATTTTCGATGGTGGTAATTGCAATAAATGTGGGCATTCGGCGGCCATATTATCTCTGGTTGTAGGAATTTAGGATTCACGAAGATATACAATAACCTAGTCCAGAGGAAGCTGCAACTGATACTACTAGTTACTAAGACCCGCAGGAGTTCACAATTTAGGAATTGTGCTAATAGTTACCTGAGAGTGTGAGGGACTATCTCGGACCCGGGTGCGGGACTAGGTACTGTAAGACGAATAGGAGGAACAAAATCTCTTCAATTTGTGAAAAAAACAGGATTCAAACTCTTAAGAGGAGTAGTAACGTTTGAGAAGTTAGGATCTGTAAAGAATTTAACCATCGCGACTGCCAGGCATATATGAACTACAGGCATACGGGTGGTCGTATCATCATTTTCCCAAATCGAGAGGATATACACATTGTAGCCCAAGGCCCAAAATGAACCGAACCCTAGCAGGAATGAGACTTTCCATTGGGAAGTTAGTATTCAGGCGTAAGAGCCGTGCTACGCTGTCGAAGTCCCGGAATAAAGTCGGTAAGCTTCCGATCCTCCTAAATCTTTAATTTATCTGGTGAAGCCTGGGTTCTCGGAAACAGAAAGGAGTGGATCATGCGGGTGCACCAATGAGATCGATAACATGTCTAAATTGCCAAAAGGCCCCCAGCCCCCGCCGGCAATTTGGGTGGGGCTCTAATATGACCAATCTTGGCGGGGAATATCAGAGTGAGCAGTTTGACTAAATACATGCAATGGCCAATCTCGGGAAGGAAGAGGAAATGTCTCTTCGGGAGGTAGAAGGATTCAGTATAGCTTTTGTTCCAACTAGAAAACATGACGATAACACAACGGGGAAGCTCAATAACAAAGGAGAATCGAAAGGGAAGTGAGAATGTTGGGATTCTCGTTGCTTTTTTGCTGAAGATGGATATTGAATGCGATTGTTGAGAATCAATATAAAAGAACCAAAGTTCTTGGTAAGTCAACGCCGGATGTTTTGCAGAGACCCGGCAGACGATTTCACTGAAATAGTTCCTGCCTTATAATTTAGGCAATAACACCCAGGGTGCCCATATATGATATATGCTGACACTGATATATTTTTGGTAAATGCAAAGCGTCCCTGCATGGCAATGTTAGCACGGCGGTCGTCATGTAAAAGCTCGTAGATAGGGCGCATATTTGTATCTATACCTGATTGCGACTTAAGCTTAATCATCAAATGTAGTCAGCTGCATCTGAGATACAACTTCCTCAACAGTGCGATGATCATCCCACATGAGCTGAACGACAGCGTCTGCATCACGAAGGCACTCAAAATCCTCCTCGTTGAAAATCCGCAACGGTCCAGTGTAATAAAAGTCATCGTCTGCCTTATCAACGTGAATTTGGTGGGCCGTCTCCACATTGAACCATTTCAACATTTTATAAACGGCAGGCACGTTCTTCGACCAAGCGTGATCGGCTGGATTTTGGCTCTTCTGGTCTTCATCGAGTAGCTCCTCTCCAACCATCTGCAGGGTTCCATGAGGGCAGATCTTTATCGCTGTTATCTCAATGGTCGTCTTCTTGATGCTTGTCAAATATCTCTGAGCGACTTCTCTGAGAAACTCTGGCTTTCCTGCTGTTGCACATCTTTTAGCCCATATATCGATGGGTTCAAAGTATTGTTGGTCGCAGTGGTGGCACTTATCAACGCTGTGCAAAAAGCTAACCCGTTTTAGGCAGTGCAGTGGAGCCATGCCTTTAGCATATAATACCGTTCTCAATCTCTTTAAAGGTGAAGTAAAATGGTTGAATCCAGTTTACCTGTCTCGGCGAACTAGGCTTATATGGTCGGTAGAAGCTTGTACAGTTGGTAGTAGTTCCCATTGAAGCAACCTTTACATCCTCTACTGTTGATCCATTTCTAACCCTACATAGCTAACTATGCTCTAGCAGAGTCTCGCCGACGCTGGATCTTACTCAGTAGTGGCTGGAATTCTTGATATTAAATTATCTATGATAGTTGTGGGTGTAGGAATGCTAATAGGGTGTCAGCACTTGAAGGTGGAGTCTCAACCGGCGCATCCCAGTGTTCGAGTGTGATTCCACCTAACTGACGCCCATGGTTCTGCCAAGGACAGGTGCGAACCATGTCTCTGGTATTCGACAAGGCGTGCTCGAAATTGGAAAGCATGATTCCTGTGGCTTAGGCAATGCGTCCCCACGAAACCATTGGAATGGAATTGCCCTGTGTGAATAGCCTCTTTCAAAAGCCTCAGACATGTGTAAACCTGACCATTAATTGGCCAGTGGCCTCTTATCTGGGCTTTACCTCCTTACCCGATTGATTGGAGCCTTGCTTACACAGACGTACGAGCAAATATACGCAGCGATTGGGTGACCAAGAAATTTGATGCCACCATCACTGTCCCTTGCATTAATTTCCTGGGCGGCGCAAGCGAGGGGGTTTGCTCCTGTAAATGCGAGCTAGCACGATGGTCCAACCATCAGAGGAAACAGACTGCATTCTTCATGGATCATTCCTCGGCCACCGCCGGCAACGGCTTACAAATTCCATAGTCTTGACGGCTTGAGTTTGTCTTTAAATAAGCCTCGCTCATCCTCCAAAAGTGGGTTAGTTAAAAACCAAAGTCTCTCGACTTATATGTCATTGATTTTGAACGTAATCTATCGGTCATGGTGGGCGAAGTCTTAGGGAGGCTTTGGAAGCCATGGCTGGATAACCCTCCTGAGTTCAGTGGAGAATCGATCTATATTGCGGTCGTTGGCATGACCGGGGCAGGCAAAACAACTTTTATCAACAAATCTACAAACGTTAAAATGTAAGTTGGGCGTAAATTGAAGTCTTGTAAGTATCCCACAGTCTTCGGTTGAGACTAGGCCTTTCTAATTGTTGTTAAGGCACGAAGGAAATCCAGATTGCGACTACCGAGATGGACAGATACCAAGTCAATCTTATTGACACCCCGGGCTTTGACGACACCAAGATGGAGGAATCGCATGTACTAGCCATAATTACCGACTACCTTAAGAGCGGTGTTCGCCTTTCGGGAATTTTATATCTACATCCCCTCAACCGTGGACGAATGGGTTGGGCTGCGACAAGAAATCTGGGAATGATTCAGAACTTGGTTGGGCCAGAAAACATGAAAATGGTTCGGTTGATAACCACTATGTGGGACAGAGTTTCTCCTAAGGATGGTCAAGATGAGGTGGAAGAGCTTCAAGAAGAATTCTGGAGCGAAATACTTGCTGCCGGGGCAAAGACGGATCGCTGTATCGATGCTACCGAGGATGGCAAACGTATCATCCGGTCGATCCTAAAATCACCTCCTGTGCGATTGAAATTCCAAAAAGAAATCGAGAACGGCGTTGAACCGGCGGCGACGGCTGCTGGCAAATTTGTCGCCGATAAAATTGTGGAACTGCTGGGAGAACGTGTCAAAGAAATAAAGGTGTTACAAGATCAACTGGCCGGGCTTACGTGCGATCGCACTAAGGAGGCAGAAAGGGAAAGAGCGTCCCAAGAAAACCTTCAAAAGTTGAACGAAGCTCAAGAATCAATCAAAGATCTAAAGGAAGAGTTGAGAAAGTTGAAGGAAAGTGTGGCGGACCTTGAGAATTCGAAAAGTGGTGGGTGCATTATACTGTAACTAGGACATGATGACGCACGTTCATGAAGTCACTTTTTGTACTTAAGTTTTCCTGGCAGAAGAGCTAATGCCATGTAAACACTCCCTTTGACGTTGCGGCGCCGTACCTGTTGTATGCCTCGGGGAAAGCCTGTTACATCGAACTCTGTTATTCGAAGTAACACCTGAGGCACAAGAGCGATAGAGTCGAGATGCGGCCACTATGACCGAGGCTGACTTCATCGACTATACTTTAGTAGCCCAAGATATTTACCAGACCCCGTCATAATTCTGCTAAGATCTTTTTTTTTCGACTGCCTCCATTGTCAGTTCATGCGGACGTTAATCTGCTGTTCTTGCACCTTCCTTGAGTATTCTTGGGTTTCTCGCTGTTATGGGGCATATCGATTTGCCGGGGCAAAGATATGTGTCCAGCCCCCTTAATCTCTGAAACTCTTGTGTAATGGAAATTCCCTAAAGAAAGGACGACGGCTCTCGATATCTGAAAGCTGCTTCACCGGAACAAAGATGCCAGGACTGCTTCAGGTTTTGAATTTCATGGGTCATGCGCAACCAATTTTCTGTTTGAGCCTTCGCTATCCCGCGTCATTTTGCCAGATGATCAACCCACCTCAACAAAACGCAACCCCCCAATCGGAGTATACAAAATGTTATCTGTTCAAACGATTGGCATGATATTGGAACTTCGTCGTGACGAAAAGACGTCAGACTGACACTGTGGGTCCAACGCGATATTTCAACACTTAAGAGAAACTGAAGAAAGACATTCACCGGGCACTGGTGTGTTTCCAACACATACTTCCTCTGGTAAAAGACAAAATGATATCTAGAGGAGACAGTCCGGAGGCGCAACTTCGGGGTTATTCTCATGTCCTCCTTCTCCCTTGTCTTCACCACAAAGTCACAACTCCAGTCACAAGCCAGCAATACGAGCCATACAAGTTAGTCTCAATGAGCTTCTCTCGGTTGAATTGGCAATGATCCAACGGCTCCGGTGCTCAGTATGGCATTTGATGTACGAGCCATCAGCAAACTTGGCACATATATCCTCCATTTGTAATGTCGACGAATCTCCTATCGCGATCATCTAAGCGTCCACTTGGCGTTACCGCTTTGGACCGGTATTACGCATGCTGCCCGTCCGTACCCCCACCTTTTCATACTTATGAAATATTACCACAGGATTATGGTAGAGATCCGAGGTAGTACATTCAATTTCTCCGGGAGCGCGTACCTCGCGTTGAAACAAGCTTTACTTTTCGGTGACGTCTGTAACTTGATATGGCAGAACAAGTGCCGGGGAACATCGCCGGACAATGGGCGTGTAATGACGGATCATACCTTACACGGGGTGAACTGAGTGGTAGATTGTGAAAAAAGGAAAATTATATGGGGGGTCTCTTGAACAGCCTGCACTACCCTATCCAAAGAGATTCAATGATCTGGGCTCATTAACGAAGAACCAGGGCTGTAATCACTATCGATGCGGCCACGCTTAGTGTTTTTCCGTGCCGCTTCAGAGTCAGACTCAATTGGTGAACTGGAGTCATCCGAGGGAGTCTCAGTCCTTTGCCGTTTCAAAGCACCAGGTCTGACATTGTTGACTGAGCCAACTCGTTGTACATACGCTTCTTGCCTTGCTTCCGCTTCCAGCAAATAGCCATATAATTGTTCGGACGAGATGGTAATCTCCTTGTCAAGATCTGGCAATTCATGCGTCAACTCTTCAGTTCCGAAATCCTTAAGCGTAAGTTGTAACAGTTTGGGACTAGATGGCTGGCCATCATTTGTTCGGAAAATCTTTCAACCAATGAGCTTCTCCGTGTTTCGCTTCGAAAATTAATTCAACTGACCTGTTCCCGTATCACGCACGTAGATCGAAATTCAACAGCGCCATCTCTCGTATAATAAGTCGGGCGCCACACAGAAAAAGTCGCCTTTTTGGATGCCTTGTAGTCAACGTTAATACATACCACCGCGTTAATGCTACCATCGGTGCTCAGAATATAATCATCAGCGAGGCGGTAAATTTCGCGGCTCTTCTGAGAATAGCAGACTTCGAGTACCACCCCGGGGTATCGAGCTTGACAGTGACCAAAGGACGCATCTAGCTCTCGTCTAGAAAACCTCCTTTGGCCATCAATAGATTCTTGAGGCAGATCTATTCGCGACGAGCCTAGGTTTCTGATTTGCTTTGCAAATTCTGCCTCAGACCCGTTCCCTTTCTATAGAGCCTTCAATTGATTTGAAATTTCCCACACTATTTCGGACAGAGTGTTTCGTGGAGAGGGCTCGGCATCCGGACTGAAAGACGGGAATAGCGCGGGTCGTAATCGTATCTGTCACACCCTCTCTCCTTTCAGCAAATGCGTTTCGATGTCACCGGGCCAGTAAACCTTACCGGATCTTATCATCGACGTAGGTTCGAAGTCTACTGTCAGCATCAAGTAGACTTAAAAGGCTCTTATAGTCGCCGGAGTCGACCTGGTACTGAGTCCACGCGCCTGGCCGGAAGCCCCCCGATGACGTCGGAAAAAGTTGATGACGGCCTCGGTTCGCTTAGATGAGGGTTTCTCCTCGGTTGGTGGAGGGGTAAAAGGACGCCCAGCAAGACTCGTTGGGGTTGTTACGCCAGCAGCCATGGGGGAGAAGGAGGGCGTGATAAAGATGGCTAGTTGTCGACGCGCTATTTGGGATTTGAGGTTTAGGGTGACCAGAGGACAATATACATCACGTGACACCCGCGGGTCAAAACAAAAACTAGCCCGTATTCGTATCCGGGTGAGACAGGCAGTTGACTATGGGGCGCACGGACAAAAAGCGTGAAATGGTCGACTATTCCACAAGAGACTAGTACAGTAGTAGTGCTTGAGATAAGAAGCCTATTTCGTCTGAATATTACCTTAACACGTTATGAACCATTTTATCTTATCTTATATTACCTTATACTAATTATAACATTATAGAGGGGTCCTCATCCTGCTTTAGGTTGAATATATATCACCACGTTAGTCAACCTCAACTATGTTACGCGCAGCCGACTGGTCACTGCGAGTTAGGATAGTTCTGGGTTATACTTGCCTTATCCTCGGTCATTGGGGACCTACATCCGGCCATAACTCTATTCGTAATGTTGCACGCCTCCTCTGTTGGTGCACTAGACGGCGGATAGAATCTGCCAAAAGGCTGCCAAAGCGACTGACATATAGCTTTTGCGATGACCGTCTCCGCTGCCCGGACTCAAAGGTACTTAGATGCATTGGAGGCAGTCAGGAGGACAATATGGAATATCTGGAAACGGTCACGAAGAATAATTTGGCACTGATAGATATCCTGTCAACAGTAAGATATACGTCAGACCTGCCCGAAAGGCGAAACTTACAAAATCATCAAGTGGAAGCTCTCCGAAAGAAGCATCTGCAAGTGCCCTAAGACTGGACAAGATTGTATGGGCATTATGGTCTTGTTGCAAATTTCAGACATGGTTAAACCGTCGACTCACTAATACCATAGACAGCCAAGACTTTTCATCGATGAATTCGAGGATGATCAACAATATCTCAGATGGTAAAGATGCTAAAGCAGTCTTGACGGCCGGGATCTATGAGCTACGTTAGAGACCTCCAAAATGATCGGTAGCATGAGCTCTTTTTTCTCACGTACAGAAGTTTGTCACTCCTTTTGTGGGCCCTTCATTCTACAAGCAATGTACTCTAATTCACGCAGGCGCCGCTTCGTGCCTCGAGTTGGCATTCTGGCTAGTAGCTATGGACGGTAGACCTGCGTAAAATTGTATTTACTATCTAGATAAAGGAGATCGTGGGAATCTCGAAGGAAACCGTGTTCAAGGCGGCTTACTTGTCCAGGGGAAGGACGTTGTAGGTAGATGCGCAAGGTAGAACGGGAATGAGGGTGGTGGTAAGCCAACCTTTTCAATTTCTACCACTGGCAGACAGGGGGATAAGCAAATGGCGCAGAAGGCGATCGGTTGGTTTCGCGACCCGGATATGGATCAAGTCGGACTATACATTTGGACGGCTTTTCGCATGGCGTCTGCTAGCTGAAAAAAAACCTTTCGCAGTATTTACGGGCTTGTTTTTTATTCAGCTTTTTGTTGATCGTTGCGCTCCGTCTTTCTGGTACGCTTGCACTCGATAAAACGTTATGACCTAGACTTTCTGAATGTTTCGGTGAAATACGCCGCAACGAGGTCAGATTTCAAGTCGGACTTTGAGTGAGACGGCGCTTGTGAATTGACCAGAACATTTTGATAAGTTCGAAATAGTACTCGTTAAAAATACCTCCATGTGTAACACCATCAGTCCTCCAAGCAGATGTCCGGAAAAGGGATTATTCGTACACAGGTTCGTCTTCAGCGTACATCGAGTCATCACGAGCACTGTACGCTGGGACACGCAGCTTTCTTGCCTTTGCTTTCCACGGTGCTTCCGTCGCTGGATTCAACGTTTCCATCATGCAAGAGCCCAAAGCCGGCCTGTCTTTCAGCACATCGTGGAATTGAGTCACTTGGCGCAACCTGTCCAAGCTCCAAGCCGCATATCGTGCCAGCCAATCTAAGAGGTCATCACGGGCTGGCACTCTAGTGAACGCTTCTTTTAAACAATCCACCACAGCCAGCTGCTCGTTGAGTGTGCCCGGCAGCCCCATTTCAATGAGCCCGGCAGTTAACTTTTCAAATGCCAAAGTTCTCAGACCCGACACCAAGTAGGTATCCGCAAAGATGTAGACTCGGAGGTGACAGAGTAACGTATGATGCATAAGTACTCCCTCTGCATCCGCATTATCTTCACTTGTTGCTATAGTCATTTCAGCCCCTGGTGCTTCTTGCTTGTGCTTGTGCTGTTTCCATTGACATTTATCCACTGCAGATAAATCTGGTTCGTCATAATCTCCTTTGTATGCCCACTCGACGAATTGTGATATCGTCAAGTCCGCCGTCTCAGAAAAGGTGTAGCGCTTTGATTCTGCCTCTGGAAACTTATGTCGAAACGCCCCCGATGCCGCCTTGCATTTATTTTGCAGGAGCTTCTGGTGAATTCTGAATGTACATGTTGAGCCCGAGGCACACAGCTCAATCATATCCGATTGCAAAAATCTAGGAGAAGTTGTGAGCCAGTGAATGCGGCAGTTTTTTGTTTCACGTACTCGACGTATGTGGACATTTTGCTTCCCCATACAGAGAGAAATGAGTGGCGGTGAGACAGCCTTGTAAGACGAACTTAACTTGTTAGAGGAGATTGTTTGAAAATGTTCGATGTATTCTGGTTCTCAGGAGCAGCGCTTGTAATTATATGATTCGATGGCACGTATGGGGACTGCGCAGGTGGAATGTGCTTGGGGTTTCGGAATTTCAATTTTTTGTCTCATTCCTGACAGACGCGACCCTTGACCGTCAAATACACTTGAGAAACATTCCAATGCATAAATACATGGACTGCGCACAACCTTCACTTCTCTTTGACAGCCGAGTTCCTTGGAAATGGGAATCGAGGGCTTCTGGGAAATGGTCTGTGGTAAATGATCGGAATATTGTGAACAACCAGCATCTTCAAGAATCCAAGGTGTGGAACCTTTTCTTATCAGTTCGCATTACGCTACTTTCGATGACCATTCTTGTTTCGTAGAAAAAATAACTATCCCCAACATTGCTTCCGTTACCCGTTCACCCAACACTGAAAACACCCTACTTAGATCAGCTAAAACCGGGAATACCAGTGTCGAATTACTGATTTCGACTTGCCGCAACGCGACGCTTTTTGGGTTCAGGAGTTTCATTTGGTTGCCTGCTAGTGCGAAATTGCATTTCGGCTTCATGTTCGGCAAGTAGATGGTCTTCGGTGGGGTGGTGGTGTGGGATCCAAACATAATAGGGAAGAGTACAGATATCCCTGGGCCTTGGACAAGGTTAACAGGGATACGCTGACCTTCCGCCAACCATCGACACAGTACAGGATGTTCAACATCCCTTCGGGCTCTACCAAAACCTCCTAACGAATAGATCGTGAGCACCACGGCGGAGATTATGGTATCACTAGGTCTCTATACGTTTCCATACTTAGTTGCCATAACACTTGAAGTATTGTAGGGTATCGTGTTGCTGGTATATGGCCAGAAGTGTATTGCTGTTTTTTATGCAATTGGCTATGCGGCCGATGAGCATCAGTCTTGAGACCTTTCAACTTCCCAGGTCGCCAGAGAAGATTATCAAGATTTATACTCCCTATTGTACAGTCATGACATTTTCTTACCAATATCCCGAATTGAGCAAAGTTCCTGAACTCAACAGAAATGGCCTGTGCAGCTATGGAAATATGTTGGATCTACTGGATGATGTGGATTTTGGCGTGAGTCACCCGAGATACCTATCTTATGTGCAACGCTTGGCTCGATCGAAGTTACAGGTGGCGAAAATCTCATTTAGTGGACAATTAACTGAGTTCCAACCTGCGGAGGACGCGATTTCTGGCAGTCACCCAACGACGGAGGCCATTACAAATGGCCTGGCAGAAATCCTGTTATGTCTGTTTATGCCGTGGGAAGATTTGGGCCCCGTCCTTCGTCGGTCAAGGGAGCGAGGAAATAATTACTCACAAATATGGGCGACTGTTGAGCCTACTCTCTCTCCACATAACCAAGATTTCGCTAGAAATATTGACCTACTGCGAAAGTTCAAGGAAGATTGTCAGGCAGACGCAAAGCTACGTGAATCAGCCACAGCAAGCGCTGCTTATGAGCCATATGATCACGACATTGAAGAGATTCAGCCGACCGATTTCTATTCGGATGATTAGGAAGGTATCGACTCTGTCCATCTTCAAGATGAGACCTTTTAAGGCAGAGACATTGACTGCGGCCTACGATTCTATCATCAGGATGTGGCAGAAAGAGCTCCTTGCTACTGGACGACGCATCCCTCCATTAGTCCATGGAATAACGTCAACCTGGACCGTAGTGCCGCGAAATCTTCGACCCGTCAATATTCTCCATGACCTTGCGGAAGACACTTCCGATCTCCGTTTTCTCCCCCGTCCACCATGAGCGATTGGGGGGTACAGTTAAAAGATCTTTCCAAAGCTAATGATGAGGACGCACCTGCGCACAGTAGCTCACTTGCCGGCATTGGCTCTGACTTTAACTTGGAAATGGGCGACGGGGCTTTACAAACCATGCTCACCACAGTGAACATCTCATCGTTCGATGACCGCCGACTCCTGGTTGGTCGCACTCCAACTGCTAATTCTCTAACCGCCTTAGTAGGGGAGCAAATCCCGTTGAACGTCAAGCAACGCATGGTGGTCGCAAATGTTCTCTCCGAGGCTTTGGCCAGGACTGAGCACCCTTTTGATTCGTCCCAGAGGAAGCAGATGCTGCTCTGCATCATGGGCGAGGGCGGGACAGGGAAGAGTCAGGTCAAAGCCATTGTGGCCGGCATGGATCTGCTCCATCATAAAAAGATGTAATTCTCACAGCAACAACTGGCGCTGGGGCTGACAATATTGGCGGAAACACCTACCACACGTCTTTCCTTTTGCTCAATTACAACATGTCGGAGCGAGTTGAGACAGTAATGGCTAGTAACCTTAGTAGGCGAATGAGATTGACCAAGCGGAACCAATCTTGGATGCAAAGGTTGAAATACCCCGTGGATGCTAAGGTACACGGTGTTACGACAACCGTAATGCCAAGGATATCAAATTACATTACTATACAAAACATAAAGGAAAGCGGGTCACTCAGTATAACCGGCCCCTTACAAAAAATAACGTGCGTCCCACCGCAGCCGTGTCCCCTCGTACCCGCTCGGGATTCAGGTACTTTGAAGGACAACGCCAGCAAAGTCGACGGTCTGGTGGCAGACCATCAAGTTCGAATTGAAATAAGTTTTCAATATCTCCATTATACAGGGTTTTATTTTCACACAAAATTACGTTGATCTGTTAGCATATTTCATCGCAAATTGACTTCCGTTCCCGAACAAGGTTTCTGTGGCAAATTGTGCTAAGCTTCCCTAGTATCCAACCAGCTGTTTTTTACGGAATTAAGCTTATAATTCTTGGTAAACCAATCCCACCGAACAAAGATATACTAGAAATGATATACTCTACATAGTGTTCAACTCTGAAATAACTTGTTCTTTGTTCACACATGAAATTCTTAGGGTACCCTGATCTGCTAATGAAGGTTGTTTTGTAAAGTCGATTACATACAAAGCGTACTGAGCATGTACCGTAAGGAATTCTAATTCTAGATATTCCCGGCCACGTGCTTCTCGGGGTCAGTCGTGTTGCCCACCTCCAGAGCCAGCTTTACTTTTTACCTGTTACACCAACACGCGCTAAATCCCATGACCGACTATAACGACCCAGCAGCAACTGTACTCGCCCTTAACGAACAGTCTGGACAGCCTAAAAATTACTCTGCCCTATCGAAGTCTAGCGGTATTCCAATCTCCACGTTACGGGATCGTGACAATGGTAGGATTTCTAGAAAGGAGCGAGCTGTGGACCAGCAATACCTCACTCCACAGGAAGAAAAGTCGTTGCTCGAATATGTTCTACGGCTATCGAAAAATGGTTACCCTCTCCCGGTCAAATTCTTACGTGCTCTCGCGTGGGAGATCGCTCGCCGACGCTCATCAGCTATGCCAGTCCCGGTCGCCGATGAAGACACTCGCCCACCAGGAAAGAACTGGCCACAAGCCTTCTACAAACGTCACCCGGAGCTAACATCGAGGACACTGAAAGCAATAGACTGGAAAAGGCATGATCACAACATCTATGACAAGGTGCAGGATTGGTTTCGTGTCATCAAGACGGAGCTGAGCAATCCAGCGATCCTCGCTGAGAATGTTTATAACATGGACGAGACAGGTGTCTTACTGAGTGTTTTGGGCGCTCTCAAAGTGTTAGTAGGGCGGGAGGAAATGTGTAAATACCGTGGCGCTGCTGTAAAAAGGAAAATGGTTACCGCCGTTGAGTGCCTGTCAGCAGATGGTAGGTCTCTACATCCCCTGGTCGTTTGGCCTGCTTCTACCCACCGTAGTAATTGGACCACTTACCCCACTCCCGGATGGCATTTTGCCTGCTCAAAGAACGGATACACAGACAGCACTATCAACTTGTACTGGATCCAGCATGTCTTTGACCCTCAGACCAAGGCTCGTGCTGGTAGCCGGCCGCGCCTTTTGATCAGCGACGGGTTTGCTGCGCATGAGTCCCTCGATGTGTTGAAATTTTGTCTTGCAAATAACATCATTCCCTGTCGACTTCCGTCGCATACCTCGCATAAGCTTCAGCCGTGTGATGTAGGAGTGTTCAGTTCACTGAAAACTGCCTATCGGGAACAAGTAGAGCTCCTCTATCGGGGTGGAGCTAATGCTGTGCGGTTGGAGCATTTTACTTCTCTCTATAGCCGAGCACGTAATGCCGCCATGACGACCCGGAAAATCAATGCCGGTTGGTCCAAAACTGGAATGTTTCCTTGGAACCCCGAGCGGGTACTGAAGGACATTCAACCGCCTCCAGGAGGAAGTGATCCCACTGAGAGAAATATTGTCACGCTGGCCCGTCGCTCCGAAGGTGACGAGCTGGTACAAACACCACTAACACCAATCACGGCTGACAGCCTAACATTACTGTGTCGTAAGGTGGACAGAGAAGCTCGTGGGTGGGACACTGATTCTAGGCTTCTCATCAAGCGCCTTGCCCGGGCCGCGGAGAGGGCGTTTGCGGACCGTGCACTTCTTCGCAATGACAACGAGCGACTGTTGGCACAAAACAATGAAAAACGAACTCGAACATCTCAACCAGCCAGAAAAGTAGGCAATGCTAAAGTTATGAGCTACGAAGACATAGTCGAGGCCCAGAGCAAACTTGAAGCAAAAAAATCTTCTGAGACCAAGAAGCGCAAGCGCAATTCCAGTATTGGCTGCCGACGAACACGGTCTTGCGCTGATGATATACGAAATGCTGAAGATGAAATACAACGTTGGGGCCTTGGAGAGTACTGCTCGGTTATTAGTTTTTGATATATCGACTACTTCCCTGGAGTTGCGAGTTAGACTACTTTTGATTTTGCACTTTGTGAACTTCTTATATGTTGTCGAGGACCCTTGACGCTTGTAGATGCTTTAATTGGCTAAATTCGGTATCATTCCACGTTAGCCGCGTACTCCGGAATGTAGGATGCTATTACATATCACTTAGATCCTAGCAAAGCCGGATACGGATACGGCCTATTGTTGACCTTCATCCGGATAATACACTTGTGAACAAGTTTATATGCCTGCTATAGTTTTAATTCAGACGAATAAGCCTCAGCTGATGAGACAAATTAATCACAGCACTGTTAAGCGGTACAAAAGGCGCATATGTGTTCAATCATATACCCTGACCTCTCGCAAAGGATATGAGAAAGTGAGCAGGTACACAGATAAGATAAGTGAGATCAATGAACAGATAGGGTGAGCCATCCACCAAGTCGCAAGCCCGCAAGGGATCCCAAATTTGTTGACCCGTCCTCGCTGATATCTAATTGCTCCATGTCCCTGAGGACCCTTTCAATATATTCACCTGCGCCACTCAGTTTCAGAATAAGCGCAATCGCACGATGGACATCGAGGAGCCGGGAGGATGGAGGATCTATTGTATGGGTGGGACTCAAGGTGAGGTCGCGAGTGACAGGAAACAAAGGGTCACGCAGGAAAGGACTCTGCTCTGTGGAGTTAATCCTGTACTGGTGAGGTATGCCAGTGGATTGGAAATAAATCTGAAACTCGCCGAATAACCGGTGGTAATCGAGGGTTAAAGTGATGGCATTTGAGGGGCTGTCGATTTTCGGGCCATCAATGAGATGGCCAATTCCAGGATCGAACATATCTAAGATGCGGAGAACGTTTTTCTTTGAATCACTCTAGGCACCCGCATTAGCAATGGTCAAATAGAACGTCCATATCGAACATACCAAATCCGTCTCTCCAGAAGCTATTGTTGTCAGACAGTGGGGCAGAATATGGGCAACCTCCAAGAACTGAAACTGGTCATTGGACTCTTCCTTCAACAGGTTATCGTCATCATCTGTGCAGAGCTCTCCATCCTGTGCGAATCGTTTTTTGGCTTCGGCTCGGTCAAATTTTCGAGAAATTACACAACGGTGGCGGTCACGCACAAGACAGCTCTGTCGTAGGACGGATACACGTTGCCTGGTTCCGGTTGGAGTAGAGCTCTGCAGGGATGACAATGATGTGGGAGTCGGTTGTGGTGTCTTGACAGATGAAGCTCTAACTGACACAAGTTAGCCTACACTTAGTATGTCTGAAACCATATGGGTGGGGGAGCAACATACGAGGAAGCAGAAAATTTTCAACAATATACTCAGCGCATTTTTCAAGAGCTTCCTTGAGGTTGTTCAATTGTTCAGGTTTCCGTGAAGCCAAGCCATCGAAGTGCGACAAGGCGTCATCAATCTTGAAATCAACCACAGTTGTATCCTTTGGGCGTGATTCTTCGTAGATGTATGAAACGAAAAATGTTAGGAAATGATCCGTAGATGCGACATGCTCAAGGGTAGCCTGTATAAGCGCCGCTGGCTTGTAACCCTTCCGCCCGACCTGTTCAAGGCCATACCCATGTGAAAGCCAGGTCAGAAGGTCCCTCGCCGACTGGCGCTGTTGAGCTGTTAATGATAAAGGTATTGAGAAGTCTATAACTCCCTCCAAAGAGGACTGGTGACGGTGACGGTGACGGTGGGTGGCCATCGTAGTATTCTCTTTTGACTAGCAAGAGTGGGTGAGGAGGGAAGCTTCGATACACGTGACAAGGCGACATATCTCGGGTTTAATCTCGGACCGGGCAGGGGCCCCACCTACTTCCCCATGATTCGAGAAAGTAAAGGTACAGGAAAAACTGAGTTCCGTTCTAGGAGTAGTTTCATGCTGACTTCACGTGACCAGGAAGATGTCAAATTTGGCCTTGTTTCATACAGGACAGGGTTGTTACTTCGCCTCTGTAATGGTATTTTACAATCATCATTACTAAGCGATTGAAAGTACCCCAAGGATTTCAGTTGAAGAAAACAACAAGCATTTTACCTGATACAATGTGAAGAAAAATTTTTATTCTCGTTTGCGACGTATTCATATACGCGGCTTTGATAAGAAAACTGACGCTTCCCTCTAGCCACTGGCCGGTTATGAACTACGGCTAGATAACAGAATTTGCCACCCAAAGCCCTGCTCGAGACGGCAGTGGTTTCCACGATGAAACGAACACTCAACCGAATGTAATTTTCGATCAAGTTAGGCATGGCAAATAAAGGGGATAATGGCAATATTATCATCATTTCATTGGGAGGTTCCGACAATATATAATGGTAGAATTTTTGGGGTGACTTCGAAAGTATCTCGGCTACGAGCGGTGACGGCGGGAAGCGGTTTCGAAGGGATAGACGTAGTTAGTAAGTCACCCGGCTCGTAACTGGTTAACTAACTGTAGGGCGACAATTCAGGGAATATGACTGGTCGATAGCCATCACACTGAACCTCATCACACCGTCACCCGTGAGCACGTATCCGTCCACTTTGGAAAAACGTTTGGAGCCTTCGAGGTAGCTTCCTTCCCTTTTGAGAGCAGGGTATAATTTGGGAAATTTAAGTTACCCGTTTAGTTGGGTGGGTTCTGAGAGGCCTAACCCAAAAACTTGAGACTCGAGACTTAACCTACCAGCGTAGTGTGCCGCTGTTTGGGAACCCGGAAGATGAAGCGGTCGGGTCCCTGGTGGGGCGACTGCTCCGACCCGAACGGGCAGTCTCAAGACTTAGCCGCAGGGCTTGGAGAGATTTTTCTTTTCTGAAAATTACAGTACCCGAAGGAAATTAGAGTAATTTACCCCAAAAGTACACGTGGTAGATGATGTGCTCATGAGTAAGCGTATGAAGTAGCGTAGTTAGTCTATAAGTACCGGGTAGGGAACCCCCGGTTTTCTTTTTTGTTTATATTTTGTGATAGACAAAATCAAACATGGTCATGTCAGACGACAATTCTTTTTTCTCCAGAAGGAGACAGGCTCTTGTTTCTTACCTCTTTGATAGATTTCAAAATGAGTGGAATGTGTTATCCCCTATTCGTGGGAAGGCAGGGTCTGCCAGTGCCGACACGGGAGCTAGTTCAGAAGATATTTCTGAACTACATCAAATACATGTGGTATTCATGGAGATTTGTTTGGTTTTGTTTTGCATTGGTGATGTGTTTGGGTACATCTCAACGGATGTGCAAGGGCTTGTGGACCCTGTTTTGTCGGATGACTTATTCCTTGAGGGATTTCTAGTGTGTATGGAGATTACACACGTCTCTTGCTTGAAGCATTTGGATTCACAGGATACGGTGAAAAAGCCGGGGTTTGACGGTGGGCTTCCAATGATTTACAGAGCTGCGTTGGTCGATTCTCCATACCAGAAAGTTCTTTCGACGCGGGGAAAGTCAGTGGATATTACCCGTTCGAGGAAGGAGGCAGTCGCCTTGTCCAGTCTTTCCAGCCTGGAATTGCTAGGGCTCTTCTTGGATGTGTCCAAGGGTATGTGCGAGCGTGCGCAAAAAGCGTCCGTTCGGGATGGTGGTTTGCATGAGCCTAGTATGGTTTCATTGAACGCCTTTGGTGTAAGGCTTTTGAGAAGTCGCAGAATAGGCTCTTTGCAGAACAAGTATTCTTTGGCTATTGTGGTTCTTTTTAAGAACGGATCTAAATCTGCAGATACACAGAAGAGATTTTTACGATGGTTGAATGCTTATAAAGAACTTGATTGTGAGTTGGGATGTTATCCTCCGTCGAGGGGTATATTCGATGAGTATATGGGAAGATAGTGTTGGGCTTTCAATATGAAAGGTAAGTTGTTTTGAAATAGAATTAGATTTATTTTCATTTTCTGATGACCTACACAGTATGTGTTTGATTATGTAGGCATTGTCCAAGGGATATGTAACTATCCTCACGATTCACCACCGCTAAGTGGACAAACTAGAGTTCCGCACGATTCAGCGTTGGGTCCGAGTTACAGTTGGGTAACCCAGCCTGGGTCTGAGGCCCCAACTTGGTTTACAAACGTAACATATATGCCAAGGCTGTGACTACATAAATTATGCATTTTCCCGTGTGCCCTGAAACGAGGGAAACGGGAGATTTCGGCCACGACTACACGTGAAGGACACGGCTTATGGCCGCGAAAGCTGGCCTGCTAAACTTGCACCTTCGCCTATCTCCGATTCGCTCATTCTAAGATAATTTCTCGTTTCTCGTGGGTTGCCGACTGTGTTTCAGTATTGGTCTCTCTCTCCTGCTTGTTGTCTTTGCAATTGATCTTCGAATACTTCCCGTTTTGGCTTGACTTCATTGCTCTGCCACATTGATGCTGGATTGTGCTTTCCTCTACATTCGTGATCCTTGTAGACACTTCTGTTACCTCTCTTTGGCCAATATAGTGCTTGTGCTATTCGCCTACCTAGCCACTTTGCTTTCTATGGCTCGCGACATTTTCTATTTCATGTCTCCAACGGGGTAGGAAAATCAGTTAACACAAACCACCAGCACCATGACGCTTGTTGTACCTTAAATTTGGCATGATTAGAATCAAAACGATGGTCTTTTCCCGGAATTACTCTATCTTTTAATCGCCCTCCAAAGTGGTGGCAGGATAGGGCAAAAAGTGTTTCAGCCAATAGAAACTCGGACGAAAGCCAGACTGCCCCTGACCACGCGGCTGGTCCAGAAACGCTTGATGCTGGCCCATTCCTAGTTCCACCACTCACGCTGCACGGCTCATTGCCTTTGCCCAACGATCACGATTCCTCGCTGGATGATCTTGGGCTGTTCGATTCAGACGGCGAAAATGCTCCGTGGCACGAGGGGGCAAGTATCAACTTTAGCCAGTCCGCTGAAGCAGTTCTCCTAGACGATGAGCACCACGCTAGCGTTGGAGGTGGCGACCGGGTCCAATTCACTTGAGGCTACATTTCTTCGTCGCTGGCCGCCTTGTAA